GAACTATTAGTTTTCTTCTTGGAAAATAAATAGTGAATAAATACTGGTTATTTTTATTTCCAGAAATTTCCTCAGAGTCCTCATCTTAATGTTCTGGAAACTTCCAGCTGGCTTTGTTCATTTGCTATAAATCCACACACAGATCCAGAGCTGTCCTGACTTAGGAGTGTTTTGTTCTAAATCCAGGACCAGTACTCGGCCAAAGTGAGCTTAGTTGATTATTCTTTTGGCTGTCACGTGGAGATGAATTCAATTTTGGAGTCAAGGAGTGACACTGGGAGCAGTGGGAGGGAACTGGGAGCACTGAAGGCAGAGTCACCTGTGCCGCGGGACAGCCCCAGGTGTGAACAATGAGGGTGATGAGGGGGTGGGGCTCCTCAGGGATCACCTGGGCTCAGGTGCCGGAGGGAGTGGCCAGGAGACCAGCCCGGTGGGATATCTGCAGGACTGATGGTGAGAGCACCTGGAGATGGAGTTTTACCCGAGGAAGGATGCCGAGGGGTGAGCTCTGTGCCGAGCGGGAGGGCAGGAGAGCGGACCAGCACCTGAGGGAAGGAGAGGTGGGCAGTGCGTGTGGGAGCAGGGAAGGGCTTTCTCCTTTCCAGTTCCTCTTCCCAGTCCCCTCCCAGTGCATCCCAATAGCAATAAAAAAAAGAAAAGGGGGAGGTTGGAAGGAAAAGTGGTTTAAATTGTGGGAAAAACCTCCTCTGCCATCACTGTCTGTGTTCAAACTGAGAGGGAACCCACCTCCCCTGCGATTTTAAATGAAGGAAAACCTGCCTTTTGTATGGTTTTAGGGGTTTCAATTGACAGGGAAGTCCTGATTTTCTGTTACTTTCAGGTTTAAATGGAAGGAGAAACCCTTGCGATGTCATTTTCTGGCTTTGAATTGAGGGTAAAATCCACATTTTCATTATCTTAAGGTTTAAGTTGAAGGGGAATCCGTGTTGTCCTGCATTTTTAAGGGTTTAAATTGAGAGGACCCTGGTTATGTGCCGTTTGGGACTTAGAGGTCGATGTGGGATGGGGGTTCAGGGGCAGATGAGGCTTTTTGGGGGGGCCTTGGAACCCTGTAAGTGAAAGACAGCCTTTTCCCCCACGGAAGAAATGCCATAGCCTCAGGTGCAGATGATGGGCTGCCCAGGGCAGAAATAACCAGTAAGACCTTCTTGCCCTGGGAGCAAGCCTGGGACACATTTCATTTTGGAGTTGGAAACCAAGCTTTGGTGGTGGTTTCTCATATGTGAGTTTATGGTTCTTTCCCTTAGGAAGGAAAGCACATTGCCCCATAACAGTGTTCCAGCATCAGTCCTTGGATATTTTCTATTTTTGAGTGGGGGAAGAAGGGTTTCATATTTCTTTTGAGTTGTGGTGTTATAGTTCCTCTCCGTGGCAAGGAAACCAATTTTGGATCCACACTTTGGGTGGTCTTGGTGTATTTAATTGTTTTTCCTAGTTTACAATGCTATTGGTTAGAGTTTTGATCCACTACAGAGGGAATGCAAAAACCAAGCTGTTGAGCTTTTTGTCCTGTTTTTTCACTACCTGAGCTGTTTGTGGTGGGGTTCAGTTTAGGATCCTGACCTTGTGAGACTGAAGGATTATGATGGAATGTAGAGCTCAAAAGGAAAGTGCAGATACCAGGGTCTGTGGTGCTCTTCAGTGGGTGCACTTGCAGGTGACCCAGCACCAGTTTGCTCCCCTGGCAATTCTGTGAGCTCTATTTTTGCAGGCTTTGTTTAATTTTGTAATTAGACTCTGCAAGAGGGGAAAAAATTATTAGTCCATATAGCTGGGAAGGAGCTCGTGTTGCTGTTTGAGTGTGGTGCAAATAAGAGCTTGCACGTGGAAGGGGTGAAGGTCAGCCAGACCTTTCCGTCCTGCCACACGTCGTTTGAGGCTGGTGACTAAAACGCTTCCACCTTCGGATCCGCACTTTGGGGGGTTGTTTTCCGTGCGGTGGATCGGGGACAGCGGGGACAGCCCGCCAGATAGCGCTGTGTGCCTGAGAGAGGCGGCAGCGCATTCTCCAAACCACCCAGCAGGACGATCCGAAGCTAAAAACACCCTGCACGGCTCTCCAGGGACACGCACGGGCACAGAAGATGCCGGTGCCTTCCCCTCGGGGCGCGGAACCCACAGCAAACCCGCCGGTGCCCCGCGTTTGCTTCTCGGCTCTGCCTGCCGCGACCTTCCCTCCATCTCACGGAGTTCAAAACTTAACCAATGTCCAGCTACAGCTGTCTCAGAGAAACGTGCCAGGACAGAGAGCTTTTGCTGACCTTCCCCCGGTGCTGGGCACACTCTTCCCGTGCAGCCTGAGACTGCTCAACACCCTTTGGTGTTGTGCTTTTTTTTCCAGCTTTAATGCACTTTTACATTTTGGCTCTCTCGCTGAGCCCAGCTCCGTGATTTTAACCTGAAAGCCAAAGGGGAGGAAACAGTTACTGGGTTTCACAGTCACATCGAAGGGTATCAACATCACCACGTGCCCCGGGGCTACCAACTTTCCTTTCAAACTACAGGTACCACCACAGACTTTCAATCTGGCAGGAATCCTGAACTAACTGTATCAAGTGTAAATAGGTGCCTGCTGAGCCAGCTGTTGTTCCCTCCACATTTAACTCGCATCCTTTGAAAAAAAACCTCGCCCCCTGTAGTTGAGTACTTCCCTGCTCAGTTGCAGGTACCACCTCCATCGTATTCTTTCCCCCTTCCAAACTTATCCACCAATTGTTCCCATACCAAAAGTCTTGGAACAAAAAGTCAGCTCTGGCCTTCGCCTTCAGCTGTCAGGTTATAAACAGCACCACACGGCCTGCTCTATGTGCTCAGCTCTGCGTACTCTCAAACACTTTCAGTCTCACAGGGCCCAGTTACAAAACTGAAAACGATCCTCAGAAAAGGTTCTGGAAGAAAGAACCGAGTGCTGGGATTCTTTTGCAGCCCATAAACTGCACAGCCAACAATGAGGCGACTGTGCAGGGTCACATCCTTCCAGCCATGAGGAGCCGGGATCCAAAACTGAACCCGTACTCTGCTCCCACGCTGCTGGTGCCAGGACAAAAAGCTCTTGGCTTTTTCCTGTGCGCTGTCCCCGCTCACAGGAACACCACGCGATGGCGATGTGGACTTGCATAAACTCCTCGGAAGAGCCTCCCTGTGTCTCGGGGTTGTGCTGTCCCTCTTGTGGCTGCGTGGTCCTGCCGAAGAGGAGGACCAACAGCAAGCGATTCCTGTGCTTTGGAATGCATCGGGCTATGTTTTCCACCTGACCGTTCAGTCAGCTGAAAAATTAGGTGGAAGGAGAAAATCCACTGAAGTCGTTCTCTTCAGTAGCTCCGTTTCCCGAGTGGTGTATCTCAACCTTTAGCCAATTTCTAGGCTTTTGTTTTTCTTACCGTGCCCCCCTCCCAGCAGTTTTATTGTGGTTTGGATGTCGGAGTTATCTAAGGATGTGATGCGTATTTTGGCAGTCACTGGCATGAGCAGGGCTGGGATTGTTTTACTTCACTGCCGTCTTGGTTCTGTTAGACAGGACGAGCTACTAATTACTTGAGCAACTACCCTAGTGAAAAAGATGGTGAGACTTTCAAAGCAATTAAACCTGGGTAGGTTCCTGCTTTGAAAAAATCAGAGAAAACTAATTACCTATAAATAAATAGATAGGGCTGCGTGTAAATACAAGGGCCGTGTTTAAAGTGTTTCTTAACGAACAGCTTTGAGTTGGAGAGAGAGTATTTAAGAACTGTGGTTTCCATCTATCGCGTTGTGTAATTCAAAGTCGGGGCTACCAACCTTTCCAGGATGAAGGTGTAGATCAATAAATACAATAGGAGATCTTACCCACGGGTCTGGGAACTCTCCAGAACATTTAGCAGAAATTCAGAAGTTGTGCTGGCTGACAAGAAGTTGTGCTGGTTGTTGCAAGCACTTTTGAAAGTCCTTGCAAATCTTTTTATCAGCGTACACTTCAGTAAGACAAAAAAAATTGTTTTATTTGGACTGAATATTTCTATGATTACCGGCAGGGACAGGAGTGTTTGTGGTGCATCTGCTTTCCTGTAACTGTTCTTTAGCCGCTAAAGTGTTGAGGAACACACCTGGTCCAGGCAGCTCGGCCTGCGAGCTGCAGATTGAGAGGTAAATTGAGATGCAGATTCAGCTGTGGGTAGGAGGAGACAAGGGGCCGAACTGCCAACTTTTGGGTAACAAAGGGTATGACGATGGGTGATGCCAGCCGGGTGGAGTGGACACAGAGACACAGCAGGAGCCCGGAATTGCCGAGCTTTTGAATAACAAAGGAGATAAAGACTTGTTACCCAGCGAGGTGGATTGACACGGAGAAGGAGCCAAAGACTTCAGAGGAAGTGCCTAAAAGCTTCTTACATATATATGTTAATGTAGGATCTATTTCTTGGGTGTTTTTTTTTTCCATCATCTATCAAGTGGGGGGTTTCCACAACGATAGTTACCTCTGTAACATCACATTCATGCTAAGGGTAAATTCTGTGGCATTTACTTGTTCCATACCTTGGATGGTGTTGGGAAAACACACCTGAAAAATGAAGCTTTAGTTGACTTATCTTGTTTGAATTTAACTACAAACAAACAAACCAACCAACCCATGAAAAATAGCCTGTCAATTGTGCTTTACATTTTTACTTGATTCCCACTTCCTGAGTCTTTAACTTTTTGACAGCTGGTCTGAGAACCTGCAGATAGAGCTGCTCTGGTGTTATGTGATATCTGTGCTTTCTGTGGTGCTGTTGATAAGGGCTGTGTTGTTCTTTCCACAGTGCCATCAAAAGCATCTTGACACTGTCGCTGCTAAATTTTGCCACCTTCATAACTGAAAAGTTCCTCCTATGTATTTTGGGTAATTTCCATGCAGAAAACAACACTATAACATCCTAGCAAACAATGAAAACAGCTTTGCTGGACACTGTAATCTCTCTTAGAAGTCTTTTTTTATTATATATATTTAATGTTTTCAAGTACTAAAGGGCTGCAAAAATAACACACCAGTAAGAACATAACAATTTAGCAAGAATATGTATCTGCCAAACTAAATTGAGTCTGCTTCAACCAGTACAGCACTTAAAAGCAACCTGGTAGGAAGGAAACATTTCATGTGGCAACTTCTTCTGCTGGAACAACTTCCAAAAGCATCTGGAGGTGCATAGTGATGGGATCTGAGGAAAAAGGTTCTTGTTAGAGGCTTTACAAGAGAACAATATCTCATTTCAGACTATTAAGTGAGAAAATTACCCTTCCAAGTAGTTGTCTTTTTTTATTCCTATTTCAAACTTTAAAAATAACAGGTGGGGAATATAAACAGCCTTAAGATCCAAGCTACAGCATTTCAGGTTTCCAAACTTGCTCTTATTAGAGTACAATGCTTTTAATTGCATAAGTGCATTATAATTAATAATCCCAGGGGAAGGGAGAGACAGCTGATGGATTGTTTGAATGTCTGCAGAACTCCTGATCCTGTTCCATTCAGCCATTTCCAATTAACCTCTTACCTGTGTATCCTGTCTTCCTTGAGATAATTACAAGGAGTTTCTTTGGAGACTACACAAAAAAATCAGTTTATAACAGTCACTGGGTTCTTGCAGCTTTCACTGTACTCAGCACTGTGATTATTTTTTTATCTTAATGCTGTTAATGTTTACTTTAGTAAGTATAATAAAAACTAAGTGTTTGGTGGCAGAATTTATGTCTGCTAATCTCTAGCTAATGGCTAAAGCAGCGTTTTGAAAAACAAACAAAAAACTAACTTTGCAGATGAAATAGTTCTGTTAAGTTTAAAATTCAGTTTCTTTGTGCTACTACAATTCTTTTTTTGTGAATTAAATTTAATTTCTTCTCAAGTCAGAGCTTTCTTTCACAGGAAGGAGTAAAATAGAGCCTTCAGTAAAGCTCAATACACGTTTGGGAAATTGCTTCCCTTCCCAGGACCAGACAAGGAGCTTCATCAAAGTAATTAACCTTGAGCTTAGAAAACATTCTCTTGAGTTCTGGAGCTGCCTGCCTGAGGGATGTACTTACTTGATATTTTCTGGGCCCAGCTGAATTTAAAATGAACAAAAAGTGCATAAACTATAAGTCCACTGAGGATAAATAAAATACAGTACAAATAGGCCAGTTCAGGGGCGCTGATGATTGGTGCCAACACCAGGACAATGGAGACCAGAGTCACTATGACGGGAATGATGATGGGCACCTGCAAGGACAGAACACACAGTCACTTCTCCACTCCTTTGCTGGTCTGGCACAAGTTGCCTGTATGAAATAAATATTCTCATTGCCTCATGCATTTTATTTTTTCCTTTTAAAATGTCAGGAGTCAGATGGGGGTGATTGAAAGAGTAGCAAGAATATGGATGGAGAAAACTCTTCTGCTAATTTGCTGAGATCTCTTTGTCAATATTGCAAATTGCAGTGCAAAAATGGGCATTTTAATGAGTCTGGGACCAAACCCCAGTGGAATGACCAAGGCTCTTATCTGGGATAATCTTGCAGTGTAGTCTGCAGACTGCAGGTTCCCATTCCCAGAAATTTGGCTCGTGCCCTGTGGTTTGTGCAAGTGAAAATCAGCATTATGCACTCTTTTCTCAGTCCTAGTGCATAACTACAGGTAAATGGCTACACTTCAGCTGAGGGGAGAAAAAAAACCAGGGAGTCTGCCCGAGGATGCTGTTTAAATATCCAGATGATTAGGATGAGTTCATCTACAGCATTTTTAGGAATGGAGGAAAAGCCACATGGAATGATGAGCTTACCCTGATAGGCCTTTCAAGGTGCTTCCTTGTAAACCTCATGACAATGAGTGCAAACACGGTCAGACCATAAAATATCCAGACGGCGAAACTGAAATAATTTATGAGCGTTTCGATGTCACCAGGGATAATATAAATAATAGCAATGGCCCCCTAAAAAGGAAAACAAAAATTAGTGTAGTCTATTGTAGAACAAGGCTGAATTTTACTTATGTGCTATTACAGGTGCTTAGTGTTCCAAAGTGTGAATGGTTTTGCTTTAACACTTGAGTGTGAGGGTCTTGCAGCAACTTTAAAGGCTGTGAGCCCGTCCTGTCAGCACATGGTTATTCTGTGTGCAGTCTTCTTCCAATTTAATTCAAGAGACTTATGATTTCTATGCATTGATCTGTTTTATTGTTGACTGCTTATCTTGAAGTGAAGATACTAAATGTGTGTTAAGGTTTTTAATGTTCCTGGGATTTGAATATATCTTGTTATGCCCTGAAGATAAATGGGTAAAATAAAAACCCCCAAGATGCTCTGGATTTATTTTTAAACGCGTTTACAGACTGGAATCTGCTTTAGTGAGATGTAAGTGCATTCCTACATGGAGGAAACAGGGTGGGGAGGAATTTTTGTTGGTAATTTCTCTGTGCTCAGAATATAAACTTACATAAAACATGATGGCAGGGGCTGGTGTTAAGCGTTTAACACTGATGTAAGACAACAGCTTCAGCATGTGCCCCTCCCGGCCTGCAACATAAACAAGTCTGACAAAAGAAAAGCAAGGAGATGTCGTTAGTGTGGCACCCCGATTTTAAGTGGTATTACTGAAAAATAGGTGAGTACCATTCATTTTCAGGATTTGGTTTATTGTGTGGCTACAATCTGGCTATAATTCTGTCAGTATTTTCTTTTTAAGTAGTTTTGCAGTGGTTTGAAGTAAGGGAAATGGCTGGTATTAAAGCAGTGAGCTAGAAACTGATTCTTAACCAGTATTAAAATAGTAAACTTGAAACTAATTTCAGAATCATTAGTTTTCACATTTAATAGAAAATTATTTGGTGGAAACGTTACTTACTGTGTCCCTTTTAATTAAGTAATTCCTTTTTCATTTGCTTCTTATCAAAAAGCTACCTCGACAGCCTTTTGTCACAAAATGGTTTTTACAGCTCTATTGCTTTCAGCTGGATTTGAAATTTTAAAATATTTGTAATAGTAAATGGAAACATTGAACAACTGATAGAAAGGAATAGCTTCTCATTTCAGTTTCCTTTATCTTTACTGGTGTGGTCACGTTCTTACTTGTAATTTTTAACTGTTTGATTCTCAGCTTAAAAACTGATGAGAGGTGAGAAAAGCCTTCTGTACTGTACCTGCTTTGAATTAAGAATGGGACCTTATTTTCTAATTTGTGAAACCTGACTAGCCACTGTTTCTTTCTGAAAACTAAACAATACAGCTAGAGTTACAGGTACTTTTAAATTACATTTTGTATAATGTGGATGGGAAGAATGTCATTATGTGTGTGGGTACATAAATGCGAATATAACTTTTTCCATCCTTCAAAAACTGTCCTTTTGTTATAAGTTAGTATAAGAATTTAGACAACTCCATTCCAATTAAACATTGATAAATTTATTAAGCAAGCGATAATAAAGCAAAACAGCGCTGGGTGGCCTGGAGGGCAGTGCCCTGCCGAAGCACACACCGAAATGAAGTCAGTGTCTCTTTTTATACACGTTGGTGGTTGTTAAGTACATGTTAAGTGGTGTCTGGCATTGGCTTTTCGGATGTAAATTTGTTTGTTGCTTGAGTTCGGTGTCTGGGTAAGTGGTAGTCTGGTATTTGTCAGAGATGAAAAGGTGCAGTTCTTATCAGTTGTGTATTGACACTTGCTTGATTAGCAAGCTGTCTGTGAAACTCCTCTTGTTTAATTACAACAGAAAGTTTCTGAGTCCCTCATACACATAACATTTTATGAACAAAATTAACCCTTCTATTACACTTTGAAGATATTTAGAATGGGAACTTACCTGCCTGCAGTAAAACAGGTCCCATTGGCAGATCCAATTGTAGAAAACACCACAAAGAGAGGAACTATCCACGAGGCTGGATAAAGGACCCTGTCTCCAAATGTCTGGGTTATGGGAGGAAAATGAGTCACTTTTGTCATTTTAATAACCTATACTTAGATATATTTTTATATATATATAGTGTGTGTATATATATTATATATAATATAGTTAGGTATATTATATATATAGTGTATGTGTATATACTATATATATAACATAGTTAGGTATATTATATATATAAATACACACCTTTACTTTAGGTGTATTCAGTAATGTTGGAGCCTCTCTGTAAGTGAAGTAAATGGGTATCTATGCTACCAATAAAAACAGGTTGTATATTTTGTGTAGCTGTTAAAGAATGCTTTGCCAAATGAAGACCTGGATTAACTGATGGAGCACTCTGTAAAATGGAGTGGAGTACTGTTGGTATGATGTTTAAGAGGCAGCACCTGCAGGAAACACTGGAAGACACTGAGCCCGGGGGGAGCCAAGGAAGAACAAACTCCCTCTGGTCCTTCACTACACGGAGCTTTCACCTGTGCCGTGGTGTGTGAGTGGTTGCTGCAGGATAGATTAGATCTCATCTAGGTACGTTGCTCTACTGCAAATGAGTTTGAATTTAAATGTTTTTGACAGGAAGATTATGGGGGTTTGGGGAGGGGGGGTAGTTAATTTTTTTTTATTTTTAGTAAGTCAGGTATAAAAAGAGCTTTGTTTTTGTACAGCTCTGACATCAGTGCTGTTACAGCTGTAGAGACCCCTCTGTCCTCTTGCTCAGTGCCAGGTCTGAGACACTGTTAGTTTAGTCTGATGAGCTCAATGCTAGAGGATAGTTTTGTTCAGATTGTAAATTTAATGGTGTGCTGAAGGGGACCGGTTCTTAAACAAGATATAATTTGATACGTGCACTGCTGTACCTCCTGCTGCAAACAAGATACTGGAATGCACAGAAGATCTGAATTTTAAAAGCTTTCACTTTTAAATATTTCAGCATTAGTGTACTTCACTCTGCTAGGCTGTATTTTGTGTGCTTGTCACATACTCTTTGTTTTCCCCAAAAACTAACAATTGCTGCATGACCTCAACAGCTGTTTCACAGACAGGTGTCCTGTGGAAAATTTACTGAGTGGAACTGAGGGGACAGGTGTATTTTTTTAAGATTTCAGAAATATGCCACCTTTAAATTTACATAGAATAGCACATGTCTTGCAATGATGTAAAAATTGTATCTTTCAGATTTGTTAAGGGGGGGGGATGGAAACCAACAAAAAGAATAAGGTGGAAGTGAATTATGGCCTATTTGCTGTTATCTCCAGAACAACAAACTTTGATCTACTGTCATTTGGCATGTGCCTCCTCCTCAGAAATACTGGAAACGCTGAAAAGGGCAAAGCAACTGTCAGATGTTATTTCTCTTTCCATCTCTGTGATGCCTGTGGGGAGCCCCCTGAGCTGTAGTGTTTACAAACCCTTAGCTGAAAGCTGCGTTATTTTGCTCCCTTTTTCTTTTTTTTCCCCACTGGGATATGACAGAACTACTGTTGGAATTAAACATCACTGAAATCTTAAAGAAATGACAGTAGATAACGGGGCAGGGGGGACGAAAAGGTGACACTGATGGCTTGGACTGAAATGAAGTGTAGCTTAAGAAGAATTCCAGGTTCCTAAGGAGGAATTCCAAGATTTGCACGATTTGCACGCAGCCTTCTTGAGATGCTCTATCACCAAATAAAGTGGCTTACCACAGCAACTGCCTGGGACTGCAGGAGTTCTGTCGAAGTCATGACGGTGAAATAGGAGACGTTTATCAGAACGTAACAAACTGTAACCAAGGGGATCCCAATAATTATAGAGAGTGGTAGGTTTCTAAAGAATGCAAAAGTAAGACCCCATCAGCATTGCTGTATCACTGCTACAGTTGTCATAGTAAACTGTGGACTCCTTCTTTACCATATGTGCTCTTTAGGTGTATTTATTTTTTTTTTTTTTTAATACAGAGCTATGGAAATCAGGATTATAAAAATACACATTTATGCAGAAACACAAAGGCTGTAATACATGCAAATTAGCTGTGTCTGTTAGTGCTCAAACCTTGAATAACCTCTGCTTTGTTAAAAAAAAAACAACTCTAAGTATATGCTTGCTTGTAGAAAAATATTAAGTGTTTGAATTTTGCCAATAACAAAAGCGTTTTCATACCTGTAAGGATTTTTAAGTTCTTCTGTGATGTAATTGAGTTGATTCCTGGAAGGAAAAACATTCATATTTTAGCAGTCTGTTGTTTAAATACTTCTATACTAATAGGTCAGGTATTATTTCATGTTCTTGCTTTTTTCCTTTTCAGTTAAAAAAAAAAACAACAGACCACTATAACCAATCTTTTTAAGTGAGAAAACTGAAGGACAAAACCTATGGGAGCTTCTCATCCAAATGCCAGCCTCTTGATTCACCATCTCTGTCCCCCTTATCTCTGAGATTTTGGGATATTGGATAAAATATCCCCAAGTAATGAAAGGGACATTTGGCAGAAATTTCAGATTTACAAGGTTGCCTTTTAACTTCAAGCTTTACAGTGTCTGAGTCTTTGTAAATAATTTTTACCAGAACATGTAGGCCAGATTGAAACAAGATTTTTAGTCCTTCACTCTAAAAATGTCAAGAGATGGTTTTTTACAGTTCAAAAGGCAAATTTTCAAATGTTAGTACCTGGTGTTACATATGCAAATATGTAACAAATTTTATATATATATATATAACAAATATTTAGGCCCCCAGCTTCTGTGGCCCTTAAAAAGTCCATACAAATGTCTGAATTAGCAGACTTACATGCCTGAGTTGAGGCACTCCAGCTTGGAAATAGAACCTGGAAGAGTCATCTATTTAAAAATAAATTCAGTTTTGAAAGCTTTTAATTGGGACTTGCTTTGGTGTAACTCAAGATATATATATAAGTCTATAGTATAATATATATATATAAATATACATAAGATATATGTAAATATATGTATTCCTTCCAAAATACAGACCTATATGGAAACTTTTGCAGCTTGAACATTTAAGAATAGCATTGATGGATTTGTGCCTACAGAGCCCTGGGCCAACTGACATTCCCTAAGAAAAAATCTGGAAGTTGGACCTTATGACTTCAGATACAATGTTCTATGTGCTCTTGTACTAATCAAACACCACTACATATTTCCCAAAAAGCAGAATTTGATGGGGTAACCTGTAGGGAAAGCTATTTTACCTGAGACAGTGGAACTAAATTGGGTTATATTTTCCTCATTACCACAACATGAAGTATAAAGCAGTAGGTCCTTTCAGGATCCAGAATAATTTCTTTCCCTAATAAAGAACCAATAACAGGGGGTGGAGTGTTTGGGGGGGTTTAACCAATGGTGTTGTTTACCCAAAATTCATCATGAGATTCTTAATAAGAAGTCAGATGTTAACTTTTCCAGAGTTCAACAGGGAGAGAGTAAACTGGTTAAAGGCTGGTCAACCATAACTTCAAGGTTAGTAAAGACTGCTTACCATCCATCATATGCCCAGAGTCCATTGTAAAATGCCAGACTGATAGAGCTGATAGAAATTTTACTGTCCTTGAAAGAATCTTTGAAGTTTTCAGTTTTTCCTGCAGATAAGATGTAGATTACTGGTCAGTGTTGAAACTAATTCTTGTAATCCCCATCAGATGAAGAAATATTCCATTATCTTTGTCATGTTTTTAAACTTCTCACTGTTAGCATCAACTAATACCTTTTGTTATTAATTGATCTGGAGTGTTGCAGTTCCCACCCAACTCCCTTCTCTAAAAGAAACCACCAAGAGATGCAGAACTAAAACCCTGAATAAAGAGATTTGGGGCTGTGCCACTTCCACTAGCGGGGAATTTGTTAGTGCTCATAGCAGAAGCTAAATGAACTTTTTCAAGGAATGTATGTTTGATTACCTTGTGCAAGGAGAACAATGCCACTTACAATAATGATTGTGACAATGATCATTTTAGCAGCCGTGAGAAAATTCTGGAGGTAACTCCCCAGCTTCACACTCAGTGAATTCACAATGGTAATTACCACTGCAAGAGATAAAATGAGGAATTTTTGCATTCAATTTGTCGGAATTGAGAGCAAGGTTGCCTTTTTAACCCTAAACACACCCCCTCCCCTTAAATGCTGTACTGCTTTTTCCTCACTCTCTGCCTATGTTATATAGAGTTTTTAACACACTGTGTTTGGATAATAGTGGAGAAATATTGCAAAATAGTGGAGAAAAACACTTCTGTGAATTAGATTTTGATACCACCTTGGACAAAAAATACATTGAAGCATTCTGATAAGTACAGACATAGCTTATTATTTCTCCCTTTTCTGCTAGAGCTAAGCATTCATTCTACAGCTGTACCTATCTTAATAAAGAATAAAAAAGTCCTTGTAGTGGGAACAAACCATTTTTAAACCTACCCTTTTTCTATGTTGTTGGTGTGCCTTTAAAAAGAAGGGCTCTTACCGATGGCTGCTGCTGCGAGACACTTGATGACAGCCTTGGGGGGATCACAGCCCGGGAAAAAAGGAGCCGAGGCGTATTCTGCGAAGCTGAGACAAATGATGGCGAAGGAGCTGGGCTTGGTCACCAGCAAACTCGTCCAGGAAAACAGAAAGGCTGGAATGGGGCCAAAGGCCTCCATGAGGTAAGGATATTCTCCTCCAGATTTCGTGATCATCGTGCCGAGCTCGGCAAAGCAAAGGGCACCTGAGACACGGGAAAAGCGGGTTGAGGTCGTGCCCTTTTCAGCCTGGTACTGGCTAGAACACACGGTCACTTTTTAATAGGTAGAAAAAAGTTAAGGAAAGTGATATCTACAGTGCATCATCAACCTCTTCGTGTTCCTGGATATTTTATTGTATGTGCACAATCAAATTTTAATTACTTGTGAGCAATTGGAAAAAACACCTTGGAATTAACAAGGTACAGTCCAAAAATTCCCATTGCTGGTGTTTTAAGACTTGGCCAAACCCAGCACAAACCTTCTCATTTCATATCAAATTTCTGTTTAAGAAACCAACACTGTAAGAAGCATTTAAGTGAGAACTGCCCTGGCTGACATTCCTTTGGGAAACTTGGAAAAAGCAGACTTGCTGCACAGTTTTGAAGTAACTCATCTGCTAAGCTCAACATTACAGTACAGGGACACTTCCAGATCTACTGCTGTATCTGGCATCTTGCACTAAGGTTTTTCTGTATGCTGTGTCCCCTGATACAATGTTCAATGTTTTCCTTCTTGAAATATCTGGAGGTGCTTAGAGCTAAATTTTCAGATAATAGAATTAGAATTACACAAGTAGAAAACTTGCAGAAGGACCCAGTTTGCTGCCAGGAAATGTCACATTTTGCCAATGATTTAAGTAGAAGAATATTCTCTATTAGAGTCAGTGGATTAGGCCAGCAAAACTAAAACTTGATTTCAAAATAAATTGAGAGTGTGATATGCAATTTTAAAAACTTAATTTATCTTTTATAAGCAGCATATTTTAAATTTATGGCCCAGTGCTTCTATGCATATCTACATCAGTATTTCATTGATTTTAGCTAATCTGTGAAAGCAGAGCAGTCTGCAGAAGCAGTAAGTACAAAGATTTAGGCAAAGATTCAGATTCTTTGTTGACTCCTTTACCTAACGTGGCCAGAACTCCACAGGCTGCCCAGATGGTTAAACAAGGACCCACAGCTTCAACATTGGCAAGGACTGATTTTGGAGAAACAAAGATACCTGACCCAATAATGGTCCCCACAATCATACAGATTCCACTGATGAGGCCCACCTGGAGATGAAACGAGACGTTTTGTGTAAGTAATTTCTAGTTCAGTATCATAGAACTACAATAATTGTCATTACTGGCTTATTTTTATCAGTTTTTAATGTATAGGTTCTAGAAAGAAATTCATTAAACTCTTTTATGAAGTTTCACTTTTCTTTCCAGGATGCCTGTGAACCTTGTGCTGTTTTCAAACCTCTGCTGTTTTTAAAACTGCACCTACTTGTATTTTGCCTACCTGTTTATTTCCTTTATTAAACTGCCTTTTGCATTACATGAGTCTCAAATCAAACCTTGTACAGGTGAACTTCCCCTTTCCTCTCTGACTAAACACCAGAAATTCTTTTATGAGCACTTGATGAATTCTGAATTTTCTAAGCTTCAGAAATTGTCTTTTATGGGTGGAGTCCATTATTTGTCGTTGAGCAGTTGTTTTCTTCTCCTTGCTTTAACTATTTGTGCACAGGAATTATCTCCATGTGATGGGTGGTGATAAGATCGTGTTCTCCTGACCTTGTCAGTGACCCACATGTTACCTGAAACAACTGAAATTTGAGGCATGTCCTGCTAAAACAAGTGCCAGGCACTTATTTTTTCCTGGCATTATGGCTACTCTAATAGCATCAGTATTTTTTTCCAGTCTTGGCACCAAACTAAAACCACATAAAGACTCTTTTTGCAGGTTTCTTAAATTTAAAGAGGAATTCCAACCCCTCCTGAGAGCAGGTGACACAAATGTTGTCTAAAGCGTCTCTAATCTTCTGGAGGAGACAGATTTCCACCTGTCTTTGACTACCAGTGCCTATTTCATGGCTGTAGGCATTAAGAAACATTCAGAAACAATGAACTGAACAACCCACTGCAACCCCTGAGAACTACAGGTGGAAAAAAAAAATAAAGAAGTAAAGTTTATGAAGTGTCTCAGTTGACCAACTTCGAGTTATTTTTCTATCTGACAACTTCAAAGACTTAAAAACATATTGTCAGTTTTCTATTGGTTTGTATCAGAGCTTTTTAACTACAGTAATTAGCGGTTTCTGAAAATGTCAACCAAGCAGTTGAGTTATTAGCACATCACTGCTAAACTGGGACGCAGTTGTGAGCTTTGTGCACAAATACCCACTTCTGCCTCCCTCTGCCAGCCCCTCACACACGGACCGAAGAGGGAAAAGAAAAAGCTTTGCCTGTTTCTGTAGGTTCGTCTTTTGGGGTTCATGACTCTGAATGGACTTTGTGTCCTCTCTTCCTTTGTCCTCTCCTTTTCTTTTCTTCAAGCCTTCTTCACCCATTTGGTTTTTCTGGTTGAAATCTCTGAGGAAATAAAACCAAAATCTCAGCTCCAGCACAAACAACTTGAGTTTGGCTGATGTATGTGGGTCCAAAATACTGTAGGTAAGATATTGCTGGAATAATTAAAAATAAATTAAAAAAAGGCACACACTCAGAGGCAAAAGGACTTTCATCCAACCACCACTTGCTGTGGGTTTTCCTCATACCCACCTGGCAGGGAATGCCTGTGTCGGGTTACATTCAGCTTCCAGGATATCCTCACTGGAACGATCGAGCTTTTATAGCCAGTTCTTCTCCCTTGGAATTCCTCCAGCGGTCCAGTCAGATTTTATCTTTCTCCCAAAAGCCAGTCTGCTTTCTTCTTATCTAGGAGACCTTCTTTCTGATCTTCATTAAATTAGGCCCTGTCTCAGTTCCTTGGAGGGTAAAGCGAGCACAAGTATCTGCTAAAGCAAGTGTGGGCTGCTGCAATTGTCTAATCAGCAGCTCTTTGCCTTAAGACTCTCCATCTTCTCCGTGTTGAGCCAGAGTGGGTGTCTTCCACTCAGTGTTTTGTCCTGTTTAGAATTAGAATGTAAACAGTTTGTTTTCAAATTTAAACTCGTGATTTGGTTTGGGTTTTTTTCCCTCGAGGATTTTGATTGTTTGCCCTTGTAATTGCCTAAAATACAATCTGAGATAGCGAAGGAAATGCATCAGGTCAGGTCCTGAGTCTCAAAAAGTGGATTCAGTCTTAAGTCTCTTCTCTCCTAAGACCCTACAACTATAATTATTAGAATCTGAATGTTGAAGATCATTTTGTAGATATACAGACAGTAATGTTTAGGCAACTTAAGTTGGGGAGTTTTTGCAAATTAAGTAGTAATTGGCTACAAAAGCTGTAGCATTTTAAATTGACAGAACACCTATCTCAGTATTGTTGGTCCTCAGAAACATTTGGGTTATAAACACATCTAGTTTGTTTGGAATCAAAGATTTTTTTTTTTTAAATCATAATAAATCTAACTTTAAGATTAAACCTATGATAGAAAATTGCCCACGTGAGGAACGCAGAGCTTGGGTCATTGAAATTCATTACAGCTTTGTGCCCAACTTCTCTCTTTAAAGTCATGTGTTTAGACAGTTTCAATGACCACCTTTAGCAATTCTTGGGTTTGCTTACCTGATTTATGTATATTTGGTTGGTGTCACTCGGGTCCAGGAATCTTTGTCTCGGATGTTTCTCCCGTTAGATTTCCCAGCCAGTGACACACAGCAAGGCACGTCCAAGTCTGAAACCAGAATATGCAGAAGCAGCAGTAGATTAAGTACAAAGGTTATAAAAGATAATCATTAAACTCATTCTCGGCCAAGAAGCTTTGAGATAGGAACCTCAGATAAACCGACAGCCAATTAGTTTATCTTTAAAAAAAAAGAAGAACCATCTTTGTTCCGTTTGTGAGAATGTTTGTCCAGTGCCTAAGGAGTGTATTACAGAGTGAGAGTGAACCATCGTTTGGAGAGTTTGTTTTGATGATCCTTACAGCGAGCAGTTGCTAATTTAGAAATGCTTTGGAAAGGTAACCTTGAAGTAATTGTCCTTTTATGGGTGCATTAAAACCATCTGTCCAGATGTTGGTTGCATCCTATAAAAATAGTTGATGTTTTTATCTTGAGACGTGAGCAGAAATGTTTTTCATTAACCTGAGGCAGCTGAGTGGGCACCTTGTGTTCCCTTTGCTTGCAGTTACAATTGTTTTCCGTTGTTGTAAATATTTAAAAATCTCTGCTTTAGTGACCAATGCCATTCTCTATTTCCATACAGCAGTATATCCAGGACAAAAAGTATTGTTATCCTTCACTCTGGAATAAGGGAACTTCTTCGAGCTAGTCACCCCTAAAATACTTGCAAAACAACCGCTTAATTGTGTTAATCATTTGTTTTTAGCAATGTAGTTGTACACAGAGCTCCTTTGCTGCGTGACATTCAAATCACTGAGTCCTGATCCGCCCCCCCGAACTGACTTTTTTCAATTAACACCTACTGTTAAAAGCTAAAAGGTGTTGTGATATTGGTCGCTGATGCTGATATTTGTTATCTTGTTAACAGGTAGCACAGGGCTGCAAATAAGACCAAACAAAACTATCCCGAGAGTGATTTGACAGTTGTTTTGCTCACTTTTTTTTTTTTTAGCCTGTTTAAGCACACAGGGTTGATCAACAGGAGTTCCCTCTGCTGTGATGATGTAAATCTGTGACTAAAAATGAACTCTGAGAACATGTGAACTGCTTGTTTATATTTGCCGTGTTTTGTGGTGGTTGGGTCAGACTCTGCTGGGAATGTCTTTCTCCAAAACTGAGGCTGCAAAGTGAAGTCAGTACTGAAAAAAATCTCAGAGGTGTATTTTTTAGTCACTGTCTTTTTCTTGTCTTTGGTAGGTTTTTTTGTTTTATTTTATTGTGTTTGTTTTGTTTTGTTTAATTCTCATAAAAATAGGGTTAAGCTACAAGAGAAGCTCTTCCATCTCAAATAACTTTATGTCAAATAACCACATGAGAAATGGTCAGAAAAAAGTTCTTTTTTCCTCCTTGCAGATAAAGAGAATAAAACATGTTAAAATCACAGTCTTACTACAAACATATGAAAAGGCAGGTATTTATTTATTTTCTGTATCTTTTAAGGACTTTTACAGTGTTTTTCGTTGTAATTCTGACATAGGGTTAAATAAGCCAATGTTTTCATATCCTTCCATGTCAGCTCCCTCGTTTGGGGTTGGATATTAAGTCATGTACTTCCTTTTGTGTTCTCTACAGCTGATAATTTTGAAACGAAGATTTATAATCTTCTTATAACTCCTGAAATGCCACACAGAGACTACTGAAATAGTTAATGTGAAATTAAAAAAAGAAGGGGGGGGGGGTCGGGTCATATTATTGGGATGACTTTGAGCTCAAAATGAAGCATCAACTCTACCCTGGAATTTCCAGACCAAGGAAAAGAGGAAAAAGCACATATGTAATTTTGATCAGAAGATAATGAGGTATATCATCTTCAATGCTGTGTTTTGCTTAGGATTTCTTTTTTATTTGGTGTAATGATCTTTGATTTTTTTGTGCAGTTGTTTCAGTTTTCTTTTCTTTCTGCATCAGATCTTTTCCACTTGGTTCCTTCAGATACAGTAGGGGCAACATTGAAAATACGGTGTTTGAGTTTTTGCCTAAGCAGCTGGCTCCTTGAGCCAGCCTGGAATGTGCATCTGGAGAGTTCCCACCTGTTCAAAGAGGTGTCTGAAGTCTCTGCAATGACCTGACCTCAACTAGTCTGTGTTTCCTTATAAAATAGGGAAGCATTTTCATTTATGGTCCAGGTTCGGTTTAGGGGTTAATCTTTTGGGAATGCCGTAAATTTATTAAAGGAGCTGCAATTCCACCAGCAATCCTTCTTTACCTCAGCCACTGAAGATAAAAATAAACACTGATTTCAAGGATTCCAATGTCATTTTCTTCAGGGACAAGAGAAATGGCATTTTACAGCCGTGGGAAAAGACTCCTTCCCTCTCAAACAGGTACACAGATGTAGGGATAAGTTCAAATTCCAAGGGACTACAGAGGCAAACACTCCGGGGGCTGCTCCTATTTAAACACTGTAGTTTGAACCTTTTCAAATGCTATTTACCAATTAAATCGTAAAAAGTAATTTTCAACTTTAATTCAGGAAACGGCAAGGGCACACACTTTTGTTATCAATAGGCACTAATAATAAAGGTTAATGTTTGTCAGGCTTGGTATTTATTGCTTTAAAGCACCTTCTGCTTTGACCAGTACTAAAGCAAAAGAGGATCATCCTATCCAGCAGCTTTTAATTGTAGCTTAGCAGTATCTCAGAAGGGATACTTTCCATTATAACCTTGCCTCTTCATCAGAGCACCATCAGAGCATTGGTTACCTTGCATTTGCTCATTTTCCCTACTTAGCTCTTGGTTATAGTCTAGTTGGTTTTGTCTCCGTGACAAATAGGGTTTCTGAAAAGATTTTCAGGTTTGCTAAAGGTTTTGTATTAGACCTGCACAGTCTTTCGTCTAAAGGCAGATTTTTGTTTCTCTTTTTAAGCAGAGTTGTTCAGAGGCTCTTGATAAACTTCTAAAGGCTGGGTATGGTTTTCTATCCACCAGGTCACAAAAAAATCAAGGAGTCTCTTCTTAAGGATGTTCTGAAGGAGTTTTAATGGCATCTGAAGAAAATTAGGTTGAGTATGTCATGCTGGTTTGCTTCAAAGATTTCAGTTTTCACCAGTGTCTCAAAGCCTGATCAGTCAGTGATTCCTCAAATGCACAGCCAGCTCTCACCTTTTTCCCTTTGAGGAACCAGGCCTGGCTTTGATCTCCTTTTTGAGTCCAAAACTCAGGTTGCATTTCACTGGCCTTTCACTAAGGAGGGATTTCCAGATAACACTGGTTTTGGAAGAGCATCTGCATCTGTCCTGTGCCCACCTCCAGCTGAGGAAGGAAGCAGTGATTACTCAAGCACTCTGTAGAGATTGTGATTTCTGTGCTACTTTTGAAGCCTCATTTTATTTTAACCAAATCCAGACATTTGAGGTATAAAACAATTTTATTTGCTAAAATATATATCCGTTTCATATCTGAACACGTGCTTATACAGGTATGTTGTAATAAGTTTAGTACAGGGGAAAAAACCATTCAGGGCTAAAAAGAATCTGGAGAGCTCACTCGCTGAGAAATCATATTTTTAGAGGTAAAAAAGCCTTTAAAGTGCATCTGCTTTTCTAGATTCAAGCAGGTTAACACTGTGGAATTTTTACCATACTGATTTACGTTAAATTTGTGGAGAAGGATGAGTGCTTGGAGCTCTCCTAAAATACAAGAGTTAGGCCTGGCCAACTGAGGATTTGTTGTCCTGGGAGAAAAGCTCTTAGAACTCCTGATGTGCAGTGCCAGGATGAATTTCTCATGGTGAAGAAGTCTTAGGAGGGTCTCTCTTTTGAGTTGTTGAACAATTTTCTGGCCTGGAAGATACCAGCACCTTTCTGGCTTGAAATTAAAGAGGTAGGGAGAAAGAAAACAGTTGGGTTTAAATGACTTGTTAATGGGTAGGGGGAAGTTTACTAGAAACTGGAAAATGGTAAGGTAAGGATGCCCCAATTCCCTGCCTGTGTTGCAGTTTGGGGGGGTTTCTGGAGGCTCACTCCCGGTCGCTTTGTGAAGGTTTCCAGGGCTGAGATCACCCCCCCTCCGCCCGTCCCTGGTGGCAGGGACAGGCGGCGGAGGTCCCTATGCCAGGAGACAGATGGTGCCCACCGGCACGAACTCCGCCCACGAAATCGGTAAAGGATTTCAAATTCCCTTTAAAATATAAACAGGGGGAACGATAACAGCTCCCTCCCCCTCCACCATTGACTAATCCTGTCTCTGCGATGCCGGGGGAGGAGAGATGTTTTGAACAGTGGTGCCGGCTCAGCAGAGCGCCCGGCGATTGAACTGTGCCACGATGCCGACCCCTGTGACCCAGGGGGCCGAGGGAGCTGCAAGCATCGACACAGCAGCAGTGGCTGAGAAGCGCCACTGAGATACTGAGAGCACAGCGTGGTGCGAACTTAGGGTAGCAGCAGAGACTGCACGCGAAACACGTGTGCCCAACATGGAAAAACAACATTTTCCAAGTGCCCGCCGCGTCTCCGCCGGACGGAGAGAGCCGAGCGAGGACCGCGGAGGCAGCGGCGGTCGTTGAAGATGCACCAGAAGCCTCCACTGGAGTGGCCCCCTCCTCCGCCCCAAGGACTTCTCTTCGCCCCCTGCCGCAGGAAGAGGAGGCAGAGGCTGCGGCCCCCGGGATGTGAGCTGGGCTCTGCCGCCTGCTCCGTGCCCGTCCCGTCGCCTGCTTCTCTGCCCCACGCCTGAATCGCGTACCTCCGCTCCACACACCGAGAGACCGCCGAGAGACCACCCACCCCCTGCCGCCCGCCCACCCCCCAACCCTTTTTCCTCAATTTTTTTTCTTTACAGTATAACTTCAGGGTACCCAAACCAGTTTTTCCCCTTTACTGTTCATATGTTAATTACCGAATTGCTTCACTTTTACAGTTCTCTACCAGGCACACCCGTGACCAGCAAAAGAAAGAAAACCCAACAACCCCCCCACCCCACCCCTTTAAAAAAAAAAAAAAAAAAAAAAGGGGGGGGAGGGGAAGGAAAAGAAGTAAGCAGCTAAGCCGCAGCGAAGCACAGATAACCTTGCAGTTTTTAACAACTACTTCAGGTCTTTCTTTAAATGTGATGTTGTCTTATAATGTAAACAATTTCGAGAGTATTTGTAGCAGTTTTCAAAAACAATGACAAATTTTCCTTCAGCACCTTTCTGGCTTCAAATTAAAGAGGTAGGGAGAAAGAAAACAGTTGGGTTTAAATGACTTGTTAATGGGTAGGGAGAAGTTTACTAGAAACTGGAAAATGGTAAGGTAAGGATGCCCCAATTCCCTGCCTGCTCACAGTACACTGGAACACACCTTAATTTGGCCGCTGAGTGTCTGAGTCCCCCTCGTATTTATACAGCAACTGAAGCACAGCAAATGAGATGCTCTGCTCTGCCAGTGGAGTAAGAAGTAATGCTGAAATATTTTAACAGTAGTTGGCAAATGCATAGGAAGTGCTGAGGTTTACTCAGACTCTCAGTGGTTTTGGAAAGGTGGTAGCAATGCTTATTTTTTGGATATATAATCACATAATTTAATCATTTAATCCAAACGTTTTTCTAGGGAAAATTATGGTCAGTTATCATGGAGGGAATACGCTCTGTACATTCAGCACTGAAACTTTATTGTGAAATCCAGAAATCCTGAACTGTTTTCTCAGTTTCTTGGTAGGCATAGAAGAACACTGCATGTTTTGATGTTGTCTTGTGAAAAGAAGCTGGAACTACTTCATGGGCTCAATTTACAGATGGGAAGATGCTGTAACTGGAAGGCAGGTGGAATATATGGGAATCAGGACGATCTGTCATCTGTAGTCAAGGGCAAACAGCAAGCTGCTGATGTCAGGTGGGTAACAGAAAACGATCATCTGGCATGGGTAGAGCTTTTGTAGTAGGATAAGACAGTAATAATTTCTTTAGTGTAGTATCTATGAAACAAGGCAAAGCCATGATTTAAAAATCTCATTAAGTTCTGGGGGTTTAAGGCAGAGTTCTCTTCAATACCTGTGTAGCAAAATTCCAACCCATTCACACTTGAACGTGTTTTGAAAGTCTTGCTTCTAGTTCTGAGGAATTACCAACATGACAGTTTTTCCGCATGAAGCTGCTTATTTTTACAAACCCTTGAGAAAAATTCAAAAGGACAATTAAAACCAGATGAGAATATGTAAATAATTTCCATGTGCAGTTCTGAGGTTGTATGTTCATACTCAGAGATGTTTATATCAAAAAATACGACACAAGAGGCTTCACTTTCAGAATCTGCCTTCAAAAAGATGCCTTGTTGGGTGCTCTCTCAGGGTCCCTGTAAGCACAGCTGCAAATTGGAGCTTGTGTGGAAACCAGGGGGTTGTATTGCCTGTGTCTGACTTCTGAAGAGGTATTTCACACCTGCCATGTCAAATCAGTTTTTATAAAATTCAAGGAAGAGAGGAGACAGAACTGGTTTAGCAACAGACCGTTCCCCTGACAACTTCTCATATTAACAAAGTTATTTAAGGCTGTGCTTAAAAATAGTTTCTGGATGTTATTTTGAGGCACAGAGTCCTAAAATAATCAAGTTGAGAAAGCCAGGGGAATGAAAGGCTTTGAAGGTGGAGTTCTTGTTAAGTTCTCTGGGTGTAGACCTTAAGATAGTGGTGCAGTGAGATAATAGTTCTGACAGACAGTGCCTGAATGACTCTGGGTGCTGAAGTTCTCTCTTGATGAGCTGGTGAGGTTGTTGCACTTGTTTTATTCCTGTCAAAGGAGCCTGGTTCTGAAAGCCCGACACCCACCCATCCCTGAACATCGAGGTGTGATAGGAGAGGAGCTGCTCTCCCCACCCTGACCTGAATAACGCTGTTCTGCTGAGTCATGGCCTTACCCCGAAGGAAAGCACCACAGGAACCTTTCTGGACACAAACACTACGTGTTCCTTTCGCTATTTAACTTGGGTTTCTGCTCTTTTCCTTAACTCTGATCAAAGCCAATGAAATTCTTCATTATTTCTAATATTATACAACTATGAGAGTTTATAGGTGTTTTGTACAGCTACAGTTTCCTGGTACCATTTAGGTTTTGTTATGAAAATGAAGCAAAACCAAAAAGCTGATCCAGCAAGTTGTATGAAATGGCTTTATTTTGAATTTACATATTAATAGATAGTACTACAAAGTTGATGTGCAATATTGTGAAAAATCAACAATTATGAAAGCTCAGACAAACAGGCATCAATAATCTAAAGGCTGACACTGCTGCAGAGAATAGAAAAAAAGTGCTTTTGAAGTGGAATGAACAAGACAATCTGGAGAACTGCATCCTGTGCTGGTAACTCATCCCCCTGGCAAAACTCCAGCAGCAGCTTCCCAGCACCTGGGCTCCTGTAAATCTGGGGAGTGGACAGCTGTGGATTCAGGCTCCTGTAAATCTGGGGAGTGGACAGCTGTGGATTCAGGCCCCACCAGTTGTCAGGAGGATGCTTCAGTCTTGGCTGCTCCAGAGTCAAATTTTACCCTGTTAACTGGTTACTTGTCTTTTCACGTTAACTTAAAGCTGGATCACATTTTGTCTCAACAAGGAATAGCCTTTTCTTCAAATATCAAAGTAATATTTCAGGCTAGATTTGTCTTTGTTATGACCTTAAAAATCCAGTCATTTTGAAGGGGGGAAATGTTCCATCATATCTTGTGTTGCTGAAAAAGTCAAATTCAGGCACTGAGTTCTCTTTCTGGGATGAGATGCTGATTCTTCTCACTGAGATTCATCTTGAAATTCATTTTTAGTAGGGGATGAAGTTTTCACATCACAATAGCTAAAATCACGTCTGTAAACGAGGTCCTTCTGAGAGCTTTCATCAAAGTGTGGCTCCTGAGCTGTGAGAGCATTCCACGTGGTGTTCTTCCTCAGGGAATTATGTAAGAGTTCTCTCATTCTCTTGTTCTCTTTGATTGTGGATTCCCAAATGATTTCAAGATCCCCTTCTGCTTTCCTAGGGGAAAAAAACCAAAGAGAAATCCTAATTTTAACAATGTTTCAGCAGTACAGAATTACAGGATGTGGATAAGCAAATTAGAAAATGGCCTGTATTTAAGTGCTTGAAATTACCTGATTAAAATTCATGCCTATTTTGCTTTTGAAAAAGCCCATTAAATGTAATGCTAGAGAGGATGTGACCAGAAAAGAAACACTTGGATCCATGTAACAAGTTGGATCAAGTCTCAGCTAATGCTTCCTTGTGGCAGCCAAACAAAGGTGGTGTAAACCAGGAGGGGAGACAAAGGATAGTCCTTAAGGCACTGCAACCTCACAGCTCATTTCTCTGATGCCCAAGCATAAATGAAGAAATTATTTCCTATCTTTCTCAAGGAAAAGGTTATTTTTTAAGCATGGAAGCACAGGCTTTTTAGCAGGTTATATTAGGTCAAGATTAAGCTCTTGGATTTCCTCTGACACACTTCCAGTATGTATCAAAGTACAAAAAAATAAGAATATCAAGATAATTCTCCCTAATAACAGGCTCTAAAAATGAGAAACAAATCAATGCACAACATAAATGTGCTGAGAGCCCTTTGTGATTGATCACCCTGAGAATGAAGTGGTGAAAAGTGGCCCAGACACAGAACCTAGCCCACTCTGTGTTGCACCTTCTGACTTGATACACAGATGGAAGAAGAAAAAAAAAGCCTTGTAGAGAAGGGCTTTAGATTATTCTTGCATTTATTGCTTGGAATGAACTTTTGGTGGTAGAGGAGATCAGTGACCATTGAAAAAGCAATTAAAGCAAAAGGTAGCAGCTGAAAGCAGTACAGGTGCTAAAAGTAACCTAAGAATTTGCCCAAGAATGTGAGAGGCCACAATTAATGAGTTGGAGCTTTTCATTTCTGCCAAGTTGCTAAAAAGCTGTGGAGAAGCAACCTATCAGTTTTAAAACACCAAAACTGTAGATGACTTTGCTCTCACAAAGTATATTTCCCCTTGAGATGGGATGAGAGGGACTAATACAGGGTGCTCATTTTCAGTTCAAGTGATTGTAGAAAACAAATTAGTTCAAAGAGACTAGTTTTGAAAGTGTCCACATGGTTTAAATTACTTGAGTAGCAAGGAAACAGATGCATTCAGAGATGGTGATGTATCTGAACTTAAATAAGTAAAAATAAAAATTCCCTTCAAATCCAACCTAGCCAAAATGTAAGGCTCTGTATCTTGTTGAGAGTAAACAAAATGCCAGTGCTGTACTGATTGATGTTTGAGGATGAAAAAGTTAACAGAAGCAGGTTCTGAAAGCAGATTCCCCTTTACAAAAGACAGAGCTTTCTGCCCTCACCGAACTAAATTAATTCAGCCTTAATTTCATATTTGGGCTGCCAGCTCAAGAATTAATTTTCATCTCTCCTGTAAGAGTTTATTTAAATATTCCTTCTAACAAAGATCAACAATTTTTATCATGGTTCCAATATGACATGTCACCCCACAGGTAAGGCAGCTCCTCTCCCTGGCCTGTGCTCAGCTGCAGAGCTTTTCTGCTGTTGACCCTCTCCCAAGGACAGTCTGAGGCACTTTCACACCTGCATTTTCCATCCAAAGCACAGCAGCTCTAACTATCTCCAAGGACTGTTTCTCTGCAGAAGACTTAGGAAATAAACTCTGACCTAGAAAACTCCTAATGGTAAGTGGCCTGTGAAATATGCCTGGCAGTGTTTATGACCCTGTTTTTCTACCCAGGACTGCATCATCAGCTTTGTTTGTATCTCCAAGGTGCAGGGCAGCTTATTGAAGGGAAGGTACATGATAATGATGACTCTGAGCATTTCTTAGTAAGACAGATTCAAAAGGAAACAAACCTTTAGTGTAATCACGAGATTCCTTTCATTTCCTACCATTCTGACAAATGGGGAGGAGTGTGGATGGGCAAGAGTTCAGCCTTTAGCAGAAGATGCTGTTAAACAAACTAACACACATCTTGATTTATAGAACCCCCTCAAATCATCAAAGATTAGGCTCAGACTGATACTCTTCTTAAGAAGAATTCTTGAGAACAGCAGTTCCTGCCTGTGCCTCCCTCACCTCTGCTGCTCCAGCACTTCAGCCAGGGTGTCCTGCTTGTCTTGCAGCAGACGCTGGAGGTGCTTCATCTCCTGCTCATACTGAGCAGCCTTCCCGGCAAATTCCTTCTCCTGCTCACTCATCCTCAGACTGATATCCCCAAGCTTCCCAGCTGCTTTCTTTTTATACACCTGTAAGGAGTAAAGATTATAGGAAAAATGGGATTATAGGAGAAATATAAGGACAAGTTACTACCAGCAAAAGAAACAGCTGGAGACACTGATTTGCAGTTTAATTTTACATCAGTTCTGCCCTGCTTAAATATGTCAGGTGGGCTGCATTATGGATTTTTTAACCTTTTTGTTAATTTGGATGTACTAAACTTCATTTTGTTCTGTATATAAAACCAGTGTGTACAGTGAATACCAAGCTATATGTTTGTCTCATGAATGAACAGAATTAGCTGCAAAAAAGGGTGTATTTCCCAAGATGCAAAGCTACACATTACAGCACCTGTTGATTACCACTTGTCCAACAGTCATATTTAGCAGTACATACCAAGAAAAAGTGTTTATGTTTTGATGGTTGTTCAATATTAATACTAAGAGGAAGGAAAAGAATAGCTTTGTCTTTTTAAACTGGCTTGCTGCTTCACAGAATAGTCCTTCTGTTCAGTGAGGCACGAGGGATTTTTTTGTTTAATGGCCATAATAACCAAATCTATTGGTCCCATCTCAAAAATAAGAAATCATTTTTATACAGAATTATTTTGCTTTCTGAAATTACATCCCCATTAAATTGCAAGAGCACACAAGGAACTGAAAACTATGGCTTGGGTATTGTTACAATTGTCTGGATGCTGCTGCTCTTGACAGAAACCCAAACCAGTATTAGCTTTTTTCCTCATGATTACAAGCAGAATGCTAAAACTGTTATTTTGTCTGCAGAATGTGGCATTTCCTACAGGCTATAGGACAGAGTTTGGGGATGGAAGCACCTCCTTTAATAAAACTGTAAACTATTTAATAGTGAGGCTTTGAAAATACTGCTATTTATGTCTTGGTAATACAAAGTTTTACCTAAGGTGCTAAGCACTAAGGTTTTATTTTCATCTGAATCAGAGCAGAAAGACTGAGTCTGCCTTTTGGAGGAATTAAAAAAAAAAAAAAAAAAAAGGGCATTTTTAGGTATATGCTGTATATAAGGCTATCTAATCCCTTCCACAAACTGTTTCCTTTTTAGCTCTTGTAAAATGTGTCATGGAGTTTATTTTTCTAGAGCTCATAGGATAATAATAAATAATAATATTTACCTAGAACATTAGTAATTCAATATTTAAGGATGATTTACACGGAGGGGAGGGGTTTTCCCAGCTTTTTCCCTGCCAGTTCTAATTAAAGAATTAGAAGCCTGCAAGTTAACCAGTCACATCCTTCAGCTATTTAGATTCCCAGAGAAGTCTCCAAAATGCAGAGTTAGGTGCTTGCACTGAAATGCCAGACAAGTCCCTTCTGAGCAGCAGGTTGCTCAGAGCCAACTGAGCACAACTTCCCCCTCTGCCATTACATTCTCCAGCTTTCCTCACGTCCAAGAGGGACCTGAAATGCCCTTTCCATGTCAGGTGCCCATAATTAATAACTTCAGAGAATTTCTTATCACAGCAAAGGCCGATAAAGCAGCCGGTAGTGTTGGTGAATCCCCGGTCATTGACCTCCCAGCTGCAGGGAGTGTTTTAAGGTGAGTGTTGTGTTTTTTAAGCTGCACTCTGCCTGAGATGGTTCAAGCCATCTGGCTCCTCATCTCCCACAGCTGCCTCTCGTGGCTCTGCTCCTCCTTTGCCAAGTGAAGCCCTGTGTAGAGGTTGCAGAATCTGTGGGGCACTAAGGGCAAAAGTGCATCATCATCTTCTGGCCCGAAACCAGACGTGAGGGATCCCCAGTTCTGATCTGCTCCTAAGGGTGGATTACAACAACATCTACAGAAAATGCAGCCTGGGCAGGTCTGGGTGCACTGGCACAAGCAGCTGCTGGCACTCACAGATCCTTCCCTTTGAGTTGTTCCAGATAAGCCATTAATGATCTCGGAGGTGAAGTAGGTAACAGTAAACTGGCTGGTGGAGATAACACCACCGGGAAGAGGGTGATAACACGGAGCTGGAAGTGTTTTCCTCTAAAGCCAGAAAGGCCCAAGGTCATGGCATCAAGTGTAGAGTAAGCAAGATGAGGAATGGTCACGGATGCAGCTGCTGGTACCGAAAAGGATATAATTGACACTCTTCTAACTCATTTTTGGGAGGTGTACTCCTGGGCACCACAGCTCTGTTACACCTCGAGTATTGAACTACAAACTGGCAGATAATTCTGACAGCAGAGCCCACAAAACATTATTTCTACAAGCACAGGCTGCTGGCTATGGTACATGTAATGATCTGATCGTTTGTTGAGGCAACAAAGCTATTTTCTGTCAATATGTTGTTGTTTTTCTCCAATCCTTTACCAGCAAAATTGGTATTGTCCATTCCAAAAGACAGCAAAGGGCCATCTGAAGGAATGGTCCCTAAAAAGTGCTATAATTCTCACAGAATACCCCTGTAATGGGAACACTGATGAAATTTTTACTGTGTGCTACAGAACATTGCCAACTGTCTCCCATGGCACCTAAAAATACTTTAATTAAGATCATTGACAGTTATCTTCAGGGCTGTGTAAAAAATCATGTATGGAAGCAAGGGGAGGAAATTCCTTGTTAGTAGTAGATGATGAACACTGTTTGTACCTATAACCTTCCCAGTACAACTGGACTGTGACAGATGAAAAGTGACAGCCTATATATTCAGAAGATTTAGTGAAAGTTTTGTCAGACAGTACTGTGGTGTTTGTTAATAGGAAAAAAAAATCCCACACAAACAAAAGATATCTGGTGTGTTAAGGGTTTGTTTTCAGTTTCTTGAAACCTCCACTCTGTCCCAATGAAAAGAATGTGATTAAAATGTAGAAAATTTTGAATTCAAAAGCCAACAAAATCAATGTTAATAGTCCAGGGAAAAGTTCAGCTGTTGTATGATGTGCTGCAGTAAATAAGCTTCCTTATTCCTACATGTTATCCTGCCTGATAATTTAAAAATCTGGGAAAAAAGTAGTCCATCTTTAGGACTGAAAAAATGATGGGAGCAGTTTCTTATGTGGCTGCATGACAAAAACAGCAACGCTCCATGAATTTTCCAGGGCCCCACAATGCAGAAATCTCCAGTCTAACAAAGGAGAAGGAATACTCTGGACTGAAAAGCCTCGTGTGCAGCGAGAATTAAATAAACCCACAGCCTCCTGCCTTCAGACCCAAAGCACCTTTCTCTCAAAGTCCAGATTAGTGTTGATAGGAAGACAGTGAAGGAGCACTGGTGACAGAACAGTCACCCTCAAAGGTGCTGGCCTAAGCAACTGATTTCCAGGAACACGGAGCACGCAGTGCAACAGGGACACACAGTTCCTCCATCATAAGGAAGTGGTAAGAACAAACCTTTATTGCTTTCTCTTCACCAATAACAATTTTGTACTCTAAGTGCAATATGTAGCAAGATGGGAGGGAGAAAAATGAAGGCTGAAGTAGTAGAAGTTGCATGAAAATGAGGGCAGTTACAGAAGGTCTCTTCAGTATAAAGATTGTTTCTCCCCACTTTTACTAAAGCCTCATGACTAACAAAACTATTATCAAACAGAGATTCAAAATCCATGAACAATTTATTATCATCTGAATTCTTTTACTGACAGTGTGCCTGATTTAAAGATGAGTTACACTTGCAGAGAAGGAGAGGAAAAGGTGCCTGATGATGAACTAGAAGGCAAAATCTGTTATCAGAGATTTACTGTTCACAGCCATAAACCCAAAATCTTGGATTGACTTTACAGAATTTGTACCAGATGTTTGACTAAAATACTCCACATAAGAGACAGATCTGTGGTCACTGTCCCTTCTGACAGATGTTTCTGTGTTCACTGTCCCTTTTGCCTCCAAGAGACAGAAGTCGAAGGACTGGCCCATGACATTATATCCAAGCTCATCTTAAAAGACAAAACAGCACGGAATTCTGACTCTAAAGAAGTAGTTTGAACACCAGAAAAACTGGCTTCCTCAAATTCTTCCCATGGATCATCAAGCTGCTGGGTAATCACAATTATGGAAGTGAAATTATGGAATTACAGAAGTTAAATTCCAGTACAAAGAGAGTCCCCAAAGAAGCCCAGGCAAAGGATTCCTCAGATTATCACAGCATAACCTTTATGGACTGTTAAAAATCCATATGTTATGCCATGTATGTATTTTTTGTTAAAGCACAAGAACTTGTGAGAACACTGACAAAATTGTAACAAAGTATTGTGTTTTTTCTTTTCCTAAAAGGATGGTGGTTACTGTCACCTGATCCTGAAGTTACAAATGGTTTTAGAGACCACCATCTCATTAACTGTGAATAGAACAGCTATTTGAAGGTTATTGTTTAAGAAAACAAAATCCTGTTTATATCTAATCCATTATCACTGTTTTTAAAACCCGATGGAGACCAGAAATGCTCAGTGTATCACTGTTAAAAGAAAACCAAGTTCCATTTACAAGCTATAGTTTTTGAGTCAGATATTTTCTGATGTCCAAGGGAAATAAAGTTGCGTGAACTGTTCTGCTCTACAGTTGTTGAATCCTAGAGGACCAACTCAAGAACAGTTTTTAAGCAAGATTTAATATTTTCCATGATTCAATATGCCTGAAAAATTCCCTGACATAAGCCAAAGTACATACAAGTAGAAATGAAGGTAAAATTGTTTTCAGAATTAAAATACCGAAGTAAATTTTGTTTCCTTAACATAGTTCCTGAGTAAAAATTATTTATTTTGTATTCAACTTAATGCTCTACTACTACTCTCTAAATTTCCTGTGGTTGTACTGATGACCTACAAAATGTTTTGCACAGTGAATGACTCTGTAAAGTTTGTTTGCAGTGATTGCTAAATCCCAAACTAAAAATGGGTATTTAAAAGAGAATAACTTTAAATTCACTACATAATTTAAGCATACACAGTTTAAAATACATAATAAAGCTGTGTATACAAATATTGACACGGGTTTGAGGTTTATTTTAGCAATAACCTGTTGTTTAGCTTTAAAGATTTTCACAGTGATTTTGTCTTTCATAACAGATCTGCCAGACCTTGATTTAATTCGAGCCTTCACAACGGAAAAGAAAAAACCACAAGATTTTATTAATTTTATTAATTTCCTTTCTTCAAAAGCCTCACTGAAAAGGAAGAACTCTGGACCAGAAGACCAGACCTACTTTTACGTGCAAGGCACAGATGAGCTGAGATCAGAGGGAAGGGATCCAAAGGGAACTGAAGTGGCAGCTTTTGGAATGACCTCTGGCCGTAGGTGTGTGATGTGTGTCAGGTGCAGAAGGTTCGTCCCACACGGCCTTCCTTCCTTCCTTCCCTCTAATAACGTTTGCTGGGACGGGAAAAGAAGTCCCAGAAAAATCTTTTGAGACACACTAAGTGCATCAGAGCTGCAAGTTTTGGCTGAGCTGCTTCCTGATGCGACACGAGGCAACAAACTCAGCAAAAGGGAAATGGGAGTAAATCTGGTTGTGCCTAAAAAGCAGAAAAAAAGTCTAGTTGTGTCTAAAAAGTAGATTCACGCTGTAGGCACTTTGAAGTAACTCAGAGCTGTAGGCTGGAAGCTTTTCTCTCCTCACACCCTGAGGACTCCATGCTTCAGTCCATATGATATAATCTGTATTTCTTATCTTGTATCTGGAGGAAATAGCTGCAGGTGGCTGAAAGCCAAGGCACAATAACCTTTGGTGAGATAAGAAATAGCTAACACTCACATTATCAATGCCTGTGTCACCCTGGCAGGAAAATGAATGTGTCTTAAGTAGTATTATCACTGGAGACAGATTACACCTAAATAGCTCAGAAGAGGTTTATCCTGAAACTCAAGATACAGGGCAGTTACCCAACATGCGATTTCCTGAAGCAGCAAAGAAATAAATTATACCAGCTTTTAGCAAAGTTCACTTAATACAATAACCAAAGAGAACATGACATCTGTAGGTGTTGTGTGACTGTTTAAGCTCTCTGCTTTACTGACAAAAATAAAGAAAGAAAAGGTTTTGCAAGTAGATTAGTCTTACTTTTGTTAATTGAAACATCTGTATTTAAGAACTTTATTTACAGACTTTTTTTCTGATTTCCATTAATAATTGATGGCTTAAGGATTTTTTAAAATCTGGTTTTGCACTTTAAATTTGCAAGTAAATGTTCTTAATTTTATGCAAACCTCTTCTCTGTCCCTTAGATACAGATCAATAAGATTGCATAAAATCTGTATTTAACAAGAATATGAGCCACTGTCTTTGTAGGGAAGATAGACATGAATGAGGGTGAAAAATGCTAAAAACATTTTATGGCTGTATTAGCTCAATTAGATAACTCTTTTAGGGTAAAGTTTCATGCATTTAGATATTTCATGAAGGATTTCTTACAAATTCAAGCTATTCTTCACCTTACTGCCCTTTACACTTCCAATTTAGTTTATTCTCTTTGTTGCTGATTTCTGTGCTGTGTTGATCCTTGCAAGGACAGTGCAGAAGGAACTGGTCTCCACTGACACAGGGGTGGTGCACATTTGTGTCATTTCATGCAGCAAAGGCAGGGTAGCTCTTGACTTGAAAAGTGTAACTCTCTCCTTTAGGGTAAACTGAACAAACTTGACTTCACACAAAACAGCTTTTTAAAGTAATATATACAGTACTTTCTATATATACAAACCAATATACCAGGTCTCTTTTTCTTATTCTTTTTTTAAGATGACAGTACAAGCAATTATGGCAGCACCAAAGATGTTTCAGATTTATATAATGCTGTTATACTGCAATGACACACTGTGCTTTGCATTTGTTTGAAGATTTGCAAAGATAACCTAGAATGTATTCTCTAACCAGGCTGCATGTTTGAACACCCTCTGAGTTTCTAAACCTCCCACCCTGTGGCCATATGAAGGCACCTGATGGTAACTGTACACTGAGATATGTTTTTCATTCCTTCAAATGGAACTGGAATGGACTTCAGGCTGAAGCATTAGTACAGCCTCAAAAAAGTGTGACTGGGGTCACACTACAGAGCAAAACTGAGATACAAATAATCTTTAATTGTTTTTGCAACTAGTCCTTGGTTCTGCAGGTGTGTGCTCTGGCAGACATGCAGTGTATGAGCACAACTGAAGAAGATACTTGTGCAAACTACAGTGATGATCTATTTTGCTTTTTAAAAACATTTTAAGGTCATCTAACATAAATCTTCCACAAAAACACTGACACAAATTAACTGTTGACTTTTCTCACCAGAAAACCCCAAACACAATAAATATTCAGCTTAGCAACACTGCTTACCTTAACTTTCTCTTCTAGTTTTCCTAAGCGTAGACTGCCTTCTACCATTCTATTGAGAGCACCCTGCTTCTCATTTTCCAAACATCTGGCCTGCAACCACACAGTAGATACATAATATAAATTATGTTAGGGCAGACAAAAGACTGAGCAAGACACAGTAATTCCATTTTATACTCCCACAGTCTGAAGAACCAACATGGAAAACGAGTCCTTTTATATTTTATATATTATTCTTTATTTACTATTCTTTAATGGCTGATTAATAATTTGTCAACTGACTGTGAATACTGTGAAACAGTATTATTCTGAAAGGATACTAATACTGTAAACTTAACCTATTCTGTGTATTTTTCTACAGAGAAATGTTTGTAGGGATCCAATTTTTCACTGTTTCATAGGCACTACATTCCCAGATATAAAACAAAAATGCATGAGGTATGAACAGTGAAATCACTTTAAAACTGTAAGAGACTTCAGTTGTTAAATCCACTGAAAGCACTCAAAAGAGAAGGAAGCAGCTTTTGGACTCAGCAATGTCTGAGCACCTTGAACTACCCATATCACTGCAGAGACATCTCCCTTCCCAGAAGTCCCAATTACCTGGCCCTGCTGGAGTCTGAACTTCATGTTCAGTAGGTACAGTTTGATTTACTGTGAGGCAGCTGAATCATACAATGCAATACAAGAATAATTTTGACAGCTGCTGACTCAAGATTTTTTTTTAACCCTCAGTAAGTAAGAATATAGGCTTAATTTTTTTAGTGCTGTACTATTCTGCTGTCCCTGTTCTTCTGGATGAAATGTGCATAAAATGAATTTCAATGATTTAATTCAATGAATGAATTAAAAAAGAGTAAGACAAGGGTTAACAGCTGAAGCTGAACTGAGTAAATAAACCAGACATTACTGAATTTTGAGGGGGGAATGATACCACATTTTAAACTTTATGTGATAACCAGTAGTGGTTCTTCAGAATCATTAGGGTCTATCTCTAACTTTTTGGGGTTTTTTGTTTGTTTTCTAGGCCTTCCCATTAGACAACCTTATGAGAGTACCTGCTACAAGAAACTTGCAGTTCAACTTCCTGGCAAGGTTCAGCAATTAAAAGTAGGAACAGGTTGTTCTGATTCAGCTTTATGAGGGAGCAAAGTAAACTGAGTATTTTGAAGTTTTACTGATAGTGGCAAAATTAGTCTGACTATATCTCTGCTGTCAGCCCAGACACAGTGGATTCATTAAAAAACCAAGACCTGGGCAATCTAAGTCACAAATTGAGATCCAAGAATCAATTACAACAATTCCTAGGAGACATCTGTGCCCAGTGTTAAAACCCTGAAGCCCAGTTTGTGCTGGACAAGGATTTGAGTTGGGTCACCATAGCCCCTCTTCCAGAATTAGGAATTAACTGCTCTTTTTACCCAATCCTGATGACAACCTTTGTCTGCTACTTGACCGACAGAAGAAAAAGAAGCTTTAACAAAGTTCTGAGAAACAGTTTCAGGACCAATTTGAAGACAGAGTACCAATACATTAAATTGAAATTGTTTCCAAGATTTTGCAAAGGAAATAAAATGTGCTTATGAAAAGCCCAGTAACATCCACGCCAGACACTTCCACTAAACAGCAGTTGCTCCCAAACTCTCAGTGAGCCTGTTAAAATGACTGCTAACCAATAAAATGCAACACCATCCACGTGCATCCACAGGAGAAGGTCCATAGAGGCCATTTCAAAGATAGTACTTTACCTTTAGATTCAGAGACTTGTATTAAAATTTTAAGATTGCAAGCTATTTTTACATACATGTAGCTCAACACCAATCTCTAAAATTAGGTTTTAAAAAGTCTTTTAAGCTTGATATATGACACTGCAATCCCTAATGCTCATGTGAATTCAGGCTGTTATGTTAATTCCAGAAATAAGGGTACTTGCTTTTAGCCTCTCTTCTAGAAAAAAATCTTTTGCTGCTCCCACCCTAATTGGCTCAGTCTACTTAAATAGCTAAATCCTTAAACTGAAATTATAGCTTTCTTTTTTGATAATTCAGGTGAACAGCAAGTTGTGCCCGTAGGATGATAATTGTGTGAAATAATAATTAAGCGATATTAATTATTTCAAGGTAATTACCAAAGATACAAGTTGATCACGTTCCTGAGCTATCTTCTCCACCAGACCAATAAGGTTTGTTAGGTAATAATGACCTACAACTTCTTTTTCTGTCACTTCCTCCAGCTGCACTTGTAAAATACCTATTTTCTTCTTTAGTCGCCTATAAAATGAACAGATTGGGAATTAATAATGGAATTAAAAACTTGCATCACGCGCAAATCAACATGTACAACTCTCAAACAATCAAACATACTGCTAGAAATCCACTGGCTCCCAATATTTGCAGTGCCAAAAGTACCACGCCCCACTTTTTGGGGCTGTTTTTCTTTACAATATGTTGTCTGAATAACAGAACAATGATTCAAAAGAACAGTCTGTGCAATGGCTACAAGCTCATATTTCTTAAGAAATAAAACAATAATATTGGGTTTATTTTTTAAAGTACTGTGAGCCCATCTCTGAACCATCTGGCTGCATGAGGAGGTTTGCAAATAGTGTAAGGCCTGATTTTCAGTACACAAATGATTCATTGCTATAGCTAACTACTACTCACACTGTTAACTACTACAGGAAAGAAATATTCTTAATGTGCCTGTAGACACAGAAAAGAGAGCAAGAAAACATGCAAAACTCAGCAAAACTTTGGATGTGGCAAAGTTTTGGATGTGGCAAAGATACGTTTAGGAAACATGTAAAAAACACTCATTATGGGAAGCCAGACAATTTCTGCTGTTATTTTTAGGAAGACAAGTATTTCTAAACAAGAAAATGAGACTGGTGTGTGACCTGTTTGTCTTCTGTGTCATTTCCATTTCGGTTTGCAGGTCCTTGTAGTCAGCCATGCAGCTCTTTTTCTCCAGGAGCAGTTTCTTGTGCTCAGCTTGCAGCGATGCCACCCTTCCCTTCAGCCCTTCCACCTCACAGCGCCTCCTCTCCTGCTCCTCCTGTAACCGCCTGCAAAACCCAACAGCAGGGACAGGGCTCAGGTACAGCCCTAACTCACTGAAAACCTAAATTACAGCAAGATTACCCTCTTAAAGGGGTGAAAAAGATACACTGAGAATGCTTAATTTTCAGTGGTGACATCAGACAGGTATTACGTTCTCAAATCGTGAATGATTTAAATAACTCATTCTGACTGCACTTTACTTAAATTATAAAGCTACGGAGCCCAAATGTATTCCTTTTTTTTTTTTTCTTTTTTTTCTCCAAAGACATTACTAGCAATGCCAAATACAAGGTCTGAGAACTTCACAGGACACAAAACAGCGCTACCCAAAGGCTTGGAAGCAAACAAATTTACAGGATGTCTTCAGAGAAACATCACTGTGCAGGCAGTGCATGGCAGCACTTCAGAGTTGTGCTGTTTCCTGGTGTTTCTGCATTGTAAAGACTGGAAGAAACTCAGAACACCCAGTTTAGAGTTTCAGGATCCTTTCGACATGTTCCCAAAGAGGGGAACAAAAGAATGAGAATATTTAATTTATAGGATTTATAGAAATAAATAGTTTTGACAAAAATGATATTTTTAATGCCTCCTCTTCTACTATTTAAAACACAATGAGTACAATTAGCAGGACATACTCTGTGGTAGGAACACTCCTGCCCATGTTTCTAGATCTGGGATATCCTTTGGTAAATTAAAATATCCCTAAAAACCAAGACAGTATTTTTTAAACGCTTCTTTCCCTTTCTTTGTACTTTGGTAGTTGCCTTCCTGGATTACCAGCAGAAGGTTCCAGTGGCCTCCTACCTCCAGAGTGCAGCTCTGTTCACGTCCATGCTTTGCAGAATTGTTTCTCCAAGCACCACATGGAAAGCCATACCTGTTTAAATCATTCACCAAAGCCAAGTGCTGCTCTGCTGCTATTCTGCTCTCCACTTGGGCTTTCAGCTCTTCACAGGTAGAACACAAAGCTTTTAATTGCTTCTGGTACTCTGCTATCTCTTCTTCCTGGCTCTGTTTCTTCCCTTCTAAGATTACTATCTGTTTGGTCAACTTTGAAGCTTTTGGGAGGGAAAAAACCAAAATCAGCTGGGTATAAGAGAACTAATTCAATCACCTAGTGAAACTGCAACTAAACCATTACTGTGTTAATACCTGGTTGTGCATAGCAACAGTGGATTTGTCAGTTTGTTTGTATTTTGTTTGGATTTTATTTTTTGCTGTCTCAAGCAACTTGTTTCGGTAAAGTGCTGAAGCTTCAAGACTGCTTCTTTTCAGAGCTATAGGATCACTGAAACATCATTTTACTCTTAAAAATTCTGATTCAGTTTAAAGTGCTCTTAAATTACAAAAATTAATTTTTATATATTAACAACTCTTGTCACTTTTTCAGAAGTCAAAATGGAGTATGTTGTTCAGTGGCAATAGGTGATAATGACATTCTTTTCAGTCTCAGTTCACACCCAGAGCTTGATCTCATATTAATGTCACCCACATTCAGCAATGTTTTTTAGGTACATAGAAAGTTGCAAAAAAACCCCCAACCAAACAAAACCAACACCTCCCAAAAATGACAACAACAGAAATCAAACAAAAAAACCCCAAACCTGCAGTGGTGTAGTTGAAATGAATGGCAACTCAAGCACTTTACCTTCTTGAATGTGCTGTCTGTGACTGTCTTTTGCTTTAGCTTGTTGGATTTTGAGCTGCTCCATCAACAATCCATTTTCTTCCAAGACCAGCTTGGCCTGAGTTTGCAGCTGCTGCCTGCAATGATAACCAGCTTGTAAATAAAATATAATGCAAATGTTAGCTTATGTCCCCAATGACATTCAACAGTGTAAAAAGCATATTTGCACCTTTTTAAAGACTAAGTGAAAACCCTCATTGGAAGCAATATCAGAACCTAAGGTAAGCTTACTGGTGACATGAACTCGCAACCATCAAAAAGTAATTTATTTTAAATAATGTTTAAAGCCTTTGAGTGATAAAAGCAGTATGTGTGCATTAGGAGTGCAGCATCAGAGAATGGATAAGGTTTGAGGCACTTCCAACCTCAGGAGGTCATCTTGGAGAACAGCATTGTAACCAGTAACTGAAGCAGATTTGTTTTCAAAACATGTGATAAAATCTTGGATAGCATTTGGATTTACTTGGCTTTGATCCCTAGAAAAACACTGCCAGTGAGCTTTATGAGCCTGTGAGGAAGATGGGCATTTAAAATGAACTCTCCTGAGCAGAGAACTCAACCCTCTGCTTTTTAACTTGTATTAATTCAGCTTTTTAGAAAAGCAATATCAGTCCTTCTGATGTTAAAAAAGTTGTTCCAGTAAGAGCTTAAAAAGTTGAGAGTTTAGCCAAAGTGTGTTTTGAAATTTGTGGACAGCACTGTTCATCAAGGCAATCGTGACCCTACCACCCCTTCAACAAAACAATTTGCTTAAAGGGAAAAAAATCTTTCACTTAAAATCTGTGATCTTCAAAGTTTGCACACAATAAGCAAAAGAATTAGTAACTTTTAAATTAATTTCCAGTAATGTAACTTGCCATTCTGTAGAGGTAATAAAGTTATTTTTATTTAATCGCTCATGCAGGTCTTCATTCTCCTTCACCAACTCTTCAACTCGTGCTTTAAAATTCTTCATATCCTCCTGCAAGACAAAGGATTTCACATAACATTCTTTAGAGGTAAGTATTTTTGTTGATGTAATTTTTTTGTTTGTAATGTAGTTTTTACATCAACAAAAATCTTTGTAAGCCTACATGTTTCTAATTCCTGACTTAATAGCATATTATCTCTCTACTCACTCATCTCTAATTCAGATGAGCATATTTGATTTCTAAATTGTTTCATCAGTCTAGTAATATCTGATTAAAAGAATGCTGATATTTGATTTGTGCCACATTTTTGCAAGTTGTAGATCCTTAAAATATGCATTTAAAAAACTGAATTCTGGATATTGCTAGATGACACTACACATTTTCAGAAGGAATGGCATGGATTTGAATATGGTAGGACAAGACAGGGAATTTACAGTAGTAAAATCCTTGGTGTTTTCTGCCCATTTTATGGTTTAATTTTTTGAAAGAAATAAATTTATTTTTAAAGCCTAGGAAAGTTCTGCTTTCATACCCACAAGCAGGTGGAAGAGCAGCTCTACAGAGCATTAAATCCCTATTATGGATGACAATGGCAAATTCTTTCTATCACTGTGTTTATAATTTACTCTGTTCTTAGAGCCCATCTTACACCTCTCAGTGGAGTGGCCACTTCTAAAGCTGAACAGGCTGACAAAAAACAGCAAGTCAAGAAGGATAAGACACAATAACCATGCATGGAAAATTAAAACAAAGTCACTTCAAATTTTAGGCAGAAAACAGCATTGACAAATCCCTTCAAAAAAATTTCAGCCATTTATTTCCACTTTAGTGCATATTTTAAATGGCAACTTGCCTCATGTTCAAGAATAAAATCTTCCTTTTCTCTTATTCTGTCTTCATAAGCCAACAGAAGAGGTGACAAATACTTCATATCCAACTTAAAGAAAATGAAGAAAAAAATCAATAAATACAAATTAATTACACACAATAATCTTATCTGTATTTTTTACTTCTCCTGCTATAGACTGCTATAGTTTTAAAAGCTGTGAAGGGTTTTCATTTATGACTTGGACACTACATTGGCACACTTCACTAAAAAGCAGCTCTAACAGCAGAGTGTGGATGCAAACGAATACAAACCAAAACTGAACCACTCCAGTGAATACCACTTGTAAAAAAAGTACCCCAGATTCATTAGTAAGTGGGAAAGGAATTTTTACATTCTCAAACCTGCATTTTTAATACTAAATAATATGTGGTTATTGGCTATTATGGCTAGAACAACAGAGCAGGAGCATTTTCCTGTACAATACAGTTCTGAAAAACAACGAGGAAGGAAAATGTAAGATCTGATCAGCATTTCAAGGAGAAATTCTTTCACCTATTACAAATGCATTCAATCTCACAGACTATTTGCCTTCTTGCCAGAAATTCAGAGGCTACTAGTGGAGCCATGACCATTCCCTACCACGAGAATCACTGAAATGTTCTATTTTCTTTTAGTATCATCTTAAAAATAATAACAGCAGGAGATTAACAATTAAGGAGATTAACAATTCAGGAGATTAACAATTAAGCAGTAGACCTTGGAAGACCTTGAAGCAAACTACGTGCTAGACAATGGTAAGTGAAGAAGGTACTTCTGACTCTCAGGCCACCAGCACTTGTCAGCAGTTCCAGCTCTGTGCCTGTGCAGTCTGCAGTTTACTGCACATTCTGCAAAGTTCTGCCCCACATCTTTTCATGCAACAAAAAAAGGATATTCTACTTGTATTTATATAGAATATTTATTATATTCTATTAGTTTGTGATAGTTCAGCAGAGGAAGTAAATAATATCCTGATTATTTCGTTTCCAGTAAAGAAATTCTACAACTTTACTTAGAAAGGAATAAGCACAGAAGGGAAAATATTATTTGACTTACCAGCCATGGTGGTGGTGGTCCTTTCATGGGTAAGCTTTTCAGCTTTACATGCTAGAGCAGATTTTTGAAAACATACTGACATTATTTCCTGCTTTTTGAAGCACCAACAACTACCCACTGCAGTCACAACAAAGCTGATGTTTCTAATTACAGGTGTTCTATGTTTAATACACACTCAAAGTCAACAAAACTGGAAGTTCAGTATCTTACTAATACAGGAGAATAATACTGACTTCTTCAAGTCAGACTTAATGATAAATGCTTATTTTAAATTTCAGGAAAGGCCTGTGCAATTTGTAGACTTTGCAACAAACTTGGAGAAAGTAAAACCCTCAAAGATGAAATAACAATGGGACGTTTCAGTAGAAACTGCCTTTATAACCAAGACTCTCACCTCTTCTTGGGACAGTGACCTGAATTTAGTTTGATAGCGGCTTAATTCTACATTTAAACGATGGACCACCATTTTCAAAGCATCATTTTCATCTACCAGTTCTTGTGCTTGTTGCCTGAGAGAAAGTAATTCTGTTGCCTCCTCTGTTAAAACAAATATCCAACAAGAAAGTTCAATCAAAACTCAAGAAATGTTCACAGCAATTTGTTAATTGTAATGCAAAAAAAAAAATAATTTCAATAAGCTAGAATAATAAGAGAACTTCTCTCAAAATACTGTTATGGAACAATCCCGTGAAAAATTACTAATAAAAAACCCAACCACCAAGTAATTTTTTTCATGGTTATATAAGTATTCCTTGACAAAATTTCTACAAATATAGAAAATACTGTTTGGAAACTACTTCTGCACAGATACTTGCCTAAATCAATGACTTTAAAGCTACTACTACAGGAACAGGTTGTAAGAAATCAGAAAAATCAAACCAGATAGCTACAGAATGGCTCTTGGGTTTCTCCCACCTTCTCTGGGTGAGTTCTCTGCAGCTTCTTTAAGTCTTCTGTTTTCTTGTTCTTTAAGTCTTCTGTTTTCTTGTTCTTCAAGTTTTCTGTTTTCTTGTTCTTTAACTCTTCTGTTTTCTTGTTCTAGTTTCTTCAGCTGTAACTGCTGTTCTTCCATTTGCTGCTTTGTTCCCTCCAGCTGCTGCAGCACAGCCTGGTATGCCTTGCTCAGGGCCCAGTTTTCTTGTTTTAGTTCTCTGAACTTTTCTTTAGTCAGATTTTCCCGTGCTTGCCTTGCCCGAACAGACACGTCTGCAATGCCACAGCCCAAGGGATGTCAGTTATATTCAGACTAGAACATGAGTTTCAGCAAATTACAACCCATTTTTTCTAATATCAGCATTATGTATGAGTGGTACTTTATAAGATATAAATCGGCTCGTGGCTCCCAAAAGATAAGACCAGAAAGAATTAAAAAAGTAGATTTGGAGAGAGCTGTGGAGTGGCTGCAAGATCCCACCTTTTCTCTCAGACACTGAAGACATTCCCTCTTTAATTGGGAAAGAAAGTGTCAGCAGATCTCTCTCTCTCAAGCATCAGGGGTTAAAGAGATGAGACAAAAATGTTCACTGCATGGACCAGTCAGTCTTCCTGATCCCTCCTTATTTTAATCACCTTTACAATGAAAGCTGTACCTTCCTCCCCACTGAACAGTTTCAATGATCTGTTACTGAAGTTACTTGACAATCCTTACAAAAGTAAAATTTTAGATTATCTGCAAAACTGTGGATATATTGTTGCATCAGTGACAGTGGCTCACAATTGCAGGTTTTCCTTTCCATCTGTGTGGGATGAACAGCTGACCTATTAAAATGAATTTTAGCCTTGCCAGTATAACCTAACAGCACATAACCATCAGTGTAACTCAGCACAGGAAAATACTTTCACACACACACACATAAATACAGGCAGAAAAATGTGGTTTTATATAAAAATGCCTATTATTAAAGTGAAGATGTGTGGTAAATGCATAGAAGCATCCAAAGTACCTGGGGATGGTGGAGGTTTTTCACGTATCAGATTGTCAGCTAAAGGTTTTTCCTCCTAGCAGAGAAATAAAAAATGAGACAATTTGCTTTAACAGTCACCCTGCCTGAAGTTCTCTGAACAGCAGCACTGTTGGAGAACTTAAGAAACAAAACTTTAGAAGGAGTTTCTTTCATATCAACAAAATTTAAGGCTGGATTCACTGCTGATAACACACAACTTCTCACTGATCTTGACATAATTTTGTCACTTATCCCTGCCTTCAGTCACTTGTGGACATTTGAAACTGTCGCTATTATTTTTAGTCATCAGAAATGTACACTTCTCTAAGTATTTTTTTTTTTATGGCTGGCATAAAAGTCCCATAAACTTAAAGGTTCTTGACCAAACAGGATGGATACTGTTCCCACTAAAATAAGACTTTAGACTAATCATTTATGATATGAACTTGAACTGTCAATCCCTAACTAGGTATCAGCAAAGAAATTTAAATGGAAAATGTTCTTCAAAGCTGAAGAATTTTGTTCTTGTTTTGCTGAAAAAAAAAAAAAAAAGGTATCTATTTTTACATTTCTGGAAGGTTCTTCCAATAGGAAAGAACTCCAGACTCATTTAAACCATTTAAACCAACTTGAGGAGAACATGATTCCCTAGTGGCAATAAATTAATTTTCTTTTAAGTGACTGCAAACTAACAGCTCTTTATGACACCCTGTTTTCCAAAATACATCATAAATCAACCTCTGTCTAAGTCTTACCTTTAAGTTCAGGTCAAGATGTTGATCTTCTGCTAAAGAAAAACAGATCTTTCAGTCAACAGAACCAAGATCTATTTGTAACTACAAAAATGATTTGTAATTATTTGTAAGTAAGCAGGCACACATATGATACACTGCAAATACATGTAAGGAAGTCCTCCCCAAACCACAAATGAGCTCACTGACTTTCCACTATCCCTTTCATGGTGTGTCAGGACCCTGATGCGAGACCTTCCTTTCCCTCACTCTCTGTAGGTGCAAGTGGGGCAGAAATGATGCTGCATTGGTGGCTTCCATCATCATTTTAGAATTTGACTAAAGGACAAGTGAAGTGTTTTCACTGATTTCACTGGGCTTGAATCCTATTGCAGTTCTGAGCAAAGCAAGTGCAATTCTGGCAGCTTCCAAAACCTGCAGCACTTACTATGTGGAAGAGGGATTGGAACTGGTGTTCTAATATCCTGTTCTTTTCAGTTCAATGCCTTCATTTCCCAAATGCTTTTATCAAAGCAACCCATCCTTTCTGGATATTATTCTCTATGAAACTTTTCAAATTACTCCACTGAAACAATACTGAAAAAAACACTGGGATCCAGCATGAATAACACTTAGAAAGAGAACATTTTTTTCAAAACAGACTCAATTCTGCTTTCTCTTTTCCATCCAATAGCTACAGAGTGTTGCCATCCACTCTAAAAACTGCATGTTCCAGCTCTGGAACTAATTCTCACCTCCCAGTTTCCTGATTTTAAAAGAACAGACAAGACAATTATGCAATAGAACTGTGACACAAATAGATCGGTCCTGCTGTATTGTTATAACTTTTTCTCCATAATATTGTATTGCTCCAAGAAAACAGTTTAATGGCAGGTCCAGTTACAAACCAAATGTCCCTGATCTAATTAAATTACTTCTTGAAAAAGAGTTATTTGTGAAGCTTAACAATTCAGAGCTTAGGGTGATAACCTGAGCCTGATGAGCAGGGTAATTTCTCTCTTTAGAAACATCCTCTGTGATCTGATGTACAGTTTTAAGGCCCAGACCTTAAAAGACAGCAATAATGGTACAACTTCTACAGAAAGGATAAATAACACTTCTATCATGTCATTTGATTATTAAAAAGCCCAGAAGTTTTTAACTGATGGTTTTCAGTCATGGCATTTTTTCCATACAAGGAAAATGACTGATTAAAAATGTTTTCCTCTATCTCCAGCTTTTTTTTTTAACATTGGTAGTTTCTGTAGTTCCTAATTTTTCCCAGTTTTTGAGCACAGTAAGACTCCAAATTTCCAGAGCATAAATTGGATTGATTCACTGGATTTATAGTAGAGAATGACTGTACTAGACAAGACAGAGTTCACAAAACTTTTCCCCCTCCTCTTTTTACAAGGGCTGATAGTGGATATTTAGGAAGTCACTCCACAGTGAATACAGACCAATCTTCCCTCTTTATGCATCCTTTTAATGTTCTGTAACTACTTTAAATTATTGTTAAGTAAATAGCAGCATTTTTAATTGCTCTTTTAAAAAAGGGATATACCATTATCGCATAGTATTACATTTATTTTATTCAAAAATTACTTTCCCTATGGTATATGGCATTTTGAAGTAAAAGTAAGTTTTATTTACCTTCTATTTCCAAACTTGATTTATCCACCACCATCTGAGACTCAGTTTCATGGGAAGGAACCTCTTTCTCATCAGTGTTAGAGGTGGGAGATGGTAGAAACTCTTCCTATGGAGAAACAAGACAAGCCTATTTAAATCATGGTATCAGTGTTAAAATAGCCCTTGTGCCTTGACATCTCTCTGAATCCTTGGTCTACAACTGTCCCTTCTCCTAGGGGTGTTTTTTGGTTTCTTACAATACATACCACAAGTCCAAAATGTAAAAGATTGATGGTTCTACTTCCCTAGTGTTGGGGTTTTTATTGAAGAGGCTTTTTATTGCCTCTTTCCTACTCAGGTACCTCTTCCTGTCTGTTAAATTTTTGTATAATTTTGGACTGAACTTTAAACGTGCCTTAGGAGTACTGAGCTGTGCATTGCTGGTTAAGACAATCCAAAATTATAACATAGAAACATTTATCTCATTTGATTCCCAATCTCCCTGTCTCTATGTGGTCTGTGCTCATTAGCACAACACTGAAACATTAACTAAGCTTTCACCATTTAAGAGTCAAGTGCTTTGAACAAATCATCTGCTCTGTAAGTACCATGGCAACATAAATTATTGGGCATTTTACAAAGCTAAATTGTGCATTATAATTATATACAATACCAGCGTTTTCCTACTAAGAAAAGGCTCCTATAATCAGATACAGGGAATCTGTGAGAACCAACAAACCTCACTCATGTAAGAGTAAAGGAATCACAAAAAGAAGCATGTGAAATAAATATTGAATAAATGCCTGAAGAATAAGAAGAGAACATAAAGCATTAGAAACATTTAACACGTGCATTAACATATTAAAACATTAATACATTTTAAAATTCTACCTTTTTATTTTTACAGGGAACAGCATAAACAGCATTTGTGCTAAAGCTTTCTTCCCTCTTCTCATTACTCTGACAGCTGGACTCTGCCTCTTTATCAGCATCTGAGACAAAGGTATCCATGTCCTCATCTTCACCATAGTGGCCTGATGTTTCCAGGGACTGTACAGGAGATCTGTCACTACCATCAAGTTTCCAGGTGGACCTGCAGGTAAAAAGCAATTTAATGCCACTTTCAACTCTGCTGCTCATTCTTCAAACAAAAACAACCTAGTAAAGTAGAACCATCAGTTCTTACAAAGTACACCACAAGTCCAAACAACTGACAAACATCTAAACTAGGAATCTAGCCTATGTGTGTGCTCTAAAACAGACAATTAACACTGGAACTACCTGATCCTCTCTATCTTAAAGAAAATGCCACATTAGAGAGAGAAGGTTGCTAATTCTACCACAAGGTTACATCTGTCATGTAACTGTAACATCTGCCATGGGTCATTTAACTCAGTTAATCACATTGGGTAGAAACAATTTATGGTTTTACTTCTGACTGCTGTACAATCCAAGCCTGCCTCTCTGAAGACTCTATGCATGACATCACTTCACAAGAAATGGCACAAGGATCGTGGACACTTCAGACCCAATTTATGATGCGGTGAGAAGAAAGCAGGAGTTTGCTGTAACTCCTTGGTAAAACCGTATCACTGGCAGGTTCTGTGTCCAACCTGAGCTATCAAACCAGAAGTGTACACTACCCTGTTCTGAGCTGGGTCACTGTTGCATAGGGTTCAAAGCCTTCCTGTTCCACAGAGGTGGAATCACTTTCGGAGAGGGATCTCTGCCGAGGCTGAGGAATAGCAACAGTGCGCCCTGTGAGTGCTGTGGCAAGGATTGCTGCTGCCAGGGCAGACCTGCAGGAGAACAGAGAAAAACAATGAAGCAATGCTGGTGTGCTCTTGTGCCCTCCACACCTGATATATTTTCCTTTGCAAAATGTCTTCACTATTTAAGCAAAGCAAAGTGTTCACAGTTAACGAGCATAAAATGCCACTGAATGCCCACGGGACTGGTTGTGAACTATGAACACCCACAGGAAAGCACAAAACGGGGCAAGCTATTGTAATGCAGCTTTCCAAGAGTAAAGCACAATACCTCCTGGTTTTCCCAAATCACATGCATGAAAATCATGGAATATTCTGAGTTACTTTCCTAAAATTCACATCAACCATTGACAGCATTTAGCATTCACTTTAGTCGAAAAGGTGTTCCAAGTCCTGCTACTTTGTCTCTATTCCCCACTCTGATCCTTCTACTGGTGACTCTGAAGTTGTTAATAAATGTTGGCACACTGCAAACCAGGACAAGTAAACAGAAGTCCCTATTTGTGGGACACTGTGGAGTATGGAAAAGGATATGATGAAGAGGAAAAACTAGTAGGAGCTAAGGTTAAAGCAGAGAAATGGTGAGGACTCTAAAAGGAAAGAAAACAACTGGAGGTCAAAAAGGAAGAAGAAATGAACCAGGATTAAGGAGGAATGTTACAGACACTAGAAAGACCATGGAAAACAACCAAACCTGAACTAAACATGGAGAAAATATAGACTAAAAACTGTAATAAACTACAACTTAGAAGAAAAAGAGATTTATATTTTTCTCCATTTGACTTGCCTTTATTGCTACATCCAATCCAATGGATTATGCCAGGTTTTTAAGTCCCTGTCATGGGACTTAAAAGAAGCCAAACCATAACATTTAGTTTATGGTTTTCTAGTGAGCTAAAATTTCCTGACTCACAGCACTAGTGTTGCTGCACAGTCTACTGTGGCAGCCAAATTAAAAATTACCCTAACTGTAAACAGTCCATTTGTCTTTAATTGACGCACATAAGTTCTATATTCTTAATGGTTATTACCCTAAATATTTAGCACACTCAGGAGTGGAAGAAAAATTCAAAAAGAGGGGAAGCAACCCACTTAAAAATATATTTGTTTTGTGAAATGCTTTGCACAAATACTGCAGAAAGGACATGTGATTCTTTTAATCATGCACTTCTAGTAGGTTATAGCATACTTGAGGAAGGGAAAAAAAACAAACACCAAAAACATCAGAACATACCTGGGCCTTTCTGGAGAAGGGTTTGGACTACGAGGGGGAGGGGTGCGGGGAACTGCAGGTTTAGGAGCTATGGTGGCAGCAGGGACCAGGCCATGAGCTATGTGTTTCTAAACAATTTAAAATAAAATTAGTTGACAAAGTGACTTTTCAGGATCACCACAAAAAAAAAAAAAAAAAGAAAAAACCACACAGAACTGAACGTGCACAAAAACCGACAATGGAAAATAATAAAGAGGAAGAGCAATGACATGCAATTAATGCAAACTGAGGGCTTGAAATGGTTCCAATTTAACTTTTTAACATGTATGAACAGCTGCTAATGGAGGTTAGAAACGGAATTTACGTGAGAACCACGAATGGAGGTTTTCTACCCACTATGGCACAGTATGCAAAAGCAGAATTTTAACAGAATCATTTTTTCCTGTAGAAAAACTGGACTAGAAAATAACTTCTTTCAAAATATTTGAATGCTGCTTCAGAGTGACAATATTAGTCCATTTCTTCTAGAGTCTGTCAGTCAGAAGTAACCCTCAGCCACAGCAGCATGAGATGGACAAATAACCCTGTCTCTAAGAGTCTTGCAGTCAAAGGTTCAACCTGAATTAGAAAAGACCTAATGAATGTTTTAGCAGCAAACACAGTAACTTTTTTAAAAAGGGATAATATTAAATACCAGCTCAGAAAAAGTGGAACCAGAGTTCCCTGCAAAGAATGGAATCATGTAATAGCTGAGGTTGGAAGGGAGTTCACATCTTGTGTATCCCCAACCTGGTCCAGTGTTAAATCCCCTCACAGTATTTTATTTATCATGTTTAAGTTGACTTGTCTGTGTTTGAATTGGTGCTCATTGCCTCTTGTCCTGTCTCTAGGCATCAGAATAGATGAGGCCATAATAAAATCCATCACCTTTGGATGGAGTAAAACAGGCCACGTTCCTGCTATTTCTTCTACAGAGATTTCTTTTGCTTCCCAAATTATTCTTTAATTTACTTCTCTAACTGGGGAATGAAGAGGCAAAATGGGACATACTTCTGTCCTCACAGGAAGGCACATCGAATAACTAAATGGTGCATTACAAAGATTGCATTTTTATTCAGCCTTATCTTGCAAATGCACCGCTCCTGAACTCTGCAGGTCTGTCTGGGACACGCCGGTTTGTTTGCTAAAGGCTGCTGACTGGAGATATCTCACTGTGATCACCAGGGAACACAGCCGAGCTAAGAGTAGAAAGCGTGGCAACAACAGAGGATCGATACTTTAATTCCAGTAACAAGAGTTCAATCACTTCAAGCGCACTGGGAGATAACTCTGCTGGCAACCCTGCAACCTTCGGCTGCCCTGAGCTCTCATTACATTAATTTACTGTTAATAAGACGCCAGCACGCTCTCCTGTAGTTTGTAATGGTAACACAGCAGTGGCTGCAGTTAGAAGAGTGTTTTCCTGGGAGAGAAGGCAGGTCCCGGTGTTTGCTGCCACTCGCACAGCTGCGCGATCTGCCCACCATGAGCAGCTCTGCAACACTGCTCCAACTGGAACCACCGATGCGTTAACGTCACCGGCCACAGGAGAGTCTGCCGGGTTCTTTTAACAGCAAATTAACGCCGTAACTTGCATCAGTTGACTTTAGAGCAGTGAATGTGCGCTTCGAGGATCGCGCTGGGAGAGAGGGAGCGGCACTGCCGGCCCGGGGGTCAGACACTGGAGAGGCTAGGCAGGGCTGGGACTGGCGGAGAGGAGCGCCCCAGGCTCCGGACACCTTCCTGTCTTTGCCTGGCGTTTATTCCCCCCCGATTTTCACCGCGGTCAAACCGCTCAGCGCTCCCCGGCACCGCCCGCCTTCCCCGGGGGTCCCGCCCGCACACGGGCTGCTGCCCCCGCTCCCGGCGATGCCCCGAGCGATACTCACGAAGGGGCCGGGGCGGCCTCTCCTGAACAGGAACGACATCGGGACGGGACAGGACGGGACGGGACAGACGGACCCGGCCCCGCCGCCCCACGGGCACCGCCCCGAACGCTTCAGCCCCGCCACCCGCCCGGCAACAACGGCGCGGCGGATTGGCTGCGGGCCCGCGCGCCGCCAATCGCAGCGCGCCGTGCTCAGCCCGTTGCCAGGGGCGAGCGGCCCCGCCGGGCATGAGGGGCGGCGGGGGGGGGAGCCCCGGGGCGGGGAGGGAGCTCCAGGGCAGTGCCGGAGCCCAGGGCAGTGCCGGGCAGGTGAGCGCTGGGACGCGGGGAGGGTCCGGCTCCTCCTCGGTGTCTGTGCGCGGGTCTGTGGCCGGGGAGATGATTCTGCCTGGGGAGGCCGCGCCTCGAGTGCTGTGTCCAGTTCTGGGCTCCTCAGTTTGGGAAGGAGGGGCTGGAGCGGGTCCAGAGAAGGGCGACGAGGCTGCGGAAAGGTCTGGGTGCTGGGAGGAGCAGCTGAGGGAGCTGGGGGGGCTCAGCCTGGAGAAAAGGAGGCTCAGGGGGGACCTTGGCGCTCTCTGCAAGTCCCTGACAGGAGGGGGAGCCGGGAGATTCGGGCTCTGCTCCCGGGAAGCAGCAGGAGGACAAGAGGGCACAGCTTTAAACTGCCCCAGGGGAGGTTTAGGTTGAACATCAGGAAGAGGTTCTTTAAAGAGCAAGTGATCAGACATTGGAAGGGGCTGCCCAGGGAAGGGGTGGAGTCCCCGTCCCAGGGGGTGTTTAGGAACAAACTGGATGTGGCATCAGTGCCATGGGCTGGGTGACAGGGTGGGGTCACAGGGTGGACTCGCTGATCTCAGAGGTCTTTTCCAGCCTGGTTGGTTCTGTGGCTCTGTGTTTGCAGCAGTACTGTCTTGTCTGTGGTGTCTCCTCAAATCATGCCTTGATCTCCCACACTCCCGGTTGCCCCCGAAGTCAGAACAGTACATAAACCTGGCAAACCTGACAATAATCTCTTCCAGCAACTCCCTTCTAATAATGTGTCTGGAGACTCCCACCAGCTGTGGCTGGAGGTGCCTCTGGAGTCAGCTTTGCAATTCCAGCAGACTTTATCCCAGGGGGGTGGATGAAGGCATGGGAGAGGCAATGTGGGGTTTTCCACCATCCCTGTGTTTGAATTCAGACATTTTTTCAGACTTAGTGGTAAAGCTGGAAGTGGAATTTGCAAGTCAGCAGCCTGTGTTCAAGTGATCAGAGCTGCTGACTGGTTTTGATATGCTAACCAAACTCTAAGGAGTCTTGGGGAAGGACATAAGTGTCTCTTCCAGAACGTATCTTAAGTTATGGTTAAAATGTATAAGTTTGGAACAGGTTTGTAAAATGTGTTACTGTCCTTTCCACGTTTCTTTCTAGAGTGTAACTGCTCCTGGAGTAAAGACCTGAAGGGAGGCCTGATGACAACAAAAGCAAACTCCACTGTGACAGCAGGATCTGTCGTTGTCCCTTATGGGCATGTGATCGGAAATGAGAAGTGGAGAGGGTCAGAGGTAGCCCAAAAGCTACAAGGTAAGCACAAACAAATTGGAAGAGGACACACAGTTCAGGCAAAGCATTACCTGAATGGCTGGAATATGCTTTACTCTCTGCCTGACTGTCCCAGATTTGTGGTAGAGTTTTTAGCAGGCTGAAGGATCCTGTCACATACCTGTGTGATCAGCTCTGTCGTGTTCTCATGGCTGCAGAGCACTGGAGAGAAGCAGCAGAATCTGCTGCTGTGGGGCTTTGTGGATGTTCACCTGCACTGGACTCCCTTGAATTTACATGGATACTGAACCTGTGCTGTCATCTCTTGGCACAGCAAGCTAAACCAGGATGATCCTTGCAGGAAAGCATGTGGCATTTCTGTTCAAGCTCAGAGTTTACTGAGCAGCTACAGCACTTACAAACCTGTAGTGCTGTTAATTGGCATTACCACAGGACATCACACAGTGCTTTGGATTGCTTGTCTCAATTTTACTTAATTTTACTTAAGGAGAAGAAAGGCTTTTACAGAATATAAAGTTCACTGTGAAGTCACAAGGATTACTGACACATCAGGAAGGTTGTGCTGTGCAGAAGTTGTTATAATTGTTATAATAATAGCATATATACTCTCTATAAAAATATAGTATTTCTATAATATATACATATTTTGTTTATGTATTATATATTAACATATATTTATAGCATATATATAGTAAATAATTATAATAGTAATTGTTATATATATCAGTAATTGTATATTTTTAACCACTATATTTTTTTCTTACAACAATTGCACACCTTAAGGGAAAGTCAGACTCATCTTTGAAGATGGCTTGGGACTGGTGGACTTTCATCTTTCCAACAGAACTTGCATTTTATATATTTCTGAAGCAGATTTGGTTGCAGGGGATGAATACAAACGAAGAGTGGTGAGGTTTAGAAATGTAAGTGCTAAATAAAAAGGTTTCAATTGATATTTGTTTATTCTGTGCTTCTGAAAACATTCTCCTTGTGTTATTTTTACATTCTAGTGGAGCTAAACTTTTAAGATAGTATCCACCTGAAAACTGAGTAATTCTGAAGCTGTGTGATGGTGCTGCATTAAACTTCAGGAATGTTCTACAACTTCTGTTCTCCCTCTGATTTGCCATCAGGCAGCTCCTACTTGAAAGAATTTCAGCCTGTTATGTTGCATCAGCTTGTCATTAACAAGGCCTTTTCTTCTTTTTGCCCTTTCAATACAGGCCAGCAATCTCAGGGGACTTGTAATTGTAGAGAAAACCCAGATAAGCGGTCAGTACTTCTCAGCAGTACAAAAACTTGTTGTACTCGAACTTGGAATGGTGTTGCTTCCTGTGGCAAATCAAGGAGAAGCAGCTCAGCTCATTGTTCAGCTGGTGAGTGTCTGTGTCACTGGGCAAATATTATAAAAATATGGGAGGTGTGGGAAAGCTCTCGATCCTCACTCATTTCAGGAAGAATACCTGGGATCTTAAAGGAGCACAACACTGAATGTAAGGAATAAATCTGCAACAGTGATATGGGAGTGTAGCTCAGAGGGAAGAGGGCTTCTTTGGGAACAAAAAAAACCAAGGAAAAAAGGTCAAACAACGTGATCCTGGATTCTTTTCATGTGATCTTGCACTGAAGGGCCACTGGATAACATTAGACAAACCTCACTTAAGTTCTTTGTCAAAGCCAACTGGAGATTTTGCTCTCTCTAAGGCTAAGGAAACCGTTCTTAGATTGTTTAGCCTTTCTCTGCATCAAAAAGGGGACAAAAATCATTGTTTTCATTTATGGTTGCTATGAAGAAACCATTCCCTACTGAAACTTTGTGAAGTGCATCAAAATAAGGGCACACAGCTAAGCAGGGAGCTCGTTCCTAAAGCGTCCTGCTGATTGCCCTGAGCTGCTTTGCCGTGACAGAACCGGCGTTGAGGGCTGGAAGCAGAGCTGCTGCTCGCTCGGCTCACGGCTGTGTTTGGCTGCAGGTGCGGGAGCAGAGCCGGGATCAGAGCTCCAACCCCTTCCTGCGCAAGCAGCGACCTCAGCTGGCGGAGCCAGCGCTGCTCCAGACAGCGCAGCACATCCCGGGCGTGGGGAAAACGAAAGCTCTGCTCCTGCTGCAGCATTTCGGCAGCATCCACCGGCTTTGTAACGCATCCATCGGCGAGCTGGAGCGAGTGGTTGGACAAGCGGCAGCGCAGCAAATTCATTCCTTTCTCTGTTCCTGACACGCTATTTTGCAAACAAAGACTTTTTGTATGTTTTTTTTTCTTGTGAATAATAAAATTTGGGTTTTAATAATCATGTATTACGGTAGTTTTTATAATCGTGGCTGGCAACAGCTGGAGGGTGCTGGCTAATTGTTACAAGTATTCCTGTGGTCTGAGCAAGAACATAAGGCACACACTCATTGCCCTGCAAGTTAAGGTAGCTGTTGGTGACCACTCAGGGTAGGATGAGTCTTTATTTAGCTGACAGAAAGTTTTGACTTGAATTGAGGGGTGCTTTAAATTTAAAAAGACCCTCACCCCAACCTTTCCTCAAGGACTAAAGACAGGAAGGGGAAGGCAGTTAATGATGTAGCTGAGAGGGAAAATATCTGCAAGAGGACTGGAATAGTGGATTGAGAGAAATGAAGAGCTGGAAGGGGCATTCATGTGACTTTGCTAAAGACTTTGGAGAACAATTTCAGTAAATCTCTGTATCTGACCACCGCTGGCTGGGTGTGTAAAGCAACTCAACTACAAGTACAGGTGAAGAGTAACTGCTAAGTTTTTTATGTAACCTTTACAAGGAAACTCTATAAATATATTTATACTCTTTGTTAGGAAGCCAGTTCCTTCTTAAGTTCCTGTACTGTCCAATATAAACTTTCTTTAAAGTGTCTTAGATATTTGTAAGCCAAATCACAGAAACACAAGATACAGCATCAGTAGATAGCAAAAACCTGTAAATTATGCTGCATCATCCAAACTGTAGCAGAATCAAAAAGCTACTATTAAGTGACAGCATCTGATTTTTATTCTTAAATAAATGTCATCAAGATATTTACACCTACTACATAAGAAACTAAAAATAAGTGACAACTTCCAAGTTTACACCAAGATGCAAACTCTCCCCTCATTCAAGTTTTGAGTATCAAACAGCATATATCTACTCTGTAGATGGCAATGTTAACTAACACTACAGTGTTAGCAATTTTCAGTTAATTTAGAACACAGAAGAATCTCAAAGAAATGCTCACCAGTTATTTTTTGTCTCCCTCCTTACTATAATATGTATAGCTGCTCATGAATTTTGCCAAGGGCAGAAAGATTTGATGCGACAGTAAATAAATATTCTGCCACTTACACAGGCACTCTTCATCACTGCAACTTATATACTCTTGATTATTATACTATAATATGTCCATTTTGAGATTTGTTTCACAGTTAATCCACTTTATCAAGACTAATAAGACACAAGTCTCAAGGTAAGTAGATTAAATAATGTCATTTGGAATAAAGCCTGTTTTTAACATTTGCATCAGCAGGCATTTAAAATGTATCCTAGAAAAAGAGCAGAGTACAAGCCTTTTGGAGTTCAAAGACATTTTAAATTTTAAGCCTTCTAATTCTCTTCCAGAATTAAATTATCTATTCAGCAGAACACACCTCGTCTGCATAAAAACCACAATGCTGTGGCACCAACCCTTGGCACAAGGTTAGTTTGTCTGAATAACATCGTTCTCTCTCATTTGTGGTTTAAGATAATTCTTTAGTGTTAAGTGACTCTAAACTTTCAGAGCAAAATCATCCTTTAATGTGTCCCCTATTGTTTTGCATGCAGCATCAAGTCTGTAATAAATAACTCCCATCTAGCATAGTCATTAAAAATTAGTCACGATAACTGTATTTTGAAATTCCAAAGGAATCCAGTCCTCACGTAAGCAGTTCTATCCTCTACATCTTCTTATTGCATACCTCCCAAACTGCTTCATTCTGCCCTTCAAATACTTCGGTTTTACAGTCCTTGCCAGGCTCTGACCTTCACAAGTGTCTCCACGCACAGGCAAATGAAGTCCCACGGTACTTGTCTGAGTTTGTACACACATACATAAAGATAAAATCGATTTTTATCGAGATAAAGCTGATTTTTATGTACATTTTAAACAGAAGCGTCACGTTGACAGATCCTTCCGGAAGACTCAGTACAATGAGCTCTCCGTGTTCAGAAGCGTGAAGGGTAAAAGCTTCTTCTTGGTCTGAGAACTCCCCGCCACAGCCGAAGGCAGGCAGAGGGTGCTCGCAGCTTTCTGTCTGTTTTTAGTTCCCCAGCTTAGAAAAGGGAGTTTCAGCGGGGCTTTCTTGGTCTGATCCATTTTATCCTCGTCCATGGCTAAGCAGATTAAAGAGTACGTCTTCTGCATTCCCACGGAGTACGTCGCGCTCTTGCTGTGCTGCAGGAAGAAGGGGAGCATTGTGAGAGGCAGCCACCCAAAGTGGGTCAGAATTTGCCAGCACAAAGGGTCAGTGTGCAGGCAGCTCTGCAGGGCAGCCAGCGTGCCAGGCTCATGGCATTGTGTGCTCCCGGGGTTTGGCACACAGGGACCCAAGGGTATCCTCTGCACAGCAGACAGGAACTTGGGAATCTTTCCATGGGTTGTTAGGCATTTAGGGTGACTGTGTAATATGTACCCTGGCCTCCCTACAAAGCTGAAGTATGTGGCTCTTGCACAGATCCGAAGGGAATATTTTGCTGTCTCTGGACAGGTTCCATGGTGATCCCAACTACGACAACAAGAGCTGCTGTAGGATATTCTTTTGGGATACCTGAAAGGCACAGCCTTCTGTATCTTATCTTAGCTGTGCCCTGGAGCAACCTGGTTATATTCCAGCCTTTTGTTTCCAGCTGCAGCTTGGAATGGCAGGTGTGTAATTCCTTATTTTCAATAAGGAAAACCAACTTCTTAAACAAAATAAGAAAGCCTAACAGCAGTCAGGGCACCTTGAGGGCTTCTGAGGCAACACTGCTTCAGTGCCTGGGTTTGCCAGGGAATGTCAGGAACATGAAGCAGTGGATTTAGCTGAACTACAGGTTCTTTCAGACACCAACTAAGTTATTTCGAGCTTAACATTTTTAAATCTTGTGATGATCTTCCCTCAGTCTAAAACTTCCACAGCAGTTCAGCGACTGGCTAGGCAGTTAAAGTCCTCCCAAATAAAAAATAAATACATTAATCCATGATCTAATACACAACTCACAGAGCCTTTACGTTGACAGTGCACAGAAAATAAACATGTGGTCTTGGATGTTCTATTTCATCCATAATTGTTTCCCTGTGGCTTTTCCAAAGCTGAACAGGGTAATACTTTCATCCTCTGCCACAAGTTAGAGGAAATAAACTGTGCCTTGAAATTTGTAATGCAATTAATCTAGAGTAGCTCCACTACAAAAAACGCCACCACCCAACCATTCCTATGCACACAGACTACTTTGGCTTGTCAAGGCACGATGATTTAAACAGATTGTTTAAAACTGAACACTTGCCTGAAGGCTTTAAATATTCCCTGGCAGAGTGGGATATCTGACTGCATGAAAGTCAACGTTAATCAGGGACTGAAGGCAGGCAAGTAAAAAAAACTCCCACATCTCCAGTCTGCAAAACATATTTGCCTCATGACATACCAAAGATGCTGCTGTATCCTGGCAACTGATAACCTGGATCTCCAGGGGCTGCTCTCCCACGCTCCTCAGTTTTTCCAGCACCTCATTCACTCCGAGCCACTTGCAATCCACTCCGCCGACTGAAACAATGTAGTCACCTTCTTTCAGGCCCATCGACTGTCAAAACATTGTGCACAGGTTATTATCTGCAATTTTGAGATGCATAAAACGTTTCTGTCATGGTGTAGTATCTGCCCTAAAGGCACTGCCCTCTCAGATGCTACAAACCCATTGTCTGGCCAGACTTGTGCACCTTTTTCAAGAACACAAACTACTTATTGAGTTACCATTGATAAATGTGATTCTGTTATACTCAAATGTTGGCTCTTCTTACATCCTTTTTGCTTTTCTCCTTAAGGAAATGAACCCTGGTTTTTGCTGCCCTATCACTGCCCATGACATATTTTCTGCCCTGTTTACTTCATTGTTCTTATTTGTCCTTCTGTGGTTGCTTCTGCCTTTTCTAGAGCTAAACTGTGCTCATCACTGCATGCTGCTTTATCCCTTTGGATTTTCCCCTGAAAGAACAGCATGTTACCAGCCAATAAAATGTTCTTTTCCCTCTTTCCTTGGGCACACACTACCTTCCTGATCCTCATCCTCATCCTTGTTGCTACTTTTTAAAGCATTTATCCCTTCGAATTAAACAGGGAGTGACGATTGCTTTTCTTATTTGTGACTTTTTAACTATGAAGACTGAACAGAGGAAGAAATCAACTCTAGTTTCATGTGATGTCAGGGATACTCTAACTTAATCTACAGTGTATATAGCACTGAAAATGTGTTCAGATGATATGAATTGACAATTCTAATGTGCAGAACTCAGTGAATACTCCACACACCAGTATGAACAAGTTAAAGTTACATTTAAGGTGTATGGCTACGGCAGTCTGCACAGAAACTGCCAATATTGCCCCAAAGTACTTACTGCTGCAGGACAAAGTGGATCCAGACAATAAATCTGTACTGGTGAACCCCCTTTGAGATGGAATCCGAGCTCTCCTGCTCCCTGGGGGATGCGAATGGTACGTGGAGCCGTCCACCTCTGCTTGGCTGAGAACACAGTCAGGGGGCCCTGCAGGGAACACAGCAGGCACAGCATGGGTCACTGCTACTCCTAAGGAAGCATTTCTATTAAATTATAATGCTTTAAAGCTCATCTTGCATAGATTTTTCTCAGGTTAACTTCCAGCTACTCCCCCTGCAGTGCTAAGTCCTGCTTTATGGCTGTTCAGGTGATACTTCACACAGGGTGAGATAATCACAACTGCCAAGCTGCTCCAGGATCTCTGAAGATGTGCAGCAGGTTCTGAGATCCTGTATTACTGATTCATGTTCTGATCCCAACCATAACTCCCAATTCCTTTTGCTCACAAAGCCCCCTGACAGCCTGGCTGTGTCCCGTGCATGTCACACAGCCTGCAGTCCATCTCCAAGCACCACCAGCTTCTCCCCACCTTTATAAGTTGTGTGCAATTATTTATTAAGACTTCATGGGATTTTCTGAAGGTTATCAAGACTGAATGCCATGCAAGCCATATAGAAATGTCACTCTTTATTCCTTGCTAGTCTCAAGTTGACTTGTACCTCCAAAGCTAGGAATGATCTCTCCAAAAACTTCAGCAAAAAACCAGTAACTACAGGATCATCTTTTCAGGCTAAAATACTTGTGTCCCTTTCCTCACATGAGAGTGAATTTATCTATTATTATGCTATCCAAATGGCAGAGGTTGGTCAGCATTAGCATGTCACATACCAGCTTGTGAAAGAAGTCTTTAACTTTCACCTTGGAAAACTGAGGAGCGATTGTTTCTATTTTATGCTCTGTTTTGGCTAAAACAAAAAGAAAACAAAATTAATTTTCTCTCAGCTATTAGTTAAAAGACATTAAAGTTTATTTTTCTTGCACTCCAAGCTAGATAGAAATTTCTCCTAAATTCTTGCCAGGCTGTAGGAAAACCTCACTTTGGTGGAAATTTGTAAGACAAATATCTGAATCGCCTTAAAAATATCTTCAGACCTCATAGTAGCAACACAGGAAACTTAAAAAAAATCCACCCAAACAAAACTGTGCTATTCCCCTCTTTATTTTTCTTTAAAGCCAGCACTCATACTTTCCTACTGCTTCCAAAGAGGAAAAAGCTGTATGAGCTGGACTAAGGTAGAAAGAAACAATAGCAGTCAAATTGAGTCAAAAAGAGTTGTGCCTCATGAAACAGCTACTAGTTTTCCCCCATATGATTTTAACTTTTAAAACTTCCCCATTTTTTCTAGTTCTCGAGACAGTCACCAAAAAAAGCTGAGTTCTACCTAACCACCAACTGTCATCTACCCCAGAAAACAGTGTTGCCTGAGGCAAACACTGTAAAACAGCTGTAACAAAATTTACTTCTCTGTGATTGAGGAAACACGTGAGGAATCTGAACTCTACAAATGTACAGCATATACATAACATATGCATTATTTATGTTATGCACGGATGCATATATATCTAATCAAAGGCATTACTGCCATTCCTAAGGAAGCATTTCTACTGCTTTCAGTTATGATGCTTTAAGGCATAACTTTTACTCAGGTTAACTTCCAGCTACTCCCCCTGAAGTGCTAAGTCCTATTTTATGGCTGTTCAGGTGATACTTCACACAGAGTGGGATCAACACAACTGCAAGCTGTTGCAGGATCTCTGAAGGGGTGCAGAACCTTTTGGCTGCAGCACACGGAATCATGTTCGTGTATGGTTAGGTATCCTCTGCCCACTTACGGAGGATATCTGGAGCCTGGATTAGGCTCAGGAAGTCATCTTCTGTCTCCTGCTGAGCATATTTGAGCAGTGAACGCTTGTGTGCAGCTGTCAGCACCTCCTGGAGGACGTCGATGTTCCGAAGCTTTTTGCACAGCCCGCAGACCCTCAGAGCTTCCTCGTGGTAAACGATGGCCTGGCGTAGATGAGCCTTCCCTGCAAACAGCACAAACCACAGGCTGTCACCCACAGACAAGAAACACGAAGTACTTTTCAAATGGCAGAGAGCACCTGTGTGAAACTGGCAGTTACCTAATTGTTTTCTCCTAACTTTGTCCTTCAGAACAGCCAGAGCCATCAGTCCTTCGGGCATGTGGTCGTAGAGCTGGGACAAGGCCTTCTCCTGCTGGTCCTCATCATCACCAGGCTGCACTGCAACAATGGACACAGAGCATCAACCACTACCCAGCTCCTGCTCCCCTCTTCCTTCAGCTGTATTGTAGAGGTACTCCTACATTCCCTTCAGTTTTTTTAATGCATATTGATAGGAATTTCAAGTTTTTAGGAACTTTATCAGTTTCATCATCTTGATCACTTGTGTATCAATAGGTGAATAATACTTATATGCCAGAATATGTGGATAGAAATGGAACTGTTTAGCAGGATATAATGGATACAATTTACCTTTTCTTTCTGCCAAAGTTGGTTTATTGAACTTTCACATTCGTCTGTAAAAGACAACAGAGCATGGCCTCTTTTTTTGGGGAAAATTTAGTGTTTTGAGTGGGAAAATTTAACATATGAACACAATTCAACATTTATTGAAGCACCAAAGTTGCTGTCCTACTCACAGACCAAATTATAACTGTTGCTGTGTTTATTACTGTTATTCCTGTGAACATACAAAGGAAGTATGATTCTTACATTCATGGTCACACAGAATGGTGGCAGTGAAATAATGTGCCAGAGCTTTGTAATGGTCCGACTTTATTTGTGCCAGCTTAGACCAGGAATAGGGAATGTTCTCTTTCACTGGCTCCTGATTCATTGCAGCGTTAACCAGCATGTAAACCTCTCCCACCTGAAATAAAGCACAGAATCGGAGTGTGAGAATTTAACATTAGCTATTAGGTGCTCAACTAAGGGATATCATATTCAGCCTTAAGATAACTTCATGTGCAATCACATCAAAGAAGGGAAAAAATATGGTTGGAAAGGATTGGAAATAGGTTCTGAAAAAACCTGAAATTCCATCTCTGATTTTTCCCTTACAAGAAAGGTAATTCTATTTTGTACCCAAACAGATGGACTGAGTCAGTAAATCTGTGTGGGTTCAGAGTTAAATAAAAATACCATCCAATAAAGTGGTTTTAATTTGTAAATATATCTGATTGAGTTAATCCAGTTGAGAAAAAGGGTGAAGCATATTACTTATACAGTGAATTTGTGCTTCACTTTGAAACTGTGGGGTCATACCTAGCCTTAAGTTTGTGTGGTCTGGTTAAAACCTGGATACTGTTCTTTATACAGAGGATATAAAAGTTTTCCAAGCAGTGAATTCTGGTTTAATGGATCAGACTACTCCAACTGACAGAACCAAAAGATCTTTCCCCAGCAGCTGATCAATCCTACAGGTAACTCAGGGAGACTTTGCAGGCTTGGTTGGAAAGGCTTTGCCTGTTTATCTAGTGTGGAATCAGCTAATCTGCTGCTCTGAAATGACTCAGGTCTGATGGCAGACCCAATTTTTGGGAGGTACCTCCAAGTATGAGCACTCCCTTCTGGACCTGCTTTGTTTTCTGGCAGGCCCCAAAAACAGCTCTGGCTCTGTTCATCACGGTCCTTCCCTCAGTTACAATTCAGATGTTCTTCTGGACTCAAGCTTTTTAGGTTTGCTGGGAAACAAGACAGGGTGTGTTCAATACTTGACAGGGAACCACACAAACAACCTCAGCCTCTTGTGTGTAGTCCTGTGGACAAAATTTGTACTGTTTGCAAGAGGAACACAAATAGCTTGTTAAAAACCCTTCAGTAAATTTACTGCCTGAGTGCCTCAGCATATTTCTGTTAAACTCCATGGATTATGAATTAAAAACTGTAACAGTTCAAAAACAATGTTTAAATAGCAGCTATTCACATTTTAATCTTCTGAAAGGTTGTGATTCTCACTGGAGCTGTCCCTTGTTATTTTTAATAAATGCTTAACGTTCAACAAATTCTGTTAATACTCCTAGAAGCTGTAGCTAGTAACACAGTACTGTAAACAGTTATTTTTAAGACTAGATTTAAAGTCCCATATTTCACCTTGGCAACTTCCTGTGTCATTTTTGCAAGTGTGAAAAACTCGTTGCGTATTCCAGAGAGCCCAATCTGCTCAAAAACACACTCTTGAGCCTGTGCAAGCATCATTTTCACCAGAACATTCAGCATGGCTGGGCTCATGTCATAACTTGGGGTGTGAGTAAAGGTCTCCTTTAAGTAGTTCAGGACTCCTGAAATCACAAAAATGGTTTTGTGAGCATCACAGAGAGAGAAACAAATGAACTTAATTATCACGTGCCATAATAATGAGGATTGAAAGCATAACTTCTAGTATGGCACTACAGCAATCTGCAGGGGGTCTTGGTGTACATGGAACTCAAGTGACCTACAGGTTTTGCTTTGCATTTCCATCAATCATCCCCAGCCACAGCTCTCAAAACCACAGTTCAGAGGAGCAACAGAAACTACAAGTTTTGAGGGCGCTGCCTCCAGCTTTGTTTGGAGCAGTTCTTGTGATGGACCATAACACTGGATGTGACTTGTGTCTGGGGGTGGGAGGCAGGGCTTATACAGGGAAGAGAAATAAATCTGCATAGCTATAAAGAGGAGACAGCAGGATGGAAGGAAAAAACACAAGCGTATCAACTTATTTATAGATCTCCCTTTCAGATGCTGCTCAGTGCATTGTGAGCCCCAGTGAAAGCTCCATTCCACACCCCTAAATGAACTAAATAAACTGTATTTATATTTAATAGGGTAAAAATAACATTCTTCTCTAGACACTTTGTTCCACCAAAATGTAATTTCTATTATTTATCAAATTTAAAACAAACACTAAGTGCAGTGCAAATATTGAGTAACGGGTTCACTGATGGAAGCACAACCTTCATTGTGCATGTCATCCAACTGGTTTAGTGAGTTCTACCACCCTGCTAATTGCTGATAATCCTGCAAAAGTGTAACAATAAGACCTCTGCCTTTTAAGTGTCCCAGCTTCTGTAACTTCCTTCTTGCCACCACACTCAGTTCTGGCCACGTTGTACTGCATTTTCCTACTAACAGTTTCTGTGGGTTTTAATTTTCCATGTTACACTTTCACCTTAATTTTTAATATGCCCTTGCAGAAATTTGAATTATGGCCATCTTAACCTTTTTGCACTGAAAAAACTACGCCAGGTGCCTCCCAAGTACTGATGGAGTGCCCTCCTGCAAGGAACTGAAAGCACAGGGGGGAAAAAATATACTTTTCTTTATTGTTGTTCTTATCATATTTCTGCTCACGCAGAGAGCTTTGCTGAGCACTAACTCGGTGCAATACCTTAGTTCAGCACTGAGAAACAGTCAATACAAGCTCTGTATCATGTCCCTGCCAACATAATGAGGTGTCACGGAGCCGTGCACAGGTACAATGAAATGCCTCCTGAGCACGTTGCTCTGGGGCCCTGCAAAGGTCCTGTGGGAGCAAAGAACACCTTTCCAGTCTGGAATTCATTCTGTTCTGCAAACATGTTAAAGTGAAAAGCAGTGATTTTTTTTTTTATTTTATTATTATTATTATTATCAACAAAATGGAAGACGCAGCAATAAAATGGAAGAAATTGCCCAGTTGTTGAAATGTCCTTCAAGGTTGAAAGAGAATTTACTTTAAGTATACATGAAGAAATGCTGTATTTTTTTTTTTTTTTATAGCTCTGTATTCAAAACAGGGGGTTCATGACAATTCAACTTGTGGTGCACAGTTTGTAGCTGTTTCCACCCATACAGAGGAAGCCAATAGCTACAGATTGTTAGTGCAGAAATAAATCTTACAGTACCTACTAATTACACAGGACATGTCTTCCAGCATTATGTGTAGCACAGATGATACTTCAAAAACAATTTAGAAAACCTATTTAAAAAGCCCCAACCAAAGAAAAGCTTTTATAACATGTTAGTTCCAGGGATATGATTCCCTTTATTAGAATTTCTATTTTTCCTTGCATAGGACAGAGATTCATTATTTTGAACCTGTTTGCCTTTGGAATCTCTGGAAAATAGGTAGCCAACTTCCAGTGAGTTCCAACTTTCACTGAAGAGTGCAGGAAGAATAATTTTTGAGACCCCCATCTGGAAAACTAGGTTTTAAGGCTTTTTATGAAACATTTAAATTGCCTCTTGGACAGATGTGACACCCCTGTGCTCTCAGGCAGAAGTTACACTGGTGCAAAAAGGACTGAACAACAAAGCAGTTAATGCAGGGCTATAACCTGGACCTTTGAACTGCAGCTCACAAATCACCAACCACAGGATTCACTGGTTTTATCTACATGTTCAGACTACAGCTGGAGACTGCAGATCAAGACTTAAAGCTTGATCTGAGCTCTTCACTTGGCTTCTTGAATTCCTCTATTCCTCCTCATGTTGTGTAATGAAGTCAGTAGGAAATGCAGCCATCTGTATGACATCAGAATGCGATCAGGAACACTGGCATAAAGACCTTCCCCAGTATTTTCAAATGTGTACCTGCAGCTTTCTGAAAAGCATCAACAGCATTTTCAAGTCCAGCCTGGGTCTGGCGGTTGCACCTTGTTCCAATCTGGGTGTAGAGAGCTCCAATGTTGAATAAAATACTGGCCTTCTCAAGAAACAGGTTTTGCTGGCACACTGGGACACCTGTGAAGGAGTCATACCTTGGGAAGCAAACACCAGAAGTGGGAAGGTCAGCAGAGCCCATTGAAACAACAGGTCATCTCATTCTGTTTTTCTGAGAGAGGAGTGGAATTCTTAAGAACTGTTCTGCTACAGTGAAAATGAAGATGAATAGAAACACCATGATGTACTGCAGGACAATGCACACGCTGCAAGCCAGAGAACAGCTCTGTTGGACTCAGCAGGTCTTACAGCAGCACCTCCAAAAGGCTGTTATATCTAACCCAGAAGTGCCTGTAAAACATCCCAGAGGCCGAGAGGAGGAAGTGCCCACGTGTGCTGCTGTGTTCTCCTACTCAGATGTCACCAAAGACCAACTGCTGGCATGTTTAGATTCTCCACTGCTGGTGGTTAACGTTTCTATTTGCAGCTATGACTAGAAATTTAACAGTTCCTCCTGACCACATGGTAGTCATCTTTTTTCATCACAAAAAACTTTGAATTCAGAGTCAAATCTTGCTCACGGGTGTAGTAAATATTCCCCTGTAACAAATTAAGTCACTCCTTTCTCTCTTGTGGCCCAAATGGTCTTCTTAACAAACTGAAGGAGGAGAATTAAGGTCTGGCCCATTCCTCATCCAGAAGGTTTGGAGTTCAGGAAACACCTGTAGCTGTCCAAAATGATTATTTTTTCCCTTTTTCCCTTGTGCTAGCCTGTAGCCCAAATCCTCATCTATCCAGTGGTTTCACTCTAAGTGTCAAAGGGGTGTATTATCCTCAGGTTTACACTTAACTCCACAAAAAGCTGACAACACCCACTGCAGGGAGTCAGGGAGAGACACACACACTGACAGGCTTCAAATTCAGCACAAGACAGTTAATGATTAGCACTGTTCTGAGAAAAAAAAAAATTACCAAAGAGAAACATGAACTACACACTTACCACGTAAATAAAATTCCCATGTGCCTGGTGGGCGGGAAAAATCTGCTTTCTACATAACCAAGTTGCAGGAAATAGCTGATCAACATCTCAACGCCGGCCTCGTCTCGGCTGGGGGTGCGGCAGGCCTTGAAACACAGCAGAGCAAAATCAGGTGTGTTCTGGGGACTGAAACCCAGGGATAAAGCTCTGCTTCCTCTGGACTTGGGCAGAGCCCAGAAATGTGTGGAATCTGAGAACAGCAAACCTAAGGCCACGTGGATGCATTCCAAATAAGAGTTTTTCAGCTGCACAGAACCTCTAAGAAAGCAAACAGCACCTGTTTGGCAAGTCTCAGAGTTAATGAAATAAAGACTGTAGGTATTCTATGATAGCTGCAGTGATCACCTATGTTTTTAGTGTAATACAGGAAACAAACAATAGTTAGAAATAGCCACCATCCTGCTACAATATTTTGCCAGATTAATTCACTTCAGCATTCTTCTTGGTAAACTAAAAATACTTTAAAGTCAAACAAAAGAAGTAGGCAATACAAATCTCAAATTTACAAGATTTACAAAGCTTTATCACTTTGCATAGCTTCATCTTTTCCTTCACTTTTTCTTTGCTCAGGTTGTAAAGCTCTTGGACAATGGAGATTCATGTTCCATATCTCAGAAATGAAGTCAGAAAGAACATGAAAATTAAAAAGTGGCCTATTCTGTTTCCATACAAATGTTATTATTTGCAACTGTAGACTAAAAGACCTCATAGCATGCCGTACTGGAACTTACCTGTCTCAGATCCATGAGATCTGCTATTTCATCCTCATACTCAGAACTGTCTTCACTATAATGTTCCAGAATAAAGTCCTAAAAAAAGGTAAAAAATTGGAATATCTAAAATTAACTTATTTTTTCCTGCAGCTGCAACCAGTACAAAGAGACAGTAGAACTAATAATTTGATTTGATATCTGAGACAAGAAACTTCACTCTGATGTAAAGGAACCAAACACCTGTTACATCAACACCAGTAGGTTTTAAAACAACAACACTTGGTGACTTTGAAAGGGGCAAACCAAAAGTGTTACCTAAAATGACAGGGGAATCAAGTGACCATAAAAACTCATTAACAGGAACAGACTGTCAAATTTTTGTCAGATATATTAGGGCAATTCCAAGTTGGTTCATCACTGCATTATGTCCAGTAAAACCTTCAGTACTATTTCCTTTTACACCTAAATCGGTAATCAATGCTCTTAATTAAAACAAAAAACCATGGGAGGAATTTTTCTTCTCTTTGGTTTAACTCCACTGTCTCCAAAGCAGAATTTCTAATAACATTTTCTGCCTCCTCGTCCTAGTTAGAAAGGAGCAGTGACCCAAACAATTGGCAATGAATTTTTAAACACGTTATGATCTTGGGTTTAGGGTAAAACAAAAAAATAATTTGCACATACGTTACTTCTGCTTCTTTAAGACAAATCTGAAATGGAAGTTATTCCTGTTAGCTGTTCATTCTGAGATGTGTGTGTGAAATTTACCTTGAGGGGGAGTGTAAAATCTACTTCTTTGGTTTCCTTCAGGCCAAGAGGTACCAAGGGAATACTGAAAGTCTCTCTGTGGAAAAAAAGAAAAGGCAAAAATACTCAGAAATATTTGTTTTCTCTTTGTCTGTTTTAATTACTTTGGTTTATTTGATGACAGCAAGTTTGTACACTGATGTGTGTTGAGGGAAAAGTACATTGTTTAACATTTATATTCCTTCCTGCCCAAGAAAATCTGCTTAATGGCCTGTGACTTTTTAAGAAGAGAGTAAAGAAAGCTACTTGCCTGAGCTTTTTTTATTTTTCCCCATTTAAACCTATTTTTCCTTCAAGGAAAGAAAAGGAGACTCTCACTGCAATTTAGCTCCACAGTTGCCAGGAGATCTGCCCCAGTAAGGGCTATGGTAATTATCAGGAGTTCTAATCAGTATTTTCCATGCTGCCAATGGTTTCATGTGTAGAAGTGATGTGTGTGTCTAATGCAGGGGAAAACAGGGCCAAAGTACCCCAACTGTTACAGGGAAAGGTCTAGGAATAAGAAATCCAAGAACTCCTCAGTTCCAATGCTAAATGTTAACCTGTAGAATATCAAAAGGCAATAAGGATGAGAACTGTGACTTAAAGATCAGAACTGCTTCCAGATATGCAGAGTTTGAGTAGGTTTAACAGATCAGTGTCAAGCAATTTGAAGGTTTATTTTTTTTGTGTTTTGTGAAAGCAACTGTTTGACTGCCTAATCACTATTCCACTACCAGCTACAAAGTCCCACAGTTATTTATGGTCTTATCAAAAACCAGTTTTTCTACTGGTGAAAATTCCTTCCTGGGAAGGTGGGAGTAGGAAGGGAGTTTCCTCAGCAGGGGAAGGGTCCTTCATGATCCAGAAAGTGGCTCAGAGCCAAAACACCACTGCAGGTAGTGCAAATGGGCTGGTTTCTACTGAGGCTTTTAGAAGAAACCTCAACACTTTTGCTACAGATTATATCAAAGCTTTCTGCCCAAAAAGGAAGTGAGACACATGCAAAAGAAATCCTAATGCCCTGATTTAGCGAATTCTGGTGTCACCCCCAGTCCCTGCAGAGCAGCATTTGTCATTCCAAAGAATCGAATGTTTATTTTTAACACAGCTGAGGCGTCACACCCATGCAGCCAACAACGTCATGGGAGCTCTGAGCAGTCAGGGAGGTGATCCTGGATTTCCAGAGCCGAGGAGAGGCACTGTCACACTTCCCAATAAGTGAATTATTTTAGCTTTTGGAACACAAAAAGCATTTAGAACTTAGACTGAACAGCATCACAGAGGTAAAATACCTGCAAAACAGCCTGGGGAAGCAGGATCAGCAGAGAATAACAAGCATTCTGCTGTCCAGCCTCAAGGCTTCTGCCTGCCTTGGGGTCTGACCTCCTGCTCACCCTGCACTGAGAACCCAAGTATTTTTAATATTCCTTAGCTGGAAGAAGGAATAGAAGTTGTGGAGTCCTGCTCTCATTTCCACAGCCGTAACTTTAATAGTGCTCTCTGTGTTCATATGCATATATGAAGACCAGTAAAATCTTAAACAAACAAACCCACCAAACCTCAAAAAAAAACCAACCAAAAACTCAAACATACAAACCCACAAAACAACAACAACAACAACACACACTCACACACACACAAAAAAAAACAACCAAAAACCACACAAAATAAAAACAAAGCCACACACACACACACAAAAAACCACAACATTTTTGCATCGAATAGTTGTCAAAGTTTGCCACGGGGGAGTGAAGGGCAGGAAGTTTAGCACAGGTTTCTTTTGGAGAAAAACTAAACATAGATATTTTTCATCAAGCCAGCACTCACAATTGAAAGCTGCCCCACTGGGAATGGGCTCAGTCAGTCCCTCTACAACAGGAATTCCTTGTAATCCACCTGGAAGTTACCACCTAACTGAAGACAGCACCAAGAGGGACCCAGACCTGCAGCATGCAGGCAATGAATACTCTTTAACTTGGAAGTTTTATCTTTGAGGAATCCATTGCAATTTAAAAAAAAAAAAAGAAATCAGTGTAATCTTGGAAAAATCCAATTTCATCTACTCAGTGCCACATGTTTCCAGTCCAGCCCCGAGAGCTTTCAGCTCTCCCCCCTTCAGAGGAGCTCCATATCTAAGGATTGGTGGCACATGCCTTGCCCAAGTGAAAGGCAAATATGCAGACTAACCTTTAGTCAACAAATCTCCCATCAAGTGCGTTCCCTTCCTATCGAGCTCCTGTTCTGTCACGTGGTTATTGTCCAACATTCACGCTCCCCTAGAAACAATTTTGTTTCCAAGGGTAAACAGAGGACCTGTTAATAATTGAGGGACTTGGCTTTATACTTACTCTGCATTTTGATAAACTTCCACTGAGATGTTAAGTCCTTCCAATTCCTCCTTCAAGATCTGCAGGTCTGAGTTTACAAAACTGAGTTCCAGCAGAACCTGCTCCCGTACTTTGTTGTTGGTGGTTGCTCTGCAGAAAGAAACATAAAATTTTTTTATTGCTGAGGAAAAGGTTTCCCACAAGGTTGGCTGACCCCTTGTCAGCATTCTCAACATTTTTAAGATTTTTTTTTTTTATCTCCATTAAGAGATGGTACAAGATCTCACATTTCAGAATTTATTAGTATTTTCTGTCAAGAGAGTGCCTGGGATAGTTTCCAGATAACAGCACACACCACAGAAGGTTTGCTAAATTTTGTGTGTGATTAAGGGTCAGGCATATTTTCAGATACATTCATCAACAAAACTAAAGCATTAAACAGAATCACTATCCTATTTCCAGATTATATGTTTGTTTTTTCTAAAAGAAGACAAGAGGGTGGAGGTGGGAGTGGTCAGGAGACATTTTTTCAACAGATACTTCCCCCCCTTTATAAATTCAATCAAGATCTGTTGAGCCTTCTGATCTTAAGAATAAAAGAACAGTTACTACAGAAAGATCTACTAGAAGAAAGATATTTCTTTTTAATACCAGACAACTTTCTCTATAATTTGATTTTGTTGGATGTAAATGATTTTTGTTTCTTGTTTCCTTTGCCATTTATGTATTTAAATGCCAACATTGTGAACTGCTGGCACAGTGGATGGTAACATCCAGCCCTCCCCCCACTGAGCTTTTCTGTGTATTCATATCACAATTTCTAACCTGACTCTCCATACAGAGCATTTATGAGAATGCTACTCTTTCCAAGAGACTTAAACCATCCATATTTATAACCACAGGTATGAGTTTAAAACAAAAGGTCTTGATCTGTATCCACAGATAGAGACATTATACCCTTAGATTCCAAATCTTAGACAATAACAAACTTATTTTAAACATGTAGCATTTTACATTTATCTTTCAGACAAAATTCACCTTCATAAATATTTAGGAACAACCACCTCATAAATCTAGGCTGTACTTGGAACATTCCTGCAGTTTTACAGAGCACCTTGGTGAAGAACTGGGCCAAAATTTTAAGTTTGCATTCCCTATTATAAATGAGTTATCTGCAAATTTTCTATGCTGTACTTTATTGAATACCTTGGATTGCTTAAATCAAGCAATGTTAATTTTTATTGCCATCATAAGCCAAACTTGACACAAACACAGGGGTGGAGTGGATCCTTCTCAGTAAAGACAGCACCAATAAATAATAAATATAAACAAATACATAACAAATAATATCTAAAAATAAATAAATGGACAAGCCTTGATGCTATTTATTTTTTTAAGCATTTTAATTATGGCATATTAAGGCTCTATGTTTAGTCTGGCTTACCATTCTCCAGAGGAGGGATTCTAATGCTCCCTCCAGGTTCACCTTCTCTGTTGGCTCTCTTGCTATAACATCTGTGTAAGTTTAGAGTTCATTTTATTCCCTTTTTGGGTTTTTTTTGCACTGTAGACATTCTTTATAATGACAACCAGCAAAAGGCAATGTGATATCGCTGAGCTCCACATTACTCTACTCTGAATTCAGTTTTAAATCAGATTTTCCAGAACAAAAGACAATGAAAAGGAGAGGGCAACTTTCAGAAATTATGAAAACAAAAGTCTTTGCACTACATGGATCATTTGCTTCAAGCCTAGCGTTTACTTTCAGCCAAAAGTAAAGAAACCTGCATTTCCAGCTTTTTCCCCAAGTCCTACTGTAGAAGGCTCCTTGTGGACAGCAATTGTTTCTTTTCTTTTAGAACTTGATGAAATTCAAATAGAGTCTGAAAACCTAAAGCTTGTTTATGGTTTCCCTTAGGACTCTGTAAATACACCCAGCCACGGGAACTTTCTATTTTTAAAATTTCTTCTTTCAAAGAACTAGCAAGTTTTAACAGTCCAACAGGTCTAAATTCACCTTAGATTTCTAAAAACTTATTCCTTAAGTCTGATCCTCTTTTCTTAAGTAGGCTTAGTTCCCACTCTTGTAAACAGCAACTTCACTATTTCAGCAGTTAATATTGGCATCAGAAGCTGAACTTTAGGACAGCTTTAGGTTCCCAGTGTCACATTTGACACTGCTCATCTCTTTAGCCCTCACAAAACACTCCTCTCCTGAGCTGAGGAGCAAAACCATTAACTGAGTGAGCAGTGTCCAGTTTCTAACTCAGTTATAACGATTTTGCTAAGCATACAAAAGGTAGCAAAAGACCATAAGTCTTACTCCTCAATCAATTATCCAGAAAACAAAACAAAATTAAGTCAGTCCTAGGCTAAAACTACCTAAATTTTCTACCAGTCCCCTCGTTTGCAAGAGAGGAGACAAAGGCAAAGGGCAACCTATTAATTAATGGCAGGTTTAAGAAAACTGAATTTACCCAAGCATTTTCACTTCTGTAAGAATACTTCCTAGATTTGGTTCTTGAAGAGCCATTGCTGCTCCAGTTGAGCAGAGGAACAGACTCTTCAGGAGACTATTGCAGATGAGAATTGAGGAAATTCCCAGTTCTTCTGTGTAACAGGGGGATGGACTGGCTGTTGGAAAGCTACAGGACTGTTTGCCACGGAATTAATCACAGGATGTAACAACACAAGGCTACTCCTGTGGGGGCAGCCAGATGAGGAACCACATCCTTAAAAAATAAATCGGTGGACAAAATACAATAGGTGAAGAGCAGAATCTCCTCCAGTTGCCTCCAGCTTAAGGAGAATTTGGTGGCAGCTGTAACCCAGTTCAAAGTACAGGTTTGCTACCCTGCTACTCCTGTATCGTTACTTTATGGAATTAAGGAGGCAACCGATGGTCCTCTCAGGGAACTGAAGGATCTTGGGAAAAGCAACAGCACGGGGGCACTTTGATTTGATTTGAGGGGTAAAAGGACTCATTACAACATTCAGGAAAGGTTCTCTTGCCATCATCACCAGCAATAAAGCTGCACAAAGAGAGCCACCCGAGACACTGCAACAAAGCAGCGCTGAAAGGGCACTTAAAAGCAGGTAACGACCCTGTAGAGTTTCAGCTTGAACTTAAACTTCAGGGAGATTCACAAAGCACCCATCAGCGATCGATGCAGTGTATTAGGCAGACCGGGGAAAAGAAACTGCTAAGAGACTTTTACAAAATTAAAAGAATATCTTTTTAAAAGTGTTGCTTGGAAGAGAATTAGGAAGCCACGACGTTTACCTTAAAAGATTCTCAGCACCAGCTCTCATTCTGACTGCTCTTAAGATCTGCTGGTTCAGGACGGCTCTTTGATTCTGCAGTTTGCTTCGTCCAGTCTCGGCAAGAGGATTGCATCCCTGGAATTGAGAAAACAAGTGTTTTGTTGCTGTTGGAAGGCACTTCAGAGGGAGTAACAGTGAATTTAAAGGAACACTAATGGCATAGGCTCTGTATGAATATAAATTAACTACAATGACATCAATGACAGTGTTCCTTATCTCAAACTTGTTCATTAAAAGAGACACCATGACCACAGTATTTACCATTAAAATCCAGACAAAAAATATTTGTCTTAAAGCTTAAGTACAGGTGTGAGACAGTCGGTTCTCCCCTAAAAAAAACATTTTCAGGGTATTTTGAAAACACAACCAAATTTGGCAGAATGTTATTAAGTTTCTACAGATTTCATAAAAAAGCAGTACCTGGCAAGGTAGGAACTCCCATCAAAACTTCTGCTTACCCCTTGCAGAAGATCAGAGTTCCATCCTGGCATATATGCAGCCTTGAAATACAACTCTGTCCAAACCAGGCTTTGGTTGCATCACTGCTCACGGTTTTAAGAACTTTCAAAGGATCTCAAGGATCTCTGCCCTTTCCTTCTGGTGCTCAGACCTTCAGCACAACTCCCACCCCTCCTTCCCGAGGTTCCTCCCTTTCCATCTCAAGCTCATGAAAATAGAACTTTACAGGGTGAGATGATGATTTTACCTTCAGACACTCATCAAGAGGGATTCCCTTAAGAAGTAAAGTGTGAAATCCAGAGTTCCCACACTGCTCTGGTGTGTGTGCACACCTTACACAAGCACAAGGCTCAAACTACCGAAACCTGTGTTTGAGCAGGACTGAAGCATTGTATTCTGGTGAGCAGTGATAAGCTAAAACTGCTACAGATTAATAGGACTGCATGTTTATCTTTTTTTTTTTTTTTAAGGGAAACACAATCTAACACCTTTTAAAATAGGGGAGAAGCTTCCCTTCCACACCTTTATTCTTTGCCTCTGCCACCCCTTTTAAAAAACTATGAAATAGCTTTGAATATTAATCCTCAGAGCCAGCCAGCACACCCCTGCAGCCTTAACTGCTAATTCTGAAGCAACTATTTGCTTTTTATTGGTTTTATAACCACTCAGTTTTAAAGGTTTACCCTTAAATAAAGCATGGCCTTTAGAGTGGCCTCACTGGGTATCAGTACAAAGCTTATCAGTCCTGGTTGTGCATTACACAAGAGAGAGGCTCAGATCTCTCTTCTCTCAACTCCTCCAGCCACTAAATGCACTATTTTGAACATCTCCCTCTTGGTTTTGACTATAAAAACTCAATTTTGATATAAGAGCATTTAAAAGTCTCTCAACGAGCTCTGATTATGAGTGGCCAAGCAGTGACACACGAGCGTAGCAAAAGCAAGTATTTAAATAGAACATGAAATTCTAATTATCTGCGTGAAGTTCAGTGATTTGGGTTGCCAAGTGAAAGCAAACTGACTCAACAATAGAGAAATGAGCTGATCAAACCAGGTTACACCAGTTGGACTGAGAAAACACCCAATACTGTTAATTTTAAATCTCTGGTTTGAAAAGTCTGCGATAAATAGGTAAAATGACAGGAAGTTTATGCAAACATCTTCAAAAGTGCCATCTGACAGATAACCTGAGAAAAACACACCACATTAAATTACTGATATTGCAGAAATGTTTCTGCATTGAAATACCACTTGCAGCAAAGCCCACACTTGGGAGTGCAGTGGATCCTCTCTTTGCCAAGAAACCACTCACAGCAAGCACAACACAGAGCAGGTGAACTTCTTACTGGTGGGGACATGCACAGGGAGCAAACTCCTTCATCTGAGATTAAAAGCAGTCCTTTACCAAATACTTTATGCTCCTTTACATACCTTTCTACACAGAGACATGCACAAAGTTGCTTTCTGCTCTCAGTCTGTTCCTTTTCCTGGGGTGCAACCATTTTTCCTACTTTGCTGTTTCTTCATTTTGTGTTGTGTAATCTTTTCTGCTACTGGTATTCAAACCCTTATCTCCTTCCATTCTACCCATGCCATTTTTCATTTGAACCCCACCAATTCTTTCCTCTTGCTCTTTGCATTCATTTGGAATACTTGATTCTCATCCCAGGCCTGTCATCTCCATAGTCCTGCACAGCTATTTTCTTCCAACTTCTTTCTTGACCATTCAGTCCAAGCATCCTTCTTAAACATAACCTTGCCCTGCCCTTTTTTTCATTTTTTTCTCTAAAGCTGCAGCTTCCTTTTACAACTCCCTGCCCTTCCTGTGTGCCAATTATGTTTGATGACATCATTCTAACGCTTTTTTACAGCTCTACTTCTGGAAATTTTTCAGGAGGATCAACTGCCTGACTCCCCAGCCCATGAAGCTGCTGCAAGTGGGTTCAGCTCTTCATTTTAGTGAACCTTTGATTCAGCTCCAGCCCAGAAGTCAAACAAGCTCCTATTGAACAGTGAGTGCAAAATGGCAACGATCCTAAACTCTGTGCAGAGAGAAAAAGAGTCAGAGAAGTTTCCCTGCATTTCAGGTTCAGGAATAATCTCTGTATGAAGCTTTATTGCAAGAAGAGCCCTGGGCCCTAAGAGGACAAGGCACTTTTTTGGAAAAAGTTGCTTTTTACATCTCCTCCACAGGGGATGAGGACACTCAGCTAGTCTGTGTTCATTTACAGGCCTAAACTCTTTATTGTCATCAGGCTGCCACAAAACTGATGGATAGAGGACAGTGAAATCATAAATATCTGGAAAAAAAACCCCAAACCAGAACCATGGGAAATACACAATCTGAAAAAGATACCCCCTTGTGTAAAGCACAAGTTCTGTGTAACAAAAAGTCATTTTGCTGCCAGGTTCAATCAAGTGCTTTATTTTGTTTTCCTCCATGCAGAAGATCCCTTTCCCAGACAGCATTTCTATCTGGTTCACATTTAGACAATCCCAAGAATGTTAACATTCAGTTCATTACAATAAATGGAAGCCAAACTTCCCAGTGGTTTCCACACCTGCTGTTTTATTTCTTGTCAACAGGATACTGGATGCTTCATTTAATTACTGTTTATTACTTTGCCAAGCCAAGCAAACCTGGAGAGTAAACTGGATTTTATCCTGGTTCATACACTATCAGTAAAATTCTTAATTAAACAGCAACAAAAGAATGGTTATTACAAAGCAAGTTGTAAAAATGATCAAGGAGTATGGCTGAAACTTTCACTGCATAAAGGAGCCTTAAAATCCTGCAGTCTAAGGGGTTTAGCCGGTACCTTTGTGCTTTTCCAAGTTCCTAAACTCTAGGCCTCGGGAAAATTACCCACCACAGGGGGAAGACAGTATGGGTCTGTGAAAAATATGGGTCCTGAATAAAGAAACAGTTGTATTATAATTTGGATGTCAGGAAGCTCCTTCTTCAAGAAAATGTCAGAAACCCAGTCGTGACGGACACAAAACTCATGCCTCTGACAAACAGTGAGTAACAGCAGCAAGTATCTGACATTAGCATAAATATTATTTACCAAGTAGTGGTTTGAACTTGGAAGGTGAGTCACTGTCTGAAGGTGACACAGAGTTGAAACTGGGTGTGTTTCCTTGCTTAAAAGAGAGCATTCCTTTCCAGCCAGAGCAACCTGTGCTGCTTGGTAAGCCCGGCAGTGGATGCAAATGGTCCTGCCCTGCAGTCATTTACACATGTATGTAGAGAATTTATGTGCAAAACTTGTGTGGCTGTAACAGCAACTGCAGCAAACACCATGATTCACACCAGTATTTCTAGGGCTGAGCCCAAATCCTGCTAAATTGCTATTTCCTTACCTTCTTCCAGGGCTATAATTAACGTTTCTTTTTGCATATTCCTCCTGGTACAATTTTGAAAAATTTAGCTGTATGCTGTAAATCTTTCAGAAGCACAAGTTTTATTTGAGGGTTTTATTGTTGTGTTTGGTGGGTTTTCTGTGTTTATGGTTTTATTTTTAAAGAAGAAAGAGAAGATGTGGTCTTCTAGAGCCTAATCTACTTGTACCCTGGACAAGTATTTTACAGTTTTAAGTGCCCGGTCCAAAAGATTAATATAAAGTTAAAGAACTGATTATTGTATTAAATTCCAAAGATTTATTTCCCATACAATACTCCATCCTGTCACACCACTCACAGAGCGAAATTAAAATTAATATTTCATCAGAGACATCTGTCTCTTGGCTAAGCAAGTTTCAGGTGATTCTTCATTTCATATGAAGGGCCACTTTCTGTTTTAGGTTTCATGAATTTGTATATAGTGAGTGGACATGGGGTGACAGGTGTTTGCATCATTGTAATGTTGTTTCTGTCCTGCCAGACAAGCAGAAAGAGAACAAATAGGCAAATAAATATTCCTGTGTCAATGCTAGTGGTGATGGTTGCCTGGCTACCAATGACTTAGAGAGAACCCCAGGAGCTAAACCACAGTGGAAGGACAGGAGTAGCAGGTTGGTAAACTGATACATCACCCACAGATGGGGGATGCCCTGCAGAAGGAACCCCGAAAGTTAAGACAGAGAGTTAATGAGGGAAGTGCTGATTCACAAGCTGGTTTCCATACCTATCATTTCCAGCCTGGTGCTTCACTCCTGGAGTTGCTTGCTTGCTGATTTGAGCTTCTGCCCTGGCATGGGGGACTAATACATAGTCTGTCTTTCTGAATTCTTTCTGAATCACCAGCTTGGTCTAGATGATGAATATCTAGCCTCAGATGGAACCAAAGCCTTGAGAAAGGGAAGAGATAAGAAAGCGGCATCTTCCTTCAACTGAACAGAGTCTAAAGCTTCACTAAGGCAGCTGTCCTACTGCTCTGCCCCCACAGAGCACAGTGCACTGCCATCCAAAACAACCAAACTGAGGCCAGAATGCTTTGTGTTGAGCCAGAACACACTGCAGAAAAGGTACCCTTGGAAAATGAGCTTTTTCTTACCATTTATTGCAACTTCCTGACTGATGTGGGAAATTAAGAGAATTTGTGGTCAGTGTAAGGCATTACAAAGCAGTAAGGTGAGAAAATACAGCAGAAGGAACTTGCTAGATGTCTCTCCTTGCTCCTACCCACCCAAAAAACCAACCAACCAAAACAGGCAGGCACAGCCCCACTAACAGATCATCACTGGGTCCCGTTGCTGAGTGAGTGCTACGTTATAAATATCACGAGTTCTGGACGTGGATGTGTTTCAGGGATATTTACTTTGTGAAAACTTCCTGGTCAAGTAGGGTGGTTGCTGTGATGGAAAAGGAGGAAAAACAGAAGGGGAGAACAGCTTGGAAATGAAAGCTGTTTCTCTCACAAGAATTCAAAGGTAACTAAAGGTAACTAGGAAGAGGTCTGAGAGGCCAAGCAATCCACAGAACCAAGGCAGGCTTAAAGAATAACTTCCCCTTAGGTGGGAGAAGCACCTGGCATAAGCAAAGCAGCCACAAGGACTGACCTGCTTTAATCAGTCTTGGCCTGTTGAAAAATCCTTCCCATCTAAATGTCTCGCTCTACTTTTAAAACAGATTGTTCTTTGCTCTTATCATTAGTTTTGTCATTATTTTCAAAGGGAAAAAAGACTGGGGGCAGAATTTGGATGAATGTGCGGGATATGCATGGCTGATCCTGCCAGTAACAGTGAAAGAATGTGGAACTGCACACAGAGGAGGTCAAGGTACGAGGCTGCTGGTCCCAGAGCACAGGTACAGTTTGCCCTGGCAATGTACACTGAATTAAGTTACCCACGTGGATGGCCAAGATAAACTGAACAGCAGCAGAACCAGTTTTCTGGTGACTTATCTTCACAGAAACTGAAAAGTTCCAGGCAGAAGCTCCATCTCCTTTTGGATGGAAAGTAAGGTGCTTCTTCCACTTTGCCATATCCTCTTCAGGATACCAGCAAGGATATTTTTTGGGGTTTGCCTCTTTTGCTTTTAAAAGTAAAATGTTTCTCACGACTTTTGTTGCAGCTGATCAAATGGTTTAAGAGGGTTGTTTTAGAGGGGAGATGTAAGAGAAAGGGAGTAGGGGCAACAGTGACAGAGATAGGTGTACCCTGTGTGTCTCCACAGGGAACCTCCTTAAAATTAGATGATAAAAAACCCAACCAAACAAACAAGCAAACAAAAAAAAAAGAAAACAACATCAAGAGCAACACAAGCATCTGAGACAGCTCAAAGCATCTTACAGGTTTCAGGAAAATCTCATTTCACCTATATAGATTGCAGGCCTTTGCCACAGAGATAATGGAAAGAGGTGGGGCAAGAGGAAGAGGGAAAAGTTTCTCTGGAGCAGCTCTGACATCACTGGAAGGGAATGGGAAGGGCAAGCCTGAGAAAGGCTGAAGGGGACTGCAGTAGCTGCTACCCATCATATCTCAGACTCACCTGGCAGAGTCACTTTCCAGTGACAAGAGAAGCTAAAGCAGCAAACACAATTATTCATCTGTTTGCCCATTTTTGGCACTTCACATAGAGCGGTTCATGCTTTTACAGGGCCCATTCCCTACACTAAAAAAAATAATACTTGTTTGGTGCCTTTTTATTTTAAGTAAATAAGTTGGTTTACATGCTGCATCTTGGGGATGCTGAGCCTTGCCTTCTGATATGCTGTATTTAAAACTTCAAAAAGCACAGTACACAAAAGGGCACTATAGGGACTGTGAGCATACTTCCCATAGTCATCCATTCATGAAAAGAGTCCAAAACAAATGGATCCTGTATGAACCGCTCCATTTTTCTCAATTATAAAATTTCATTGTGCACAATATTCTTAGAAAGCATGGAAGGCAACCTCGTTGTGTAAATAGTGCTTGGAAGCCTTTTTGTGAGCAGGACTGATGCAAAGTGTTTTCACCTTGCTCCACAGCTCACAGAATGAAAAGGTCAGCTAAGTATTTTGACCTAAAAATACAAGGACTAACCTTGGAAATTGAGGTGATTCTGCACCAACAGAAGTGGTAAAACAACCCTCAGATCCTTTCAGGAAAAGAAAAAGTGGTGCCATTTAAAAAGGGAGGGGAAGGTGACAGACCCAGGGACACCCATTAACAGCTCCCTCACCAGTCTCAGTTAACTGAGGTCACCCAGCACACCATTCACACGGACACGTGAGGACTGAGGATATTGTGTCCAAAGTGCCTCCTTGGGTTTGCAGCTTCCAGGAATGGGTTTTTTGTGGTTGAGGGTTTTTTTGGTGTTTTGTGTGGTTTTCTTCCCCCCTTCACCTAGAACTACCGAGTCAGAAAGAAAGCTTTAACCTTTGAGACCACTCAGCTAATGGATAACAGGGAATACTGGTTTCTGCTTACTTTTAGGGACAGAAGACTTTGAGCATCTGGCCTAATCTGAAGTTTGTAACTTTATTAAAGACACTTATGAGCTGGTTGAACCTTTCAGAGATCTGAGGGAAGAATGTTTCACTGCAATGCTGGCTCGCTCAGATTTTATCAGATTCCTATCCATTTTCTACTGCTTTAAGACATAAGTAATGAAAAGTGGGCAAGATTCTCACGATTAGGCAGAAAATTGATTTAACAGTATTTTCATGTGTGAGGAAAAACTTCATTCCTGTCCAATGGGCTTTACACTCATCTAATGCTGTTTCAGTGACCTTAACTATAACATGTAACAATTTAATTTAAAATAAACTTTAGCAAGTTTGAGTGTAGAAGACATACTCCTCTTATGACCTGAGGCACAACCTGGCTACTAAACTTCAGTTAGTCCTTATCAGCAAAAACAAACAGGTGGAAGAGTTGATTTATCTAACTTAAGTTCACGAAAAGTCAGCTTTTTTACTAACATGCCTCAAGGCAGCATATGAGTGTAGAAAACATAGCTATGAAAACTAAGTAATTACAGCTTTGCCACACTTCATGATTTCCTGCCATGGACTAGTAAGAAAGAAGTGATTTACTCACCAAGTATTACAGTAGAATTACGCAAATGGAGAAGCCAGACAAATTTGGTCAGAGTTTTGTTTCAGTCTGTCTAGTTATTTACCAGGTGGTGTTGATTCCTTGCAGCACGGCTGGCACGGGTAAAACTTGGCTCTTTTCAGGCGCAAACAGTTCCTCTGCTAAAGGGCAATATTGTTGCTTAAGCTCCTGCAGGCTTATGAATTTGGTAAATAATTGGGGAAAAGAACAGCCCGTAAAGACGCCAACGAAGCAAAGCACCTGTGCCTCCCTGCCATGTAATCCAGGTGGTTGCTAATGTGCGTCGTGGGGATGTTTTTATGCAGACGTGAGCAGCAACAAACTGAAGTATACAGCTTTTTTTTGTTTTCCTTCCTTCCACAGAACGGACATTTCATGGTCTCCGATCCAGAATCTACACAAAAACCCCCGTGTACCTACACCCCGGCTTGAAACAAAAGTTACAGGCTCTGAGAACTTCAAAACAGAGAGAGGAGGCCGAATCAAAGCTCTCCGAAAGCGGCTCTTACTGCCCTTTACCTCCGGTGAAGTTCATAACTGCCCACAGGGCTGCATTGCAGGCGATACTTAACCATAATTACTGTTGTGCCGAAAGAACTCGGGTGCAGGTTATGGCATAAGCCGCCCACTCAGTCTGAAGAGTAATTAGGGCAGATGTTCATTAAGAACTTCCTAACGAGTCTGTTAACTTACTCCAGTAAACTTTCTTACAGGTACGTAAGGCAATTCACTAGAGAGCGAGAGAGGAGACGCAGTGAGGAGCGAACAGGGAAGAGCGCGGGGTGGGGGGAGAAAGAAGACGGACAAGTGGAATTTCACTTGTTTTACAAAGCTACGAGCGCTCCTGTTCCTCGGGGTGACGCCCAGCTCGGGAGCAGGGAAGGGCTGCCCAGGATCCTGCGGAGCGCCCCGAGAGCTCCAGGCGCACCCCCGAGGAGCCGGAGCCCAGCTCCGGGCACGGCCCCCAGGGACACAACCCCTGTCCCCAGCCCGGGACAGGTCCCCACCTCGCCTCCCTCCCCCGTGGCCCCCCAGGGCTGCTCCCCGCTGCCGAGGGTCGGGGCCCGCGATGCTCCGCCGGGACGAAGCAGATGGTGAGCGACGGAGCGGGGAGCGCCAGCCCCGGGACACCTTCTGGGGGAGCCCCCCCGGGCACGGAGCCCACCGCCGCGCTGCTCACCTTGCGAAAGTAGCCGTCCTCGGCCGGCTCTGCCGCCGGGCAGCCGCGGGGCGGGAGGGTGTCTGTCATCTCCGGGCTGGCTGTGCCTCCTCCGCCGCTGCCACTCGAGCGCTGCTCCGCCGAGCCCGACCCTGCGGAACAGCCGCGGCTGCCGCGGGCACCGCCCGGCCCCACCCCCGCCGGGGCGGGGAGGAACCGCCCCGCCCCGAAACGCTGCCCCTGCAGCGGCCCCGGCGAGCTTCGGGGGGTGATTGTTCGGCTGCTCCCCGCGCTGGGAGTCCCGGCGGGGCGGCCGAGGTTCCCCCCTCCCCTTCTCTCCCTTCCCCCATTTTCGCTCCTCCGTGCGGGGACTGGCGGTGTCTGTGGCGGACTGAGAGCGGGGCTCGGCGATGGTTCTGATGCCTTCGGATCGTTTTAGGCAAGAGCTCTGCTCGCTCCTCCCCGGCAGCGCTCCGCCGGAGCGTGTCCGAGCCTGGCCGGCCGCCCCTCCGCTCCCCCTGCAGAGCCTGGAGACAGGTCTGGCCCCCCGGGAATCTTGGGGCCGCTCTGGGGGACGCGGTTCCCCGCGGGTGCTGCCCCTCGGTGCGGGCTCCTTGCCCCGAGAGAGGCGCTGCCGGAGCCGGCGGTGCCTCGGATCACCAGGGTGATGCCTGCGGGGCCACATCGCGGGCTTTGGGATGCTGCGGACCTGCCGGCTCGGTTCTAGGGCTGTCTCTGTCTTGGCGGGGCCCGGCCACCCGCCCCCCGATCTGTGGGGCAGGAGCCCGGCAGAGCTGCCGGAGCTGCGGTTGCTCCGGGCCCCCGATAAGGGCAGCGGTATCTCCGTGCAAGGCAGGGCTGGCCCCGCTCCGGGGAACTGCTGTGGGATCGACCTCAGCGTTGCCAAAACCCGCAGTGTCCGCGCTGGGGACAGACCTCCTGCCTGAAACGCTCCGTTGTGTAACCGGTTTCGCAAATGTTACTGGACACTTGTGTGAGGAATTTGCCAATATTGGTCCCTATTCCCAGCCCTGCCCAACCTGCAGAGCTAGATGGGCATTCAGCACTGAAAGGTGCAATACTTTCAATGCAATACTTTCAAACTTGGCTTCTTCCCCACGCCACCCCTCTTCATTTTTTATCTTTTTTTATCTTTCTTAGAATTACAGCCTAGTTGTGTCACGCGAAAAATCTGCAGAGACAACATTTCTTTATCAAACGAAAAAATATCATCGGAATTACATCTTTAACAGAAACGTTCTTTGAAAACGCCGGTGTCTCCAGCGAGTTATGCAGAGCAGGCCGATTAAACTGTGTCTGCTGCATAGTTTTGAACAAGAAGACTAGAGTCAGCAACTCAGAAATTGGGATCCAAAGATCTGCTGTCTTGAAATCAGCTGAATTTTGTTCCTTGCGATTTCATCCACTCTCACCTCAGTACTTTGCTTTTTCCAATAATCCAAAAAATATTTGGGTGAATGTATGAAAATGTACGTTAAACAGAAACAAGTAAAAGAAAGAACGTTGTTTAACTTGCTCCAGTTTCTGATTTGAGGGTGTAAAAAATGGTTTCAATTATTTTCATGATATTAGGAAATGGATAAAGGGCACTTCATCGTGACTGCATTAGGACTGAGACCGTATTTCTTAAATAAGTTTTATCTGCATACAGTGAATATGGGTTTTTTTGCAAAAGGCACACACTCACTGTATGGTCTCAGTAGGGCTGAGATGTGTAATGACTGGGTAGGAGTGCTCTCTGACCTTGGAATGTAAATTGCAGCTTAGAACATTCCAAAACCTGATTTACCCTCAAAAAAAAAACCCCATTTCCCTGCTCTTCTGACCATCTTGTCTCCAGTAGGTTTTTGGTTGCCATTAGAATTCCTAAATAGAGCTGGATTTATACCACAAACTTTCTCAGTTTCTCATGATTACTTGCATCAGAAGGTTTAGTTGCAGCATTGTAAAGGCTGGGAAATGCAACATAGAAATGTGGAGTAATGCCCTTAGAAAATGGGATATATAAACACAGACGTTTGGTTGGTATTTATCTTTAAAAATAGATTAAATTCAGTGATCTGGTGCACTGGGCATGGCGCTATCTGTAAGAAAGCATCAAATTTGCCTCCAAAGAATATCAGTATGTTGTGCCTGAAGTGTTGCATTTGAAAGCAATGAATCTTATCTCTGCATCAGATCCCTCTCTCTGTTCTGTAGTACTGGGTGCTCTCTGGTTTTGTGTATTTTCCCAGATAAACCAGCCAGGTGATCTGGACCAAGGCCATGCTGGAAACAGGCACAGAATGGCAGAGCTTGAGTCGTCCCAGATTCTGTCCCACAATAGTAAAGGCAAGAGGGAGCAGAATCGGGACCAGAATCTGGACAGCGTTACCACAGTATAAATATGTCCATATTTTTAATGTTTGTTCTTCTCCTCCACCTTGAAAAAATATATGCCTATATGAAATCTTGTCAATAGGATGTCTCAAGGTGGGTTCTGAAAATTCCAGTTCTTAATGAGCAAATGTTTGTCTGCTGTAGGGAAGTATTAGGTGAGGAGAAAGGAAAAGGACCCATAGGTTGAATTTTCCCCCCCACACACACTCAAGTCTTGCAGGGAGGAAAAAAAAAAGAGATTACAAATGGCAAAAACAGGGCATGGGAAACAGTAGTAACATTTACAGGATGGAGTAGGAGATTTCCTTACTGGAACGAAAACGGTATAAAAACTTGGTATCAACGGCTTTGGATGGCCTCAATATGATTTGCTACAGGTGCAGCATTTCACTGCTGCTTTTTCACCTTAACAGTGTGAGGCACATATAAACTGCAGCTGTATCTTCACTGAAAAAAAACCAAAAGACTTTTGCTGCTGAATAGCAAATATGCCTTGCCTATTTCACTGTGAATTCACACTGGGAAAAAGACATTGCAGTTTCAGTGGGAATTAAGAATGTAAGACCAAACAGGGGCAAAATCATCACCACTTTTCCCAGCTAATGCCTTGCCTTTGACTGAGATCCATAGATAAAAATCTGTGTACTTAAGGACAATACGTGTTACCTCTCCCTTTTTTTTTTTTTTTTTTTTTTTTTTGGTGTGGTGAGGTTTTGGTGTTTTGCGTGTTTTTTTTTTTTTGGTATTTTTGTTGTTGGGTTTTTTTTGTTCATTGTTTTTAAAAAATGAAAATTAACACTTAGTAGAAGCTGAAGCAGTGCCTCGGGGTCTGTACTCCAGGTGACTGTTTTGTCAACTGATACAGCAGCCCTGTGCTGGCAGGAGGAATATTCAGGGGAACATTCCCATTGAATGCAAGATAAGGCAGAGGTGAAGTCAAGCCGGTTGTTATTCAAAACAAAAAATGCGGTATGTTTATACTTCCTGTACTTAGGTTTTCGGGTTTTTTTTCTTTAGTGTGATTTAAAAAACCCTATAAATGAATCAGGTTTTTTTGCTTCCTTTTACATATCAATTATACCAATTTTAATCTGAAGTTCCAGTGACTTGCATAACTTCAATCAACAAGAAGTTATGTATTTGAAGAAGTGGTTTTAAAGAATGTAACAAAAGGCTTAGGAAGACACTTCTATGGCTGAGCGTCTTGATGAAGTAATGCAGAACCAGATGTTCAAAATGTCTTGGAAAACTAAACTCCGAAGTCCACCTATGGCTTAAGAGCTCAATTTCAGCCTTACGTGCACTGGCGAGTGTGTGAGCTGTAATTCAAAATTACTGTGGGTTTTTCTCACCAGACAAATTTCTGTAAAAACAGTATTTTAAAACTAAGTTATTCAGATCTAACTAACATTTTAGGTTCATTACAATTAAAGACATTTGAGTTATTCTCTTATTTAACAGCTACAAATAGCAGTTGTCATTTGGTTTAACAACTGTTAAAAAACAGAGAGACTTTACCGTGGAGAAGGAAATACCACTGGGATGCAAAAGTAATTCTAATCCGATAGAAACCTTAAAGGGGAAAAAAAAAAAAAGCTTCAAGATTTGATTACCCCAACTCTTTGAGCCTATCAGACAAGACACTCCTAATATTTTCTGTTAACATGGTGCAAAAAAGGCCTGTGTGTTAAATCGAAGTCACCTGGAATTGAGTATTCAGAAACTATTATTTCCTAAACAAAGAGAAACAGCAACTGTGTTAACAACTCATTTGTCACTGTCTGTTCTAGCTAAGTGCTTAGCAGTTAGTAATGGTGAGAAAAGATAATACACGTAGATGTGTGTCTGTGGGATCCACTCTATTGTTTCTAAGAGAATTAGAGACCAAAATGAAACAGAGTACTCCCTATTTACATGGAACCGTGTAAATATTTCCTATTGAAACCTGAAACCACATGAAACTCTGCTAGTTTCGCCTTGAGAGAAACCAGTTCTATTTCACAAACAGAAATACTGGGTTAGGGAACACTCAGCTAAACTTGCAGAATACTTATCTGCTGAGAGTAGGAATCGCTCAAGACTGTGTTTTGATTTATTTTCAAGGATTTCAAAGAAACTGGTGATATTTGCTGACAAAAGTTGCGGGTGGATGGTATCCTCAGCACAAGCGAAGTGGCTTTGGTTTTGTTTTGGGGAGGCGGGGAGTTGCATTGGTTTGGGGGTTGTTTGTTGATTTGTTTTAAACATTTTGTATCCTGCTTTTAGTGAATCTGAGTACTGAGGTCAAATGTAAGCTTGAGAAACCAAATTAATAAAAATCGACAAAGGAGTTTCTCACGGGCAACACTGGAAATTAAAATCCAAATTTTGAACGCTTGGGTCCTAGCGGGTCATACCAGTCTTTGTACAAAACATACTCAGTAAAAGTTTCTCTTGCCATGCAGGATTTCCCAAGGAGGTGCAGAGACACCTGAAAGCGTTCAGGGATGAAGCTCTTTGACGGAAGGCTTGAACCTTCTTTGAGAACTTTTTGTCTGTAGTTTTGAGACCTCTGCCCTGATTTCTGTGCACATTCTTCTTGAATAGCTCGTAAAACAACGCGGTAAGGCAGATTTTGGGGGTGGCGGTCTCGGGGATGGGAAAGTGCCGGAGATGGTGGTGCCAGGGTCGAAGTTGCCGGGGATGGGGATCCCGCGGGGGGCGGTCCCGGGGCACTGAGAGGTCCTGGGGATAGGAGTCCCAGGTTTGGGGGATCCCGGCGGTTCCGGAGTTTGGGAGTTGAAATCCCGAGGATGGGAATCCCGGGGGTGGCGGGTACCGGGGGTGGAGATCCTGGGCGTGGCGGTCCCGGGGTTGGGGCTGCCGGGGATGGGGATCCCGGGATGGGATCCCTGGTTGGGGTTCCCGGGATGGGGATATCGGGATGGGATCCCTGGTTGGGGTTTCCCCGGTTGGGGTTTCCCTGGTTGGGGTATCTCGGGATGGGATCCCTGGTTGGGGTTCCCCCGTTGGGGTTTCCCGGGATGGGATCCCTTGTTGGGGTTCCCCCGTTGGGGTTTCCCGGGATGGGATCCCTGGTTGGTGTTCCCGGGATGGGATCCCTGGTTGAGGTTTCCCAGGATGGGGATCCCGGGCTGGGATCCCCAGTTGGTGTTTCCCGGGATGGGGATATCGGGATGGGATCCCAGGTTGGGGTTTCCCGGGATGGGATCCCCGGTTGGGGTTCCCTGGTTGGGGTTTCCCGGGATGTGGATCCCGGGATGGGATCCCCGGTTGGGTTTCCCGGGATGGGATCCCTGGTTGGGGTTTCCCGGGATGGGATCCCTGGTTGGGGTTTCCTGGGATGGGATCCCTGGTTGGGGTTTCCCTGGTTGGGGTTTCCCTGGTTGGGGATCCCAGGATGGGGATCTCGGGATGGGATCCCCGGTTGGGGTTTCCCTGGTTGGGTATCCCGGGATGGGATCCCTGGTTGGGGTTTCCCCCGTTGGGGTTTCCCTGGTTGAGTATCTCTGTATGGGATCCCCGGTTGGGTATCCCGGGATGGGATCCCTGGTTGGGTTTCCCTGGTTGGGGTTCCCCCGTTGGGGTTTCCCTGGTTGGGGTTCCCCCGTTGGGGTTTCCCGGGCTGGGATCCCTGGTTGGGGTTTCCCTCGTTGGGGTTCCCGGGATGGGATCCCTGGTTGAGGTTTCCCGGGATGGGGATATCGGGATGGGATCCCCGGTTGGGTTTCCCGGGATGGGATCCCCGTTGGGGTTTCCCGGGATGGGATCCCTGGGTTGGGGTTTCCCGGGATGGGGATATCGGGATGGGATCCCTGGTTGGGGTTCCCCGGATGGGGTTTCCCGGGATGGGGATATCGGGATGGGATCCCTGGTTGGGGTTCCCGGGATGGGGATATCGGGATGGGATCCCTGGTTGGTGTTTCCTGGGATGGGATCCCTGGTTGGGGTTTCCCGGCCGGGGTTCCCGCCCGGCCCGCTGGCCCCGCCCCCCGCCCGTGACGCCGCCGTGCCCCGCGCGGCCACCGTCGGTCAAGATGGCGGCGGGCAGCGACAGCGAGGAGGAGGAGGACCTGGTGAGCTACGGAGCGGCGCTGCAGCCCCTGCAGGAGGGTAAGGACCCTCCCCGCCCCGCCCGACCTTGGGGCAGGCCCTGCGGAGCGGCCCCGCGGTAGGCGCTGGAGTCCCGCACGGCCCGGGCCGGTTCGCGGCCTTGGCTGTGGGAGCTGTGGCGTGTGGGCCCCGCGCAGACACACCTGCCCTTCTCCCCCTGCCTCTCCTTTCTCCCCTGCCTCTCCTGCCCTTCCTCCCCCTGCCCCGGCAGCCGTGGTGAACTGCAAAAACGTCTGGCTCGGCCTGGGGACGGAGCGGGGAAAGGCCCCGCGGGCACCACCCCGGCTGTGCGGGGCTGAGCTGGGCTGTCCCTGCCCTGCGTGGGGCTGGGGGCCAGCCTGTCCTTCTGTGCTTTCCCTAAGCCTCAAAAAGAGAGGAGAAAATAGAGTTCGAGTGTAACGCTTCAGGTGCACGCAGTTGTCCTATTAGGACCGTTCTATGCCTATATTCGTATATTCACCTTATATATTCGTGTATTCACTAGTCCAAGGACTTATGTATGGCCGTGACTCCCAAGTCTGTGCTGCTTTATGCAAGAAGTACTGTTTAGAAAGTGTAAATGGTCATATCAAAGTCTGTAGCTTTGGTGGTTCATTTCAGTTTTGGACACATCTGGTGTGTAGTTTCTCAAGCAGTTACTGAAGTGATGGAATCCTGCCAGGGGTCTTGCATGCCAAGAAACTAAATGTCCTTTCACAGGAAAAGAACACTGTTCAGAACTCATCAGAGTTAAGGGGTTTGATGTGAACACAGTGCCTTTCCTTTGGCACTGTGCATCAGCAGTGTATGCAGATGGTTAAAGTGGGGGGGAAATAGATGTGAACTGATGCTTTCCACTTCAGGGTGGCCACTGCTTGATCCAGTTCTTACCTGCGAGGAAGAAGCAGCTTCTGGAGGGAGTGGAAGGTCCCTTCTTCATGCAGTGTTGTGTCTCATCTTGTGGTGTGTTTGGCTGTAGGTGAGCGGATTAAGAAGCCGGTTCCTCTTCAAGAGCAGACGGTTAAGGATGCAAAGGGGCGATATCAGCGTTTCCACGGGGCCTTTACTGGGGGCTTTTCTGCTGGTTACTTCAACACCGTGGGCACAAAGGAAGGTTGGATGTTTTTCTGTCTGAATTGTTTTCAAATACTGTGCTGCCTTAAGCACCTTACTTAAGCATTTACCTTCCTTAAAGGATGGACGCCCTCAGCTTTTGTCTCCTCACGGCAGAAGAGAGCAGACAGAACCACTCTTGGACCAGAAGACTTCATGGATGAGGAGGTAAATTTAGAAAGGAATAGAAGACTTTTGTAAATGCTTTCCATGACAGCAGGTTTTTCAGGCGATAAAATCTTCTGAGGAACTCTAATAGCAAAAATTGAAGTAGCTTTAAAAGGGCTTCTTGTGTGCAGTGTTACACTGCTGGGTCATAAAGACTGTTTCGTAGGTTCACTTAAGAAGCTCCTGTAATGTCAAAAATTAAACCAGAACTCAACCCTTTCACTCTATCAGAAAAGGCAAATACTTCTGAAACTGTTTAAAATATGTCCATTCAGGTTATTTAAAAAAACCCTGTCTAAATGGTTGAAGAAAATTAGCCAATATGAAGGTCACGTCCCTTTCCTTTAGTATTACAGTAAGGAAGAACTTGAGGGGTGTTTAATTTTATTTTTTTTTTTTGCATTTTGTGTGTATTTTCCAGGATCTTAGTGAATTTGGGATAGCACCGAAAGATATCACAACCACAGATGATTTTGCATCCAAAACTAAAGACAGAATAAAAGAGAAAGCCAGACAGATTGCAGGAGTAGTTGCTGCCATTCCAGGAACCACTGCATTCGATGATCTGATAGGACCCTCAAAGTAAGTGAATTTACATAAAGATTGGCCAAACAATTCCTTTCACTTGGAAGTGTTGTGTTGGTTAGAGAAGTAACTTTTGACCACAGCAATCTGCAGAAGAGACTGGAAGATCTGCAGTGTTGCACTTCCTAAGTGACCTCCAGCTGGATTTCTGTTTTGAATGTGCAGACCTGTACCAGGTAAACATTTACAACTGGCATGCGGTGTGTGTGCAAATGTTGGTACATTCATACGGGGTTTTAGCTGGGGCATAAAGACAGAAGTTCAAATGTTGTGTATGTACATGGTTGATCAATACATAGTAAAAGTATTGTTTGAAGTAATTCTGGGGTTTGTTTCCTTTTGTTTTCTTCTTAGAATAACAGTTGGAGTTGAACTCTTACGAAAAATGGGCTGGAAAGAAGGACAAGGAATTGGACCACGAGTCAAAAGAAAGCCATGCAGGCAGAAACCTGGTAAGTTCAGGGAAGTTCCTGAGCTCCTTGGTAGGAAGTTAACATTCATAGACAGATTAGAAGGTTAACTTTAAAACCTCCTTTTATTAATTTAATATGATGCTCTGATGTCTCTTACAGATCCTACAGTGAAAATATATGGTTGTGCTTTACCACCTGGACTGTCTGAGGGTTCTGAGGTATTGAACAGGCAAAAGTTGTTTGTTGACTTATGTAAGAATGTGTGTTAAATAAAAAACTCCTAAAACTTCTTTTTATGTCTTTGAACAGGATTTTAAAATGTGCTTTCAAATCTTCTTAAAAGCATTCATACTCACCCTGCTTAATGTGGAGAAAGGTTTTAGTGCAACTAAATTTCCTCTTAAGCAGGTGTAATTCATATATCATTTAGGAATTGCAGATGTTCCTAGGCTCGTGTAAACTGAATAGTGTAAAAGCACAGCACTTTTAATAATATTTGCTCCTGGAAACGTTTATTTTGTCCAAGGAGGAAGAGGATGAATACCAGCCAGAGAATGTGACCTTTGCCCCAAAAGATGTCATGCCTGTAGATTTGACTCCTAAAGAGAACGTCCATGGCCTTGGCTATAAGGGTTTGGATCCCTCACAAGCCTTGTTTGGTGTGTCTGGCAGAGAACACCTGAATCTTTTCACAGCTGGTTCTGAAGAGACAAGCAACTTGCTTGGGGATCTGAGACACAGTAAAGGAAGAAAACTGGGTATTACAGGTCAGGTAAGGACAATTGTTAATGCCTTTTATTATTAGTGCAGTAAAATATAAACAAATTTGGGAGGGGGTTAAGTGAAAAGCTCCTTATTGTTGTAGGGTTATTGTAAGAAATCTTAAGTGTAGTTTGACAGCAGGATTTCTTTAAAACTTGTTTTGAAGATGTGGAAAAATCCTTAGAACTTTCAAATACCTTCACTTACCAATATTGTTAAAGACAACTATGAAAAATACCTGACTCTGAGTAGCTGCATGGAGAAAAGTCTGGTGTTACTTGGCTTAGAGAAAGTTAACATTCAGTATTTTTTTAGTTTACATTTTTTGGTCTGTTTTACTTTCAGTAATCTCTTAGCTAGAGAGGTTTGGTGTTGCTCCATGCTGTTTGTAGTTCTTATCTAGAGGCACGATGAGTTTACATTCCTGGGAATTCTCCTTGCTTAATTTCCATGCCAACTGACAATTTTTTTTTTCCTTCTGAGAACTTAACCTGGTCTTAGTCAGATTGTAAATGTTATTTTGTGGAATTAGTCTGCTGTCCTCATCCTGTACAGATCAAACTTGCTTGCCAGGGGAATGGAATATGTTTACTTTTGTGTTCAGTGAGGGGGGGGTTTTTTTCCACCTCACTTCTTGGGGTGAAGCTGGACATTCTTCCCAGTGTGTGTGTGTGTATATATATTTATATGTATACATTTCACATCTTATACAGGTGAGTAGATATCCATGTAGATGTGTTCTGTTATGTGACTTTAAAGTATTTTTACACTTCTGAGCTTTCATTTGTATTTAAATATATTTTAGGCTTTTGGCGTGGGAGCTCTGGAGGAAGAAGACGATGATATTTATGCAACTGATACCCTGTCAAAATATGATACAGTTCTGAAAGATGAGGAACCTGGGGATGGCTTGTATGGCTGGACAGCACCAAAGCAATATAAATCCAAAAAAAGTAAGAACTGTGGGTCTATCTAAACACCTAGTGTAATTTGGGGAAAAAATAGCATCATGTAGTCTCTATTTGCCAGATATTTTAGTTTTCAGCCTTGATATCTGAAACTTCAACTAGTCTTCCTTCCATATTTTTTTTTTTGCCTAACATACATGTTTTAAATATTGACCAACTCTGTGGTCACTTTGTAGGGCCTGAAAGAGACTTTAAATATATAGGCAAAATCTTGGATGGTTTTTCCTTGGCATCAAAATCATCAATTCCAATCAAGGTAAGCAGATAGTTATATTTTTTATATTAATAACATCAAGAAATTATCGTGTAAGCTGTGTGGATTTTACTGCTGCTCTGTGTTTTCTCTGTTCTTAGAAATGAGTGTTCTGGTCAGCAGTAAAGATTGATGAGTGAGCAAAATTATAGCACTGGGGGCTGTTCAATAGAAACCTAAAATTTGTCAGATTCCTTAAGCAATTTTAACTTTGCCTGTGACATTGGCTTTGAACAAATGCCTCCCACACTTTGTACTGTTATTTGCCATGAAGTTGGAGGAATGGTTTAATCTGACTTGAAAATAAAAAACTTGCATCTTTTGCTCCTGGATCTTTCAGATGCAACGTTCAGTTCTCTGGAAAAATCAGGCCTCATGGTCTGTCCACTTTGCTTTTTGGTGACAGGTTTATTTGTTAGTCCTGTTCTCAGGTTTGCATCGTTTATGCCATAAATATTTGCATAAATTAGGATGACAGACAGAACTGCATGACATGGTTCCCTTTCTAAGGAAGAATGTTGGTGTGGTGTATGAAATTGCACTGTGTAGGGAGCACAGGGATAACCTCTGAAGTAACAACCTGAATGAGGAATATGGGGGAAAAGCATTTTGAAAGACATCAAAATACACTAAGCACACCAATACTCAGTAGTACAATTAATTGATTAAATCATGTGACTTTAGTTCTTAAAAAAAAAAAAATCTAAAAAAAAGGCAATACCAGGAGCATTTTCTCAAACAAAAGCAGTGCAGATTAAGACTCCTGTTAAGTTTTTTATTGCATGATGTGCTTGTTTTCTTATTTTTTCATAGTCATTACATACTGTCAGGATTTGTTCCCAGAGTTTGTATTACAGTGCCGCTTCCTGACTGGGCCTATGAGAATCAGCAGCTTGTAGTGTGTAAATTGAGGAATTTTTAGGATGGAAGCTGAGGAATTTTTAGGTTGGGCTGCCTTTTTCTGAAACACGTTTTGCAAGTGTTCCATACAAAGTTCTCTCCCTGAGTGGATTTATTTTGTTCTGTGGCCCCAAAGATTTACCCACCACCTCACCTGCCCCGAAATTACAGACCAGTTCATTACTTCCGACCTGTGATAGCAGCTGGGCAAGAAAACTCCCGTTTGCAGAAGGCACTGGAGGAATCCACTGGGAAGCTGGGGAGTGATCCAGCACAGCAGAGCAGGCACGCTTTGGATGCAGCTCAGAGGAGGGAACTGCTGGGAGAGACTGGGCTGAAAGGTACCACCTTTGCTTGGCTTTGTCTGACAGGAAAAGCTGGCCTTGAACACTTACTTTCTGATACAAACATAACCAAATCTAGTTCCCATAGCTGGAATACCATTCCAGTGCTCTGTTTCATCACAGCACTGGCATTGTTGGCATAGCTGGCTGTATTTTCATTTGCTTAAATATTTGGTCTGTGTTTCGTTGTGCTTGGTTGGGTTTTCCCGTGGCCTTTTGTGAATGTAGGAGGCTCTGAGGATTTTTTTCCTGTAAAATGAGGTTTCACTGAAATACATTCAAATGTGTAGCTGTGCCTCACATTTGTATGTACAATTGTGAACTTTATAAAGTTATATGTAAATATGTGGTAAATGGCATAAAAGATATAATAGTGGCCACATTTTTATCTGTCATCTCTGCAATTTTATTTTTTATTTCTGCTTAAGAGCATTTTCTCTGAATGTGTACCCATAGTGGAAGAAATAATTCTAGGAGTTTTTAATTTCTATTTATCTTTTACTGCTTTTTTTCTGCTTTAGGTCCAGCTCCTTCTGTTTTGGAATATCTGTCTGAGAAGGATAGAGAAAGACTCAGAGAAGTGAAACAAGCATCTGAACAACAAATGAAAGCAAAACCAGTGGCTCAGCAGCCCCAAAACAGATTCCAGGCAGCCCCCCCAGAGGATGCTGCTCCCAAATGGCAAATGCTGCTGGAGGGGCAGTTGGCAAATGCTGGTTCCAGTGACTTCAAACCATTTGCAAGAAATCCAGAAAAACAAAAAAGATACGAAAATTTTGTGAAAAGTCTTAAACAAGGAGAAAAAGGTAAAACATTTCTTGATTTTAATTATTTTCCTTTTTTTTTCCCCCTTCTTTTTTTTATTCCAGTGCATTATATGTCCACTGTGAGTTCTCTTCCTGAATTCCACAGCATCTCTCCCTCTATTTCTTTTCAGGGCCAATGTTAAAAGAAATTTTTACTGATATTTTGTCCTTTTGATCTCAGGAAAACGGCTCAGTAATTTAATTGCCAGCAAGTCTTGATTTTTAGGCATTACATTTGCCAAGAAAGACTGCAGCTTTGGTCAGTAGAATAAGCATTTTCATCCAGTTTGTTCCTCTTTAAGGAGTAAAACTCTTTCTGTCTCCTTTCATTTTGTTTAGATTTTTGCTGTTAAATGGTACTGTGGTGCATCTTAAATTAAACCAGGGGCTTACAGTGCCTTGTGGTGAGTTGTCCAGTGCTGTGATTTTTCTGTAAGGTGTAGAAAGCTGAAGTGGATCTAGGGAGTTCCTCAGCAGCCTGTGAATCTAGACTACCTTAAAATTAAAAACAAACAAACAAAAAACAAACAAAAACACCAACAAAACGGGGTTGGTTTGGTTTTCAAATTTTTAAGTACAAAGGGGTCATTGGAGAAGAAGAAAATGGGCACCAGCAAAATGTCACAGAGGAAAGCATTTAGGGACAGATAGAAAACCTGGTTTTGTTATTTTAATTGTGGTTTGGTTTTTGGTTTGGGTTTTTTTCTTTAAATAGTCCTTTTAATTCGATCAAAAAATCATTTCCTGGTTAGTAGCTTCCTCTGGCTACCACAGTGGGACAGGTTACTTGAGCTTTGAACCCCAAGTTCCTTTGTTCAGGACTGGGATTTTCCCTGTGTAAAATTGAGTACCCTCAGTTATGACTCTATTATGCTGTAAATGCCTCCCTAGTAATAATGATGAAAATGCAGGAATATTTAAATACCTGGAATGATTAAAGTTCTGTTTTCCTGTAAGAGGGATTGTTTGGCTGGTGTTATTTCCTCTTCCTTCTGGGAGAAAAAGTGAACCTGTTGCTGTAAACAGGGTCTGTATGGTTTATATAAAAACCTGCGTCCAAACTCTGTGTTTATCAGTGGGCACTTTATATTCCAGGAAGCCTCTTAAAGTTCCCAAAGCCTAGCCAGGCTTAGTCCTTGTTTAACTCTGTTCTGTGGCTTAGTTATTTGATAAATCTTTGCATTATACTTTTGTTTTTAAACACATTAAATATTCTGAACATTTCTTAGAGGGCAGTGATTAAGGAGTTAGGTTTACGAGCAAAATTATTCAAAATATCTATTTTGCATTTGGCAAATGCTATCTTGAAAAGCTGCCTCCATTTATCAAGGATTAACACAGTTGAGAATAAACTGTCCTTAAGCTAAATACTCATTTAATACTCGCAAGGATGTTTGCTTATGATGTGATTGTTTCAGAGGTGTTGGAGCTCAGTAACTGTGACCCTGCTGAGCATTTCTCTCCTGCTCTCACAGCAGATGCCCTGGAGCGTTTTTTAGACCCCAACATGACAGAATGGGAGCGGGGCAGGGAGCAGGAGGAGTTTGTCCGTGCTGCCATGTTCTACAGATCCTCCAGTTCCACGCTCTCCTCCAGGTTCACTCGGGCCAAGTACGAAGATGACGTTGACAAAGTCGAAGTTCCTCGAGACCAAGAGGTACCTGCTGTTCTCTTGGATACCTTGGAGCTGCAGTTGCTGCCTCAACCCTCAATTTCTCCTTCTTTAAAACCCTTTTGTGGATTTGTCACTGTTTTGTTGCCCTTCTGTTCAAACATTCCAGCATCAAAAGATGCTGCTCATCTTTTGAAAACACTCACTGCATCCAGAAAAGTGTTTTGTTGAACAGCCCTTAATTATTATGTTTGTCTTGTTTCAAGTCTTATTAATAGTTCAGTAAGTTGTGCCTTCTTTAGCAGCTGTAAATGTTTGCCTTTTTCAGAATGATATCGATGATAAGGAAACTGCTGTGAAGATGAAGATGTTTGGCAAACTCACAAGAGACAAGTTTGAGTGGCACCCTGACAAGCTGCTGTGTAAAAGATTTAATGTTCGTGATCCTTATCCTGAGTAAGATGATTGAGATTTATATTTTTATATTGGGAAATTCTGAGGTTTTTGTTTGCTGGTGGAAAATCTGCCTTGGTGTTTTCTTCTTGTGTCATAATGTGATGCAGAACTGCCAATATTTTTATTTGCATCATGAAACATGGGGACAAAACAGCATGCATTTTAAGGACTGCTGTAGGTCTTTCAGCTTGCTGTAGATAATTTGAGGCCTTTTCTGTGCTGAAAACAATAATCAACAAACGTTTTTATTTCCCTCTAGTTCTTCCATAGTTGGTTTACCAAAAGTGAAAAGAGACAAGTATTCTGTGTTTAACTTCTTAACTGTCCCTGAGCCCACCACGTCTGCAACTCCAACAACAAACAAACAAATCCAAGAGAGTAACAGCCACAACAGTAAGTTTGTTGTTACTTTATTAACTTAGCTATAAACAAGATAGTAGTACAGAAAGAGCATCTTTTTTTAGTTTACAAAAAAAAACAAACTTTTTTTAATTAAAAACCCTAAATAAAGAAACTGAAAAAAGTTTCAGTAACATAAAAACCTAAGTTAGTGATATAATGCTAATCTCTTTTACCTAGAAGATCTTTATAGGTCAAATATTCATTAGAAAGATTTAAAAAACGTCAAACTGAAGAAGAAGCAGAGTAATTTAAAATCAAACAGGCTGTGAAATGCAGGATAATTTGGCATGCAACTGATTTGAATGTTTTGAATGTTTTTAGAACCAAAGAAACCTTCAAGGTGGGATATGTCGGATAAAGAGAAGGAGAAGAGAGATTCTATCAGTGAATTCATTAGCCTTGCTAGATCAAAAGCTGATGTTCAGCAGCAGCCACCAGTGCCAGCTCCAGAAAAATGTGCAACTGGGCCAAGTGAAACTCTTCCCACTGAGGTGAGTTTACAGGGTTTGGACCTTGACAACCCAGAAATAAGATTGGATAATACATGAATTGATTTCCTACAGATCACTTTGCTCAAGAGCCAACTCAAGAGCAGGGGCATGAGATTGTACTTGGAAGAATTTTGAGGTTATAACTCTGAGATGTAAAATGTTTGCAGCTCACAAGGACAGCAGGTTTGACTGTACTTGAAGTAGCAGCTTCAGAGGAGAAAAAATGTATCTCAGCAGACTGGGAACTAAATTCAGTCACCCTCACTCTGCTCACAGGCAGAATGGAGGAGGGTGCATATTTTGGGGAGAAAGGTGATGTTTTCCTTTTGCTTAAATTTATTATTATATAATTGAAGTTTGAAATAATGAGTTAGATCCCCAAATATTGCAAATTCTGTTTTCAACTGTGTAGCACAAAGTGCACTCCCAGGTCCAGGACGCTGGCTTAGTTTCGCAGCACTTCACATCTGCACTATTTTGGTTCCTAAGGTCGTGCGTTTCACAGCTATTGTGACATCTGTAAATGCCTGTAAATGCCTGCCAGCATGTTTGAAGTTGTTCCTTCCCAGAGAGGGACTGTTAGTTCCTTTAGTGTTTAACTGCAGGTTGTTGTGGTGCTGTTCAGCAGGGAGCTAATGAAAGAAAGGATCAGGAGGAAGAAAGCAAACGACCACCCATGGACTTATTCAAGGCCATCTTTGTGAGTTCCTCAGATGAAAAATCATCTTCCTCTGAAGAAGAGAGTGATGAGGAGCAGCAACCAACTACTTCAGTAACAGAGTCAGAAACCACCCAGCAAGTTGATAAACAAACAGACAGTTCTTCCTCTGGGGTACAAGGTAGTCCCTAATGGATGTTCATTTTTATGCAACATAAAATAAAAACCTTGCAAAAGGTTGGTTTATGACTCACATACTCTAGGACTGCACTCCTGTGCAGATCATCTGGAATTGGTGGAGCTGGGCATGTAGAAAATCCAAATAATGCAGCACAGAATAAGGCCTTGCATGTTATCCTGTTATTTGTGCTGCCATTTGTCTTGTGTAGGTTTTACAAGCAAAGTGCCCAATGCAATATGCTTGTTAAACAGTGAGGGGGAGGAAAACATCTAGTGCTAGAGCACACTGAAAATGGAAATACTTTGTTCATTTCCTGTCACAGCTGGTTCTATTAACATTTAACTTTTAGCCTTTATTAATTTATGCATCTTGTGGAGTTTTTTATTAGTTCTAAGTAGTGGAAAAATATTTCTGTGTTAAAAAATAGAAGCAAACAAATGCACTGGTATTAATTAATAATCGTGTAGTGTAACAGGCAAATTTTGATTTAAAGGGAAAAAAACCCCACAGTATGTTGACATGTTTCAGAATTCCAGTAATCCAATTGGCCAGAGCATCCTTCAGCACTTCCTGGAAAAAGTGTTTTCTTCTGTTCCTTTCAAATATAGGATTCTTTGGCTTTTTTCACAGAGAGTGTGGCTGCTGCAGCTGATCCTGGCACTTCTTCATTGTCTACTTCAAAGCAGGAGCTGGATGCAGCAGAGGAATTTGGACCAAAGCTGCCTCCAGCTTTTTCTTCTGGTAGGTTCTGTAAGCTTTCTAGAAGTGTAAATTCTGCACATTTAATGGCATAATTCAAACACCAAGGCATTTAATTACAACAGGATTTTTAGACATTTCATTTCCATTTGAAAGCTTAGGAGTTTTGTTTGTTTGTTTTAACTATCCTGTTAGGTTAAAAGTAATACAGAATGTAATAATCAAATTACTTTTTTTGTCCTTTTTTTCTTTTTTTTTACTGTTTATGCATTTGCTTTGTGCTTTAGGTGCTGCTTGGCAAACAGTGGTGCCAGCAAGCTCTCCTGGGTCCAGCAGGAAAGAAAAGCATAGGAAAACAAGAGAGAAGCACAAGGCAAAGAAAGAACATAAACGTAAAAAAGAAAAGGTATTTCATGTAAATAAACTGACCTGCCAGTCCACATTTTTTATTCTTTATACCAGGTTGCAGGGAATACATAATACTGGGACTAGAATTTAAGCACCAGAATTCCTGGGATGTTTTGGAACCGAGGAAGTTGTCCCACTGCGATGCTGCTTTTTCCGTGTATACGACTTGGCTACAGACACAGCAGTGTGGGTGGTTTCAGGCTGTGTGCTGAAGGTGTCAGGCACGTTCTGGGAACTGCATTATAGTCATGAAACTTGCATTTTGTAGGGAGTTGAGTGCTTAGGTGAAATGCAGGGTCTTGGTTTGTATTTTCTTCAGCTCAGTCTGAGTAGTGGAAAAGAGTGATTGGTCATTGCTCTGTTTCAGTCAGGCTTGGAGACTTCACTGAAATCAACTTTTTTCTGTTGTCGACTTCCGGGAAAATCCAAGTCTTTCACAAGGAAATAAGGGACTATTTATCTTCTTTTTACAGAAAAAGAAACATAAGAAGCAGAAAAACAAAGGAAAACACAAGAATAAAAAATCAGAAAAAGAAAGCAGCTCAGACACTACCGAGAGCAGTGACAGCAGTGATATGGATACCACAGGCCTGTCACCCAAAGAACTTCTAAGAAGGTAAATAGAAAGGTCACTTAAACACTTGCAAATTTTGCAGTGAGTAACCAAAACATCAGTTTATGAGTTGTTAAATACTGCTGACTTCAGTGAGGAAAGATTACAGATGTTAGACATCCTAATATAGGGAGTAATTAATTTTAGGATAGGAACCTCTTCAGGTAAATGGCACTAAGTAGAGAGCCCTGTTGGTTAGTGGACATTATCATTAAAGATGGCTGATATTTTTGGAAGGTATTTTGAATTGGAATTACAAATTGAACAAGTGCAGGTGGGGATGTTGCATGTTACTGTTCAGAGTGACCTTTCTCTTTTTCTTTCTCCCTTCTAGATTAAAACAACTTCAGTATTGAAGAAGCCTCTTGCTTTCCTCAGTACTGTGGGACTTGATCTCCAATGTTTGATCTCCTCCATGATGGTAGATCAGTGGTGTATAATGTGAAGCACTAGAGATACAGTATTCATATTGAATTTCTTTGAAAGTAAATGTGCTTATGTTTATTTTGTGAATGTTTCATGTGTTCAAAATGTATGGATTATAGAGCATTGAAAAGACCCCTTTCTGGGCAGCATAATCTGAAATACCGCAGGCTCTGTTTTAATTCATTAAACAAAGCATTTTAATAAACTTTAATGTTGTTAAATGAGTTTTGTATGGTAATAATCTTGTATGCCTAGGACCTCTAAAGTGCTGGAGAGTAAGTTTCAGTCTGAGTTAAGTTAAAAACCAAGGCAATGTAAAATCTGTATTGGGTGCAAGTATTTTTAATGAAGCTAAAGCAGAATTTCAAGTTGCAGTTTTGCAGTCTCAGGCTGTGTTTGGGGTTATTTTTAACTGTCCAAATTGTATATAGCATTTATTATAGCAGCTGTAAACCACTGAACTCTCATGGAATAGGCTGGGTTGGAAGGGATTCATCAGGATCATCGAGTTTGACTCCTGGCCCTGTGCAGGACAGTTGTATCATTTTGACACAAATTACTAAGGCTGATGAGCTACAAGATTAATACTGTGATTAAAATCTGCCTTATTTTATGTAGTACAAAGAAAACTATTTATACCTTTTCAAAATACCTTTGACAAAATTTGTAACAGTCTTGTCTAAAACGTGTGGTCTAAGAGTTTGATGCCCTTAGATGGACCAGAATCAAGGAAACAAGTGTTTAAAAGACTTAAGAGAGACTTGAGAGGAAGAAGAATTGACAAAACAAACCAAACCAAACCTCCAGAAAAACAAAAATACAATCCATATCCATCGACATCTTTTTTTCTCGACCAGATTTGGTAAATCTGCTCCAAGGTAGTCCCAGGGAAAGAATGAGAGCTTTGCTCAGGCAAGTGGAACTTCAGGTATATTCTCTTCTGGTTCCTGCTTTCCTACTCCCCCTCATGGACTAAGCTGTCAAAAATAATCTCAAGGAAAACTCTTCCTAAACGTTGCTCTGTTCCTTTCCAGCTTGCATTTACAGTTCTGAGAGGACACAGTGATCCTGTGAGCTCCTGCCGTTCTTGCTTTGAGGACACAAAAATACTTTCGTGCTCTTATGCAGTGAAACTCTGCAAGTGTTACGAACACAACAAATTAAAGAGAAAATCTGAAAGCTGAAATCAAACAAGGAGTGTTACACGGGCGTGAAGATTGAATCATCAGAGAGCCTCCTGGAGATTTTTGCTGAAGTTTAAGAACAGCAGCTGTAAATGCTTTTGCAGTCACAGATAAATAGAACTATTTCATGCTCCTGACATGTTCCTTGACATTAGAGTGACTCTTTTAAGCACGTGTAGCATACACTGAATCAGAGCTCCAGCTCATTAATATTTTAAATCTGAAGGTTGATACACAAAGCTTGCTCTTTTTCTCCTGGAAGTTCCCGTTTCTGACTTGTTTATGTGTGGGATTCTTCGTGGAGAAAGATAAAGCAGGGATCAGACAGTTGTTACCAGCACGACCGTGGTGTTTTCATCCTTGTCACTGCCTTTTTCCTTTTATTTCAGTCTCAACTGAACATCTCTTTTCTTGCTCTGTAAAGTTTTGTTTAGTTTGCTGGGATTTCCTTAAAATTCCAACCACTCTGGGCAAAGCAATGGCTAGGTCTGAATAGGGGAAGTGTCGAGATTCCAGGTGATCAAATCTAAATTAATTAAGTCTGTAAGAAGGCTTGGAGTGATACAGGTATGTGTTATGCAAGCAAATGACAATGTATCTGTGCTAGGTAGATTGCAGGTGTCGAGCTCTGATGTACATTAAGCAGTCATGACTTCATCTAAGAATTGGTAATGAGTCACAGTAGTGCCTTAATGTCATACAAATTCAAATAATTTATAAAGTACCTAAAATATTGGCTTCTTGCTGTGCAGTAGGTTTTTACCACAACCCAACCTTTTCCAGGCATAATGGAAAAGCCCCAAATGTGCCAGAAGTCCAGGCAATGCTCAGGTTATCCAAGATCTGTGGGTTGCCAGCTCAAAGAAACCAGGAAGTCCAGAATGAAAAAAGTCCCAGCTTTCAATAAGGAGTTCCAAAGCAAACAGACATGTGGCAGTCTTAAGCAAATATTATAGATAGGAGATATAAAAGTAACTCTCTCAGGGTGTTAGTCATGACATTTACAGTTTAATAACTGTCACTTTGACAGTGCCAAACCTTTTTTTTCGTCTCCAAGGCGGCTGTAGTGATTGGGATATCAGTGAAGCTTTCAATCCTGTCTCTCCCAGGATCCTTCTGGACAAACTGGCCATGCCCACAGCTGGATAAACACACCCTGTGGGGGGTGAGCAGTTGGCTCAGGGGTCGGGCACAGAGGGTGACAGTGACCGGGGTGACATCACACTGTCACCTGTCACTAGGGGGGTTCCACAGGGCCAGGGAGGGGATTGTCCCCTCTGCTCTGCCCTGGGGCGGCCTCACCTCAACATTGGGGCACTTTGGGGGGACACAATGGAAGGGAGAGATTGAGCCATTGGAGAGTGTCCAAAGGAGGGACACGGAGATGGGGAAGGGCCTGGATTTGGAGCCGTGTGAGGACACTGAGGGCACTTGGTGTGTTCAGCTGGAGCAGAGGAGACTGAGGGGAGACCTCCCTGCAGTTACTGTAAGTAAACTGTAATTAAAACCTGAAAATAAGAAGATAATCCATTATTTTTTTTTAAAGTACAGTAAATCCATGAGTGTTCATTTTGTTGGAAAGGCTGTAACGTGCCACTTGCCTGAAGTGTCTAATTTCTGTTTAAGGAATTTTTGTAGTCTTTATCTAAGATTTATTCAACACTTGGTGAGCAATACTTATTTTTCAGAATCCATCTAAAAGTGTTTGCCTGATTATTGGGGACTTTCTGATAGCAAGAATTATGGAAGATGTATTAAGACATTAATTTCCTCCCCTGCAGAAACCACTGAAGTCATTTTAGAATTCAGGAGAGTGTGGTGGACTTGATCTCGGGTGGCTGGGCCAGCCCTGAGAATTTCACTTTGGGGTTCTCTTTTTTCCCCTTTGAAAGAGCAGATATCAAACAGCTGAGTGCACTGAGAACACATTTGAAGTTCCTCTTGACAGCAAACAGCATCTCTGTGGAGTGAGAGTCCACAAATCTTTGGGAAAACAAAGATTAATAGCACATTCAGCAGACAAAGGCTGGGTAAGTCTAGAAGGGCAGTTTTGACTGCAAGACTTTTGTGACTCATAAAATATAGAACAAGAACACACAGTAGCTTTGATCTGGGTTGGGTTTTTTTATCTTTTATCTTAGAAACATTCCTAATGATTCTGGTGTCAGTTAGTACACTGACACACACACAGAAAATAAGTGAAAAAGTGAAAAATAAATTTACTTTCAAGTTTTGTCTGTTATTAGGAGCTGCCAAGTGAGCAGGAGAGCTCCTTGCAGTCAAAGTCCTGGTGAGGAAGCAGCTCTAGATCTGAGACTTGATGTTGAGAAAGGGCAGTAGTGGTCAGAAGTACAAGATTTTGTTCTCATATTGAAGACACATGAAAGAACACATAATAAAGGGAGTTTAAGATTTCAGACAGATTCTGAAACCTCTTGGTACTTACACAGACAAAACCTGATTGAAATAATTGGGTTAATCATGGAAATAGAGGATGGTTTATCTAGAGGAAGGTAGGATGAGCGATCCTGTGATACTTTGAAATGTTGAGTTACTCTGCTGAATTAAACTGGAATCTTTCTGGCATCATAAATGCATGTTGGAATACTCTGATAGATTAAAGCCTCTTTTAGGGCAAAGGACTTTTTAAATTCTGCTTCTGAGTTACACAGGGCTGGAAGTCTCTCTTTGCCATGTGTTCTGAAGGAGATAAATAAATACATGTCATTTGTATAAAAGAACAACACTGAATTAGCCAAAGTTCAGGGGTTGGTTTGTCAGTGAGATTTATCCCTTCAGAGAAGTTCTCTTCTGTCTGTAACGTTTCTCAGTATTCTGTGGCCTTTCCACTGAGCCTGTCTCATCAAAAAAAGAAGAAATGCATCTTGATCCAGTGTCAATCTGTGGACATAATAATTAAAATAACTGCAGCATATATTAACATTTGGTTAAGTAGGTCATGCAGTGCCTCCAGGGATACTATTTCTTCCATATTTTGTCACTAAGTCATAGATTAAATCAATTTTTATCAGACTGTGGTCTTAACTGATTAGTTTTTTGATCACTGAGTAGTACACATGCCACACTGCCTATGGCAACTGTGTTTATTTTGAAAAATTGCTGAACAGCAGTTAAAGGTAAAATAGCTTTGTGAACAGCCCTGGACACCACTTTCCAATCCAAAATGCTGCCAGTTCATAAACTTTGTGTGGTATTTTGCTTGAAGTGTTTCTGTTTAGGAGCAGAGAGTTTGTTGGTTACAGAATTTACACACATATGGAAAAAATAAAGAGTTTTTAGTAATATAGCTGTATTTTTAGTTGTTAGAATGTTAGAATGTCATCAAATTTCTCAGATGAAATATATAAAAGTGACAGCTTATGAACTTGCTAAAAATAAGAAGCCAAAATGGTACTAAAATGTTTCTCACATCTAGTGACTTCCAATATAAATATTACTTTAGATATTTGGGAATATTTTAATAAAACCATGCGAGGGAAAAATTTTTGAGCCCCATTCATTGGAAACCTGCCAGTTTTGGTAAACTTTATTGAACAGCTTTGGTGTCTAATGGAGCTTTGTGTTTGTGCAGGGCAGGGTTTGTGGTAGAGGGTTACCCAGCAACATAACCACTGAAAACCAAAAAGAACCCACTGACAAGAACACTTTCATTAAAGACATCATAAGGGCTTTAGATTTATTCTAATGTTAGAAGTAATTAAATGTATTGTAATGATGTAATTGACTGCTTGCACTGCAGGTCATGTACATGACATTTTCATTATTACTTTCTCACTGAAATATAGATAATCCCCTTTTCAGCTGAGCTGTGAGCTAATTGTTGCTGTAGCCCTTAAGAATCTGTTCTGAATTGATGGATGTGAGGATGTCAAATCATTGTCAGGATTAAATGTTGCCGTGTATTTTTTAAATATCTCCTTTTCAGCGACAACATCAATTTGCTGTTTTCATTAATGTAATTTTTAGAGTGGTAACATCAACATGTGGTAACACTCTCAAGGCTCGGGATATGGGAACAGG